AAAGAAGTCTTAAGATTAGAAATGAGAACAGCTAGAAATCAGCTTGAGGATCAGAGACCAAATTATATAACCATACAGCTTCTATGTCATCTAAACATAGAAAAGAAAAATGCAAAGGAATCAAGAGACACCAACAAAAACATTAAACAGGGTAACCGTAACATCTATTTATCAGTTCTAGACAAACAACATAACTACATTCTAATAAAAATGCCACCTACTTTTCTCCAAGGCTCTGATTTAAATGGTTGACAGGTTTGATCTGCAGGGACGACAACATTGCACGGATACATGTTTATTATAAATATAACGGCAGATTAGTCACACCAAGCTCTTGTGATATTGATAAAGCAAAGAGCTGGTGAGAAATACCTTCTGTGGTTTGATGGCTGCGACTGGAGGAGTTCCTGGGGGACTGTGTGTTGCCATATCAGTACTGAAAGTGCGATTTGCTATCTGCATGCATTCCTCCAAAGTCTTCAGGAAAGTGGTGCATGTTGTCTTCACCATGTTTCCCGTGTCTGTGCCAATCTACAAATCAGAGAAATCAGCAAAGATAAACTTATCAACTTTATCCCAACAAAGCTAACGTTTTTCTTTTTAAAATCATGCCCTTCGCTAAATCTAATAAAATCACGCAGCCAAGAGTTTAAAGCAATTATCATTTCCAGTTATTTGGATTTTTAGCTACTTGCCAGTGTGCTACTTTATGTGCTACTGCCAGCAGCTTCTCTTATTTCACAGGTTCATCCACACGTTAACCTTACCTCTGCTGACATTTCCTCTAACTCATCATTCTCCTTGATCTTGTTTACTTGCTGGAGGAGAAGGTCACAGTACAATCGGAGCTCTGACATCTTTGTTTTCAGTGCATCTGTGTTTTCCTGAAGCTCTGTTACAATGGACACAAAAAGCACACAAAGCTCAGTTGAAGAAAATAATCTAAGGGCCGACACTGAGACTCTTGTGCACTGAACTCAAGGTCAACGACTCAGGAATTTTTGTAAGCCCGACATTTTTTTTAACATGTGCTCATATTAAATTTCTGCCTTCTATGAAAGTAAGGGAGGACACAAAAGCCTTCTAAATCATTTTAAGGGTTGAACTGGGGCGACCAATAACTTTTACTTTTAATGTCAATTAAGTGAAAGACTGGACTCAAATTTTATCAAACTGTTGCAAATCAAGAAAGAGGCTTTGCAAATGTTTCTCTATAAAAACTAACAATATATTTATAGTTATACTATTTTTTCTTATTGCAAACCTTTTACAAACCTTTTTCTCTCTTGGTTCGGTTGTCTGTGAGACACGCTTTGGCTGATCCCAGTGCCACCAGCCATTTCTGCCTCTCTGCTGCATTGATGGCTCTGAGGTAAAAGTACTGCTCCCCTGGGATGGTCAGGTCAACTCGCGTAGAGTCAGAAGAATGGACTAAAACGCAGAACCAAGCAAGGAGTCAGGATAATCCAAAATACCGCTAGAAACTAAGCAATGACCATCGCAGAAGGAGCTCTACAGACCTTGGATTTCACAGACGGAAATCTTAATGCTGCCCTTGCAACCTTTCCAGGCATCTTCTTGAGAGTCATAGTAAGACAAAGTTCCTCCGTTAAGCACAAACCAGCGAGGCTGCCAACCTGACAAAGATAAAAAGGTCAGTTTTTTATTGTTTCTGTTTGGCAGGAAAATATTAGCATAACGAAATGTAATCTAGCTGTATATATTTTGAGAGTTAAACCTTACTTATGATGTGTTAGCACCAAGTAGTCAGTTGGCCAATAAGATTACGACTGATGGTGGACACTAGGTAAAAGGGCTAATGCTTATCTGAAGACTTTATTCATATGGTTAATTCGTCAGAAGGATAATGTAGTGAATTTTTAACTCATTCAGTTATTCTTAAGTGCGTAATAAAGTCCGACAGTTGAAACCTGACAGATGCTAACGTTAGCATACCCATGTTAACATCAACACAAACTCTATTCAAGTGAGCTATGACGTTTACACGCTAGCTAGCGTGTAACTACGACCACTACAACCGAAAACACGAACCTTATGAAGCATGCACTTACCACTTATGTAATTGGTCCACTTGTACAGCATACCCTCCATTGTTTTATTACGTGTTTATCCCTTTCATTACTTGTTTATCAGGAGATGGTGTTGTACAGCTGATTGCTACGACTCCATTGGGCCCGAAATGTAATTTGCGGAGTAACTTACATGCCTTTCAGTTGAACTGCGTAGGTAAAAGTGCGTAAACTTCTTCTTGAATGGAGCTCTAAGCAATCATCAGCAAAGCCATTGACGTCCATGCTACTTACGTCACAGGGGTTTAAGTATTTAGGGTGTGGATTGTAGTGCTTGACAGATAAAGGGACCAATGAGAACAGTAACAGGAAATACAGGTTATGAATGTGTCCAATCGCGGCGGGAGGAGGAAAGAAGGCTGAAAAGTGGGTGCACTCGCTGCAGAAGTTTAGCTGCCACGTATGGGGTTCCTGCCATGCATGCAGCGTAGACTTTGTTATAGATGGAACTATTAAGATAACATATTTTGATATCAAACTAGAAAGTCAGCTATGTATACCAGAACTATACTTTGTGGTCTCTGTTTGACAATATCCTCAGTTTTTGTTTTTGTCAATGGGGGAAAACTTCCCGAACCTGAGGTGAAAATTGAGGTTATACACAAACCTTTTATGTGCCATCGTAAGTCAAAGTATGGAGATATGCTGCTTGTACATTACGACGGATTCCTGGAAAGTAATGAAACTATGTTCCATTCCAGGTAAAAACATTTTGCATGCATTACTGCCCTGTGTAATAAAGCTCTTAGAAAGGAAACCTGATTGGGGTAAGAGTAACCACCACGAATAGGTAATAGGTAACTACTAGGTAACTACTAACTCCTACTAATAGAATGTATTCAAACATTAGTATTGATATGTAATATTTTCACACATTCCAGTCACTGGTGTCTCATACCATGTGTTTGGAAAGTTCTGTGTTCTGCACCTAAAACTGATGGAGTTATTTGTGTTTTTTGTTGGCAGCCGCAAACAGGGGGATTCAAATCCTGTGTGGTTTACACTTGGGATCCGTGAGGTTCTCAAGGGCTGGGATAAAGGTCTGCAAAACATGTGTGCAGGAGAGCGCAGGAAGCTGACCGTCCCTCCATCACTGGCCTATGGCAAAGAAGGAAAAGGTATAGCAGACTATAAGCAAAAATGTTGAGGAAGATGTGTTTCCACATCTTCACAATGGGTTTTGGCTGTTGTTCACAGGTAAGATTCCACCAGGCAGTACCCTCATATTTGACATTGAGCTCATGGAGATCCGAAATGGCCCCAGGTCACATGAGACTTTTAGGGATATGGATCTCAATGATGACTGGAAGCTGTCCAGACAAGAGGTGAGAAAGCGTTTTTTTTATTTATTTAAAAAAAAAAGAAAATCTTAGAAATATATAAAAACATTTTCCATTTGTGCAAACTCCTGGCAGCATACATTGTGAGAATGTCATACTACTTTCTTTTTACATCTCAGGTGAAAGAGTACCTGAAGAAAGAGTTTGAGAAACATGGCTACTCTCCTAATGACACCCACCACGAAGGGATGGTTGATGACATCTTCAAAAATGAGGATGAAGATAAGGATGGTTTCATTTCTTCCCGAGAATTTACCTACCAACACGATGAACTCTGAAAAGCTCATTAGATGAACTCATTAGAAATGAGTGAAAAGTACAAAGAAATCTATGTTTAACTGAAAACTATTTCAGCTATTTTCAGTTTTTTCAAACCGCACAATTTTGTGTTTTCTTTTTCTTATTTAATATTACATCCATGATGTATTTATATTTTTATTACACATGCACTGATATTGTCATGACAGATTACTTCAAAAATACTGGGTTTGTTTTTTAAGTTAATGACACAGATATTTTGGAAATAAACAACATGGTGTAATAATCTGTAATCACTTTTCAGTCCTTTGTGCCTGCAGTCAGCCTTCAGTCAGTAGAGGGTGCTCTGGTCCTAGGCATTTCTTCTAGCCTTTCATCTCTCAAATCCTTTTAAACTGCAGACATGCAGAACCAGTGCCCCCAAATCCACCCACCCTCTCAGTTTTTGACTGACCTATTTTTCAAAATTGTAATGTTTTCGTATACAAAATTAATTGTTGTCAGGATAGATTATTCTTAAATCGTTGTAGTTTACACATCAAAAGAAGTGTTAATATTCTGGACGTCTTTTCCTCATCAAATTTTGACAGAATTAATCTTTCATTGTAAAACCCCTGCATTGGTGGCTAGAGCGTGGATTTGCCAGTGTCAAAACCATTTAAATCCATCGTATTCAGTGTTTGAATACAAAATGAGGCCTTCAGCTTCATAAATAGAAAGGATAGCTCTTCAGATTTTGGAGTGTATCTTCATTTGACATTATCTAATGACTCGTCTAGCTTCATAGTTATGGGGGGAAGAAATCTGCAGTTTCTAATCCTAAAAAACATAATAATGTATACAGTTTAGCAAAGTGACATCAGTTTGTAATTTAGTACTCAACTTGTTCAACGAGCTGTTCTGGATCTTTGGGTCAGAGCAACATTTGATGTGAAAGAAAAAAATGTGAGGTCGTAACAACAGTCTCTGTCAAAGGTGTGTGTAGATGTCAGTTGTGGCTGAGTGTTCAACTACCAGATTAACTGTGTTAGGATGGAATAAGCATTGCTATGGCAACAATAAGCACCCAGTTTGAAACACTGGTTTTCTATCAGCATTGTTGGTCATCTCCTCTCAACAGTTTTAAGCATTGTAAGCTTTTGGATGAGCTTTAGTTGAATCTATGAGAACAAAATCCCATGCTAGGCTGACCGAAAGTTCTCTGATGATGCAGTTCCAACAAAAAGTGAGTCAACCCTTTCAAGATTTAAATTAGCGATACTGAAAACATACTGCATTTGGAGGCTTATGTTAGTCTCTATCTTATTCTAATCTCCACTGTAAATAGAGCGATTTGAGCAAACGATTGCGTCATTATTCTGCAACTCTTAAGTTTAAAATAACAGCTCATGGCTTCTGATGAATGCACAGGCGTTATTCCAAGGAACCGCAAACACATCTCATAGAGACTGGAGTTTTTCAAGTGACAGGAAAGGAAGTGAATGTGGTGCAACTTTCTCACAAAGAGCTCCTCTGTGTTTTTTTTGTGTGTTTTTTTTGCTCCACTCCTTCAGGTTACCTGGTATTTGGCTAAATGCCACACCCACAGGTAAAAAGGGATCAGTGGAAGAATAAACCGAGAGAGGCTGTACGATACATTAGACCCTTAAAGGCTTTCTAGATAAAACATGAGCTAAACGATGGAATTTAAATTCACATACCCACTTATCGGTGTGCTGCAGACTTTGAGGGCTCCACCCTTTACTCTATCAGAACCACTTCAATGTTCGAGGTCTCCCTTTTTAAAATCAGACTACATAAAGTCATGGTTGACATCCTTTAATAAATCATCATTTCTTAAATTACATTTTGAATTGCAACTGTCACAAAAATACATTTTGATAAAATGGATCTGTAGAAAGGGGTCATTAGTCACATTTAAAAGAAGTGAGAGAGGGACATGCTTGGCACAGTTTTTGTCACATGGCTGTGATGGTATTTGTAAAGTAGATGGAACATCCTGCTGCACAAAGCAACGTCACTGTTATCAAAAAGGAGGCGGAGACGAGGAAACAATTATTTTCTTTGTCACCTAAAGTGAACCCAGATTACAGCATGCACACTGAAATCCTGCAGCTCCACCAACCAGCAGGAGTACCGGGGACCTGTGTTGCAGCCCTCAATAAGATTTGAATCATTGACCCGAGTTTGATCCACCAACATGCTCCTCACCTAACGCTGAATATGGAGGAAATGGTAGATCCATACCCTGCTGCCCTTCTGGCTCCTCTTTTTACCCACAAAGCACTGCAGGCAGGAAACATTATTCTTATCGGCAAACACCCTTGTGACAAAACAATGTGGAGCCAAACAAAACTTACATATTTACAAAATAAACCTTTACACTTGATGAAAAAAAGTGCTTCACGTGTGCCCAATTGCTTGATTTCTTAATTGTTTGCATACGCACAGTAAGTAGGGATCATTACATGATTACATGATCTGATCTTATCTGCGATGAAAGGGCCCACATTTTATCATTTCATTTTTAACCAGCGTTCCCACAACCTGCACATGTCAAGAAGGAGCATTTACTTGACCCATCTGCGAGGCTTGCTTGATGAAGGACCAGGCCGTCACCAACTGATCTGTCCAGGGCCGATATCCCACAGTACTGTCACCCTGACCGGGTCTACACCATCGATAGCAGGGAAAAGCACTGGATATAGTAAAAAAACACAGGACCCCTTCATAATATAAAATGATGGTCTTGGCTGAGTATCCAAACCCAAAACATACAGTAACAAGACACTATCGACATCAAACCAACATAAAACTGAAACCGTCATGCGAGAAAAAGATTTTTCAAGTTCAGTTTGTTTGCAATATTTTCAGAGTCTTCATTGTCGAGTCGAGGTGGCTTGAATTTCCTCTTCGATGCAATAAATAAGAGTCTGTCACTTCTCTTACAAGGCCTGCATGCCTCGGCCCTTAAAATAAGACATCTTCATGCTCAATCATGAGCTGCACCACAAGTTTCTGCTGCCTCATGTCGTTCAGGGTGGTCAAGGCGTTCTGCTCTGGCGGCTGCATAAGAGTCGGACCAAAGACGATCCCCAGGTTCTCCGCGTTCATCAGATTGTCCTTTTCAAACATCGTAACCCTGTACGATAAAAGGAGTGTGGAAGGAGAGCACGGTGAGGAAAAAACTGAAAGCTGTTGATATATCTTTCAGGTTTGTGTGTGAATTCTCCTTTGTGAAATCACATAAAAGGACAAGGATTTGGTATGGTTTTATACTCATATTTCCATGACAAAACTTAAAACCTGTTATGATTCATGATTTCGGTCACTGCAAAGGACTGACCCGCTGAAAAGACATTGTAACTGATTTGTTTTTCAACTGACCTCTTGAGGTGGGCCATAAGGTAACGTAAGGTCTCATAGTGTGCCGGGGGAAGCTGCAGCAACCCTTCATGGATGGCCTCCAGTCTGTATTCAGCATTTGGATTTTCTGCTCACCACAAAAGAAAAAGCATCAGAGCACTGCAGGGCATTACTTTGACTGTACTGTTACGAAGAAGCCAGAGAGGAGCTCTTACTTGCAGCTTGAATAAATTTGGAGTACAAGTCGAAAGTAATGACTGGAATGGGGAGGTCTCTCAGGTAGAGCTTCAAAGCACCAGCAATTATGTTGATGTCTGCATAGGCAGTGGCACTGATGTCAGCCCGCTCACCATCTGTTGTCATAATGCAGACAAAATACGACCGAAATGAAAACTTTTTTGTATTCATATTTTGTGCATGGCCTCTTTTGTACTGTACAGAGGCTGATACAGGCTTCTCATTCAAAATCATAAACCCGTGACCCAAGAAAAATCTGTGACAGAGATCCTAAGGCAAAGACGTGTGTGATCAGCTAACCTCGGTCGAAAGCGAGCCTCACATCCTCGATGTGTTCCGAGAAGCCAGACACTCTGTAGAGACCTTCAGATTTCATACCTGCAGCAGAAGAATCCAGGTGGTCAGTCAAGTGAGAGTTACACATTTACCCATAAAACAAATACATAGTTTCTTGTGTTAACTGCACATCACCTCTTAGTTCTATCTCTCCAATACACATGTCCACCACCATCGGTCGTGTGGCATTGTGGGCCTTCACAAGTGTGGTGAGGTCACAGCTGAACACTTTCTTTATCCTGCGCAGGTCCGGCTGGCAGTCGCTGGGAACCAGTTTGGAGCACTGTTTGTGTACATTCAAGCCACAGTCTATCCAAGTAAAAGTCAGACAAACACATACAGGGAGGGGGAGATTAGCCTCGGACTGGTGATAACACAATCATCACAGTAGTTTTGGAAAAAGCTTTTCCAGATAAACTGAGCTGTCAGACAGCACAGCAGCAGCTAAGCTGTGTCAGTGTGCAGCGTCAAAGGTAGATAACAGCAGACATGGCAGCATAGGGGAGCAGGGATGATGGGGGGGGGGTAATCTTATAGTTTTAGTCACATGGAGCGTGCTGGGCGGCTGGCAAGCAGCCTGCCCAGTCCGGAATAAAAGGATTTGAAGGAGCAATATGTGTAAAAAGAAGGGGGGGGGGGGGTTCCTGAAAGCATTCACCACAAAGACATTTTTACTGCCTGAGTGAGGTTCATGTTTTGGTCTGCTGACTGGGTTCCTCCATCGAAGAGAGAGTGTTGCAGGAGATAAGGAAAAAAATAGAGGCTGGACATAGTGTGAGAAAGGAGAAAGAAGTCTCTCCTGATTCTCACAGTACACAAGATGTCTGATGATATCAGTGTTTGCCTCTGGCTTATCAGGTTGGAAAGGGTCTCAACAACAAACACTCCATTTAGATGGAGAGCAAGACAGTTCACCAGTGTGTACATCAGTTTCAAGATTGCTTCCGAGTGGTTAACGGAACTCATGACAGACTTGACAACCCCCTGGCTCTAACACATAACCAATCACTTTGCTCTGTTGCTATTTTTGATCAACAATGTCTTTAACTTGCATTTTATCTTGGCTGAGACATTTAATTTTCTTAATGAGCACAATGAACAATGGAGCTGAAATAGCCCCGGTGGTTATGTTCAAACTAACATCAGGTTTTACAGCATCGTCACAAAGATGGCAGTGAAACGACAGAGGTTGCAATGATTAATCTTGAAAAAAGTATTTAAAATTTTCATTACTTCAAAACTAACATTTCTACGCAGGATTGATTGGCAGCTTGTAGGAGTTAATTTAGGAATGCATTTTTTAAAATTTTTTTGAAAAAATGAATTGAATCACCCTACATGAGAGTGTTACAGTAATAACTGCTTTGTGTGAATGGGCATGAGAAGAAATGAGAAGAAGAAAGCTAGCAGAAACAGAGGACGGATCAAACTAGGAGACTGTAAGATTACAGTCACAGTAAATTATTGATAAACTGATAATGTTGATATTGTCTGGTTTCATAAAAAATGGTAACCCCTGTTTTTACCAATCTTTTAAATAGTCAAAAGGAATAACATGCATAGAATTTGACTACATCTCAATAAAAACTGATCACTGGGAACAATATACAAATGTCTTACACAAGACATTGTGTAAATAAATAGTTGCATTCAGTTCTTGAGTTAGAATGAGTTTTCTTTCCAGTACAAAGAGGTAATTATTCTAGCTTGTGTTTCCAATGCATTATGGAGCATTTTGACTGATACAGCTGCGTCACTTCATGTGTTCCCTGACAGCTCAGCAAGAGGACGAGTCAAAAACTTTCTATTAATCACGTTATATTGTCAAGTAATCACAAGGTGCACAAGGTGGTTGAGCTTGGATTTTGCAAAAAAAAGAAGAAAATCAGCAGGCCCTTTATCTTTAAGTAGTAATTGAGTGCTTAAAAGCATCTTAAAAGATTTATAGAATGAAAAATAAATTAAGAAAATATGGTTAAATAAAAAATAAATAAATACATTTTTCCCAAATGAGTCACACTTTAACCTTGTTTAGGTTCCAAAAAGTGCTTTCCATTGTGCAAACTGATTTGTCTACATCACACACTGATATCAGCGAGAATCATCGGGTTCAGTGTGTTGCCCACAAACACCACATAATCAGCTGACATTGTTGCTTGTTCCAAATATACCAGGAAAAGGGCAAAGAAATACAAAATGAACTCAGGCAAGTTTTCAAACGAAAAGCAACAAGTTCTTTCAGAGGGATTATTAAACTGAGACACACATGACATGACAGAGATAGTTACAGGTCCCATGTGACATGATATTTTCATGTAATCCATGATGTACAAGACGGTTGGTGTAGAGTGAAGTTACCTGAGCAGCGGACACCCTGAGCGATGAGGCCCCACATAAAATTGGCACAGTATTCGCACCAGTGTGGCCCTCGAAAGGTGTGTACCTGTGGTCAAAGACATTTCGTGTAAGGTAAATCACTCTCCAGTTCTATAAACTGTACCACCCATTCAATGTACTGGATTTTGATCCAAACTACACAGGATGGAGCCCCTCACCAAAAGAGAGCATATGTGTATATACAAGGCAGATTAAAGGATTTACTACAATGTGTCTGGCATCTGCTGTTGGGCAATTGGATACAGGCGAGTGCAAGGGGCGAGTCGGAAAGTCAAAATAACAGATGTACACCCACACTGCACCATAAGATCACAGATAAGATCACAAATGGAGCCACAGTTAGGTGCATGAGCCCATACACACACCTTTATTGGTGCTTTGAATAGGTATCACACGAATAATGAGAGAGAAAGCATGTGGTAGGTGGCGAGTGCGGGGTTTCAAAGCAAAAGGGAACAAAAGCTGGGGTTCATTATACCACGCCTGTTAGTTGAAACCCAAGAGCAGACGCAAAACATCTTGTGTATATGTATGCTTGCCAGTCTACAGCTTTGTTAGAGCAATGGAACTCTAAAACAACTTTGTAAAAATCAGTAGCTTTGAAAAAAAAAGCCTTTAAAATCAATGCTAATCAAAGTGTTCTGTTGTTAATGGATTGTGGTAGAGTGCATCCATTAGTTCCCCTAAGTGCATATGAGTGTCAGCTGGATATGTTCTCATCAACAACAACAGTAGCACACACTGTGTGCTGGGGCAAGACAAGCATCAGGCAAACATGTATATCTGGATAGATCTGTCTTGAAGAAAATCCTCGGTTCAACAAAAGGAAGCTAAAGTAGAAGCTCTCTATTGGTTGAATAAATGAAAATATACACATTGTAAGAAAATAAATGAAACTGTTCACAGCTAGTCAATCATCAACCTATTCTTATGATTATTCTTTTTCATTCTTGAGCAAAATAAAAAGCAACTCACCTTGAAGTTATGGATCTTTTCATAGGAACACTGCTTCTCAGGTGTGTCTTTCAAGGCACTCCGTCGCACCAGAGGAGAGGCGATCTGTGGACAGGAGGCCAACAGTTTAATAGGCTTCCACAGAAGAGTGCCTTTGCTCCCGAGCTTGACTCCCAAAGCCAAAGCCAGTAGCTCCTGACGCTTCCTCTCGTGTCTTTTAGCCTTGTGGGTAATCACATCAGCTCCCACAGCAACTCTGTTTTCCTCCGGCTCCATGCTTGACTGGTTAGGTTCCCAGAGACTCTCCAGCTCTTCTTGGGTAAGGTGTGGAGGGGGGGTGTGGTAGCTGTGCGGCAGACACTGCCGGCAACAGCCCAGCGCGGAGGCAGAAGCTACACTCCACTCCCCTCTGACCCAGGAGGAGGACTGGTGACAGCCAGCGCTGGGCTGACTCTGCATCTGCTCCGAATGTGGTGGCAGCAGCGAGCAAGAAGAGCAGGGGGTAGAGGACCGGGAGTGGGCGGCCTGAGGGCAGGAGCGTGCCTCAAACAATGGTCCTCTTTCACACATCCAGAAAGCAAAGAGAGAAAGAGAGAGAGTCCTAGATTGGCAGGGGCCAGGATGTCGAGAAAGAAGTGCTGTCAGGACTGCTCCACACAGCTTAACAGCTCTCTAAAGCAGGATCAATAGTGCAGATGCCCTCTTTATAGCACAGAGCCCGTTCCCATTAGCACGCTGCCTTCCGGCCCCACTCCACTTCACTCAGCCAGAGATAATAGTCGACTCCCAGCAGTTCTCAGTCAGCGGAGACCCTAAACGGGTCACTGGCTCAAAGACAAACCCGAGACTGTCCGGCCCGACAGAGCCGAGGCTGTGTTGTCGTAATTCAAACAGATCTTGACCTCCAGCTATGCTGAACTGCTGGTGGAATTCCCCACAATGCCATCCAGACAGGATCTTCCAGACACTCTGACTGCAGACTACTCCTGCCTGTCACAACCAGTTGTCTTGCAGAACCTGCAGAGCCAGACCATTTACTGAGATTGGGAAGGATTACGACTTAATCCCTACAGGGGGAAATAATCTAGTAGTGCCCAAATCTTTGTAAAATCCCAAAGGAAGCTCCTTTACTGGTCTCAAGCCATGTAGGTTTTTGTCAGTGGGGGGCTGTTGCTATGTTCACGCTGGATTTGTACCTATTAGCAATGGCAGTAAACATCCCCGTAAGGCTGGATACACAGAAGGGAGGCACACAAGCCTGGTAGCAGGTACACATCATGTGTCCACCCAAATAACAGATATGTGTGAAATTTACTTTCAACCAGCTTCTTTGCTTCACAGCAGCTGGAATAAATCACACCAAAAAGGATAAAATAATTAGTCAAGCAGAGAGCGAAGCTCAAAAATCCAATGAACAATAACTTTATGGCAATAAGGAGCTGGAGTAAAAGCTGAGTGAGGTGAGCAAAAGACCTGCAGGGCAACTGCAAGGCTGAGATAAAATAAACAGTCTGGCAGCTTACGGGCTGATAAAACACACCAACAATGTAATGGAACAGACTTTTTGTGAGCAGCTATCTTTCTGTCTGCTGGGGTAAAAGCAAACTGACACAACAAGACTGACAGGACAGGTGAAGATATGTGTCCGTGTAGGCTGACATTCTTTGTCAAGTCCTACACATAACATACCACACAATTCTCCTCTACAATGTCTGAGAGGACAAATGAGGTATAGACAACTCTGAGATATTTTAGCCTTGTGAGGAGGGAGGGGTTGGGAGGGCTGGGCTCTTTGTCTGTGGGCAGATGGCTTCTTGTCTCTTAAAGAAGAGCTTTGGAAAGAAAAGGACACAAAAGGTGGTCCGCACAACAAGCTCTGCCTTCTTTTCAGTAGCTTGGCTCTTTTATTTCAGCAAGGCTTTGTGAGAACACAGCTGAGTGGACCGATTGGGAAGCAGCACAGCAAGACAATCGTGCACAACTCCCCACAGTTTCGAACAAAATAACCCAAACAGCATAACAGACAGAAAAATGGACACACTGTTAGAGCAGCAGTAAAAGAGGAAAAAGGGGGAAATTGACACTTTTGTCTGGATCAGCAAAACTGAAAATGGATGTCTTTTTTTGTCTCTTAGGCTGACAAGTCACTTCAAAAAGTCTGGAAAACTACACTTAAAAAAATCATTTTGAGGGTTTTCTATATTTTATGACTACAATGGCGCACGTCAAGAAGTCAAATTCATTCACGTCTTTTCATCATCTCTACGCATCGAAACTCAGGAGATAAAAGGAAATCACCCAACAAGCTTTTTCGTTCAAAACCTCCAGCTCCTGCAGGTGGCCCAGCTTTTGAAAAACCCCACTGAGAATAAACCGGTGGGATGAGTAACAGGGGCAACAGGGGCAGAGCTTTTCCCCACGGTGCAACGTCCCGCACATGCAAAGACACTAAAGAGATTGATCTAGCAAAGCAGCACTTTTCACCTTCTGGGAGCATTTTAATTGCACGGGCATTCACAGTTGAGGCATTATATAGGTATAAACCCGACCCTGAGTAAATACACAAGAGTTCTGCCTTTACAGTGAGCCTACTGTGGCTGTAAAGTCTCAGGGTGTGGCTGTGAAATTAGTAAACACTCAATTCAAAAAGGGACCACAGATGCGAGCCAAGAGGCCAGGTCTCTGCATCTGACCGCTGCACATCTCTGAGCTGACAGAAGACAGCTTCTTCTTTTGAAAGTGACAGGCAGGTGATTTTCAAAAGTGCCCATCATTATTGCAGCTGTCACTGACTGTAATCCTCAGTTTAACATCTGGAATGACGCTTTTTATCACCAGCTCTACACAAGCTCAAAGATAACATTTCTTCAGACAGGCTCCACATTTATTTGCAAAAGGGAGGCTATTTGAAAAAGAAATCCATAAAACATTAAATGTAGCTGCAAATCTCTCACAGAGGAACACTGCTTGAGTGTTTTCAATGACGCACTTTTTGAAGCAAGCCGAGGTTAGTTTACATGTGTTCGAGGTCCTCTAAAGGCCTCCATGCAGTGTCTGTGGCACTATATTTAAACCACAAAAAGTCAACACTCGGCTGACAAGGCAATAGCCATACAATCAAAGGCTTTCTATAAACCAAAGACTTGTGATATAAATACAACAAATGATGCCCCTGCTGGCGGATGCTGTCATCTGTCTGTCACCAGGCGACAAAGTACATGTTGACATTTTGAAGTGAAAAATCCCCAAAGCCATGTATCAAAGCTGAGAGGTCCATCAAGGACACAGCTCGTGAAACAAAGAGGAACCAAGAAAACACGAGCATCTGTTAATTAAAAGAGCTTGCCATGAATCCATCAACACTCAGAGAAAACCGGAGGAAACAGCTTAAGATTGCCATCTAGTGGAGGAGCATCTTCCATTCTGCTGACATGCCTCCCTCCTCATTCCTCACCCATAAATCATTCACAGACTAATCAGGCAACAGCTCCAGAGAGCCAAAGAGAACAATGTAAAATACATCTCATTCAAAATCAGAGTGTCTGATACGGATGGCAGCGGAGCAAAGTCCTCGTCCCCTCGGTCATCATTACCTTTCAGTGTAAGCAGTGAAGCATGGCAGCAGCGAACACACCCCGAGGCTCCGGGGACAACATGCGTCTCACTCACAGGACAAAGTGCCCGCTCCGAAAAAACTTGTCATGCTACTATTAAAAGCAGTGTAAATGAGTAGCAGTGCGGAAGTAGATCCAAATTAAGGTGTATACAGACTCAAACGCTCCCAACTGAAACATCTTATCCATAAAAACAATTAATAAATAAAAAGGACTTATTGTGTCTGCTTTTTATAGTTTCCATTAAACAGCGGCATTCAGTCAAGGATGTCCTTAATATTTGCTCTATAATACAAAAAAAAAGTTGGGTTTCAAGTTATTCATGTAAGTATACTCGAAACTACTAATCACTATAAAATATATCACATGTATGTTACTTTTGCAGAGATGATGCCAGCTCCTTCCATAGCAGTGCACAGAAGCTTACTTAGCTAAAGTTTTATGTGACTAAATTGCTAATTTGTGCACATTGCTTCAAGGTTTCTGACAAGTAAGCTATTTAACCTTGCATATTTTCAAAGATGGATTAAAGCTGCCTCAGCATTATGTGCCTTTCCATGTAATCCCAGGATGACTCCATGATGCTGAGATCAGAGCTCCGTGGGGGGCTGCACCATCTGCTGCTGAACTTCTTGTTCTGAAGATTTCCTGTGATTCTGGCTGTGTATTTTGGGTCGTTATCATACAATGGACTTATCTTATAAGTCTACATGCCCAAAAGACACAATTGGAGGAGACATGAGCATTAGACTCACCCTTTCATCCTTCTGGAAGGTTACCCTGCGTGGCTCTGTGCGTCCACGGCTCAGCCTGTGCACCATTTTGTCTTTGAGCAGTGACGTATAACCGAGATGCTCATATATGGGATTGGTGGTCATTTTAGCAATGTACTCTGCAGCCTTGGTCTCGATGTAAAGAGTGATGAGGGCATCCGTCACCAGGTCGTGGACAGATTCAAACCTCTTCTCTCCCACAAAGTGCTTCCCATCATAAAACAATCTGTAGTTGAGGGTTTGGTGGCCAAACCTGAAACGACATTGATAGATGTGGAGCAGAGTTTGAGTCAGATAAGGAAAGCTGGAGACTGATGGAGGGGTGGGGTGTCGCAGAGATTAGGTTTCAAAGTTTCGGTGAATATTGATATTACTGGTACCTTAAGGCCAAGGTGTGTGTCCCTGGCTGTCTTTGGCTCTCTCTGATGAGGTAAGAGCCCTCTGCACCTGCCAGGAGCTCATCAGCGTAATCTCGAGAGATCAAACCATGAAATCTGGACAAAGAAAGCAGGTAAAATATTTTTCTGCTGTGTTGCTTTATCATAAAACAGAAGAAAAGAAGAAAAATGAATACATCTGCCCTCCTATACCTCATCAATACCTTTCATATGGCAGTCATGACAAACACATGCATCACAGCAGTAATAATAACTGAAAGGCATATAAATAATGACAGTAATTAAGTTACACTCACTCTCTCCCATAGTATTTGGGTCTGCTCTCCATCTGTAAACCAGAGGAAGAAATATTGGCTGTGGCAATGAGATATAAAGACTTAATTTAATGGCTTTACAAATTGTCCTTAAAGCATGTGTGCAAGATAAAGGACTGCAGCACAGAGCAGATAATCTCCATCTGTGCCCCTGCGTCTGTTCACAGCTAGCAAACCATAAAGCTAAATCACAGAGTGTGGAGATAAATGAGAGGCAGTGCAGGAAAACAGCAGGCCAGCTGCAAGAAATTAACAGCAAGCGAGTAACACCAAACTCTTTTTCCACTTTCTGGTCTTATAGTACTGTAAGTGCAGGGCAACCTCGAGAACCCCAGAGTGAAATGTCTTTTTTTTTAACAATCCAGTGTAATAAAACCTTATCAAGACCTTCCTTTCAGACACAAACAGACAGAGTAGAAGCTCGCCTGAGGGATCTCTCAAGATGTACAACATGTCTTTGGGACTTTGTGCTGGATTACTGGCTGGCCACGGATCTGACATATTCAGCCAGCAGCTTTCACTTTGTCCATCAAAGTGTGGAAGAAATGAAAAATCGATGAGACATGCATCATTTCTGGTGCATTGTCCATTAGAAGATTGACAGGTTTCAGTGAGGGCAGGGGCAAGTATAGTAACATTTTCTGCTCACTAACTTAATTGAGAGAATGAAAGACTAAGCTGCTCCTTGCTTAAGATGTCCTTGTTCTGTAGACGTAGCTATTATATTTTAAACTGGATGATAACAAGTCAAATGTGCTAATGTGCTAACTGTACATATGATCGGCAGCACTACACAGGCTATGTGTACATGACTTAGTCAAAATAAAGCTTCAGCCAACTTGTGTTTCCCCAAAAGAACCTATAATTTTTATCATAGTCATCCTGATCTGCTTTCAGAATCCCACCAGAACTGGTGATTAAAACAAATTGGAAACATGAAATACTGTTCCAACAAAAAAAGGAATATGTTAAATAATCATTAAAGAACCAAGTTGCAATTCATAAGCAAACCTGGCAACTCAGGAGCCTTTGCATTGCTTCATCAAGCAGCAATGTGTGTGTCACATAACACCATAAACACTCCTGTAGGTTGTACAATATTAAGTGGATAAATGTCAAAATCTGAGTAGCTTTGGGATTCTTTACATTTCTCCATTCCATTAATACAAATATGAACTTATTTTTGAAAAGGTGATCAAAAATAGCTGTTTACATGGCAGTGTCTTATTAAGAGAGTTAAGTCTTTATCAGGTTCATATTCCTGTGCATGTAAGCATAGCAGATATTGTGTATAACATGTATAGCCAGAAATGAAATGTTTTGGCTATGTTTTCTTTCTGTTTTTCAGAACACTACAGCAGCGAATGAACAACGCAGCCAGAGGTCACACCTCTCTCCCCGCTTGTGGCATACCATCAAGTTTAGGCAGTGACCTATGAGGCATTTGTGTTTAAAGGAGCGGTCAGCCACTCGCCAACATGTTGGTACTGTTTGGGCTGGCTTCCAGCGGCCAGATTCAGCCATTTCTCTGTCAATGTTTTCCAGGCTCAAACCTAAAAGGAAAGTTCGAGTTAAACTCCAGATAGGTTGTGGCTCTGTTATGGCAGACTTGTTTATGAAGGGAAGATAAAAAGGAATGAATGTGCCCTGCAGGTGTGTCAGTGTGAATATGGATGTTTGCCTACCCAAACTCCTTAATGTGGGACTCTGCCTGAACATTATTTTGGCCTAGTTTTCCATTTGAGTCCAATGTCACACATATTTAGTTGTATTTGACTTATGCTCCCAATTTCAAAGTTTATTTAGCTAAGGCTAATAAGTTTAATCAAATAAACTGCTTTAGGTGATCAACCACGTGTTCTCAGATATTATTTACAACAGCCCCTTTTGACTTCAGATGGTCAAATCAAAGTTTGCTCTTATTTTCACATGTCTTTTTGTACAAATAGAAAGACAAATGAAAAAACCTGAACACTCTCCAGCCTTCTACGGTAGCAAAATCTAAAAAAAAAAGAGCAGTCATACTGACCTCTCGAGGACAGGTGATCCTCTTTGGTCGTGGGGCTTCCTGCTGCAGCTGGTACACTGTTAGAGAAACATGTATGTTAATGAAGCCTGTTTGCTCTTCTGACTTGTACCAGCTCTGTGCTGCTCAGTGCGAGATGTAGCTGCATGCATATTGCAGGCGTGCCATCCAAAACAAAGTAAATATGCTTTACAAGTAGGGAGGTACAAAATTATCCATCGGTTTACAGATGCAAGATTAACGAATGATTGAATAATATAACAACAGCCATGCATCCAAAATCTATCAAAACCTACCATTTACATAATATGCAATTATAACAATATATATTTACTCTACTTCAAGGCACAGATACTGTGATTTACACTGTACAAATTATGCAAATCTAAGCTTCTCGTATCAGGTGCTGCTAAAATATTGGATGAACTGATTTATCAGTCAATAAAGCAAAATTCAAAAGACATTTGTGGGAGATAGATGCCACAATAAATTTTAGTTTGCTGCATAGACAACAGTTATGTGTGTTTTCTATATTTGCATCCATTTTTTGAACACTGTCTATAATCTAAAAATGTCTGAGGTTCTCTCCCATTTTTGTGAAAAAACTACCCCCCAAACCAAACGTTATATAACAGCTGTGAAAAAAACAGAACAAAGACTCGCTCTCATGTTTTGCAACAATGTGATAGGTGGCATCCTCCTTGCTGTTGAGCAAAGAAATCGCTGCATGAGGCTGAGCTAAGTCCTCACCACAGCAGATTCTCCAGGCAGAGGAAGAAAGACTCCTGACTGTGAGTTTTCATCTTATGTCAGGCCGACTTAGGCCGACCAGCAAGATCTGGACAGCATCCATTCCTGTGACACAGACACCTCTAAAAATACCTCAGTGCACGACCAGAGGAGTCAAAAGGAGGACTTCACAAAAGGAGCATTGTTGGGAGATTAACAAGTGAGATATTCAATTACAGATAAAGGTAATGTTTTTTTAAAAAGACAGAAAAGGACAAAGGTAAAACTAAATATGAGAACGGGCACGCTGAAATATTTCAGCTAAGCTCGGTATCAAAATGCACTTTGAAGAGCCACATCATTTCCTCCCACTTGACAACAACTCTGTATAATGAGGTGGGTGCTTTGAGGACCCAATTTTAGCTGCGCCTCTTTGCAGGTAGAAAGTGTACGTTCCTGGGTGCTGGTAACCTATTTTAGAGGATGAACAGGAATACACTGCTTTCCACTTGTGTAGGTGTAAATGTGTACACTCGTGTTTGAGAGTGTGTCTTTTTTTGCTTTTCAAATCCATCATCTGAAATCCTGCATCTTACAAGTCCAACTATAAAAAATGCGAGTGTAATCTATTGACCGCAATGTACAATGTTGTACAATGTAAGAAAACACACTGATGGCACACTGAGGTTAAAGAAGTGTTGACTGGTGGCAAAATGAAGTAATTACTCACAGTAGGACTTCCATATGGGCGGCTGATAATCGTCAGGGTCTGCAAAACACACACAAAAAAACAGGCTATTGTCATTAGCTCGCAGTGGTTTTCAGTCATCTCTAATTAAAAACTCAATCTCTCCCCTCTCTGATAAGAGTCTTTTATTGAGGTTACTTCACTGCGGTTTATCTCTCGGTTATAATTATGCATGTGCAGCTGCCTTCTGATGTGCCCAGAAAAGGCACCTTTAACCAGCACTCTACAGCAATATCGCATACACCTGATCGCTATTAACCAGCGGCTGGAGCCTGTAAACACAACATCCACTCAGTGAGACAAGAGCACAGCCTAACCTAACAGCGGTAAACCCAGTAAGACCCAGTTTTGGGGATTGAAGCAGCTGCGTTCAGATCATATGAACTCTCACATGGCATTACACAACAGTGGGCGCTTTTGCATTAGCACCGGATTAGGAGGAGAGGTGATGGAGTAAAGCAGAGGTGTACATATACGGTTTTAAATTGAAATCTTTTTTGAAAGGAGTAAGTTGTCATCTCTTTCCTTAGTAAAAGACCAGCATTGTGTTTAAGCTGCACCCTGCCTTTCAGTGGGTTTAAAATCAGGCCAAAACAAGCATGACTCCTGGTGGGATTATTGGAATAATTCTCCCTTCATACATACTCAAACACTCATTGTTTTATGATTACATTTTATAGCTTCTAAATGTGAGGCTACAATTTGGTGCCACGCATATCCCCCCCTTGCATGTAGGAGAATCTATGGAGGCTGTAAAAAACCACGGGAGAGCTCTTCCTGGACTGTTAGTGCTGAACTATGGAGGAAATCTGACACTGAAACTGAGTGGTTAGAACTGCATCTACTGCCGGTGCAGATAAGGAGCTCAATCTGTCCGGTACATTCCACAGTGGACGGTTACATCACGCTGCGTCTGCCGCACCACCACAGCTGATAGCAGCAACTCAAGACAATGTTTCTATGTTTTCTCATTGCTTCAGGTGCACTGCCGCATGCTTCAGATGCCTTTCGAAAAATGTTTGTGTGCCTCCCCGAAACAAAAGCCTTTACAGGAGCTAAGCCATACTTAGCAAAGGTTTGGGCAGGAATCAGAGGGCCAATGAGCTCCAAGGAGAATCCTGTCAGTTCTAGAAATTCCTCAGAACAGGCCTGACACTAACTAAAGATAATTAGAAGGTGATTTAATGAAATATCTGTCTGCCACTGACAAAAATTCAGAGATCCAGTTCAGTCAGATCAGAACAAGACTCATCTAGAGGAGAGTAGATACGCCCAATTATGGACTCACACCAAAATCTCCACTGCTGGTTCAGCACACACCTGTCCTGTCCACACTCTTATATTTGGTCCACATGTGATATTTTTTCTAAATCCCAGAAATGTGACTCCAAAAAAAAAAAAAACACAGGTATGGAACCTCATGCCAGGCAGACAGAGGATGTTCATTGTGGGCATGACAGAAAGTTCTCTATTCAGAAAGCACATGATTTTATATGCTTTTTAAAGAACAAAAACCAGTTTAGGGGGCATGTATTTTACTCCTATTCTTATAGGAAAGAAACATATGATTTTGTTGTGTGGTCTGGCAAACAAACACAGAGCTTCTAAAATGTTTGGGATGTGGTATGAGGCTGTATGGAGAGCAAACAACCCAAATCAGGAAAAGATGTCTCCGGCCGGCTCCTGATGGCGAGCTGATGTCAGGTACACTTTGGTGAAACGGTTTCAGAATATGAACAGGTTTTGACCAGTGACAAAACACTTCCTGTTATAAAACCTCTGCATACAAAGCATTGTTAGCATGCCTTTTTGCTCATTCTGAGACAAGACTGCCATGCAGCTTCAATGATGGGGAGACAGACATGTAATACTACACGAAGGAAACAGAAAGTAACTCTTGATGGCATGTTTTTCTGTTTCTATTGCAAAATATTAAAAAGAAAAACTCATAGATTCTTAAGAACAGTTTCAAGGAATATGGACAATGAATCATGCTGGTCCGGAGGATACATGTTGCTCATGCAAAGCATTCCTTCATCGGCAGATCAACGCCACACCTCGAAGCAATAAACCACGAGAATGGGAATTACTTCACTAAAACCAGTAAGCACATGTTGGATATGAGCGCTGAGATCTGGGCAGTTTCACTGGCACGCTCTCTACTTTTTCAAATTGCACCAATCTTAAAATTGCTTCATCAAATTCTTATACTACAGTTTTATTTTTTAATGGCCAATTGACGGGGATAGGAGCTGGGGATCCAAGCTTTTCCTCATGCTGTTCTCTCTGCTCACTGCAGCAGGAGTTTGATTGGAAGCTGCAGCATCAATAAAAGAAAAAAAACATGTTGCCTTTGCCTGTCATCACAAAGGCCCATCCACTCTGAAAGCTGTAAGCATCACAGAGAAAATACAGCTCAGTTACACATAATCACAAGCTAAATCATTTGGAAAATTATGAAGAGCAGCTCAACCAAGTCTGAGGCTTACACAAGATCTGCTCCAAATACAACCAAACAGGCTTTAAGGTCTGTTTGCAGATGAAATGCCAAACTACTCTGGAAAATCCATTGTCCTAAGGGGGAAGCTTTGTCCCTATGCACCGCAAAGGGAACAGTTTGGAAGATTTATTCCACTGCGGCTTAGTTAAAGAATGTGATTTCACCTGGTTGGCTGCCAAATACTCTCTATTCGATCTAATTCTTATTAATGATAAATGGCATTTTGGTCTCCATTTCTGCAGCAGCTTCAGCCACAGAAAGGGAGCTCTTTTGGGTTTCTGCTCGCCCTTAGCCTGCTACACAAAAATGTCCATGAATGCTCTGCAATCTGGAGAACATGAGAAAGAATCTCTAAATTTCTAAGTGGTTTGTGTGGCGTCTGATGTTCACAGAGAGTTCAAAATTCTACAGCAGGCAGAAGGCTCCTCCCCTGAAGAAATAACTATTAATTGTGTTGTCCTTCATTACTCACCAGTCAGAAGCATTCAATACTGTAATTACCACTGAGTGTGTGCTACAGTGGCATAGAGAGCATGTGATGAATAGAGATCAGGCTAGGACATCTGAAGCCCCAAGATAATGTCTGGCATCTCAATGTGGAGAAAGAAAAATGTTAAACTTCAGCAGACTTCTGTTCAGAGCCATACTGGGCACATGGCTAACAACTCATGATTTAGGCATTTCAAATTTGTAGAAAAAACAATGCTTATGACAGCTCAAAAACTATTCAATTCAATTCAATTCAATTTTTTTATATAGCGCCAAATCACAACAACAGTTATCTCCCAGTGGGTCAGACCCTACTCTGAGTTCTTCACAGAAGCCCAACTATTCCCAGAACAGCAGATACTGACAGAAACAAGACCAAACGATAACTGTTTACATATTGTCATTTACCATGGCTTTCCCCCTCTGCATACAGATTGTAAAGCGGCAGTTGGATAGATATGGAGCAGTTCTTTTCAGCAGCAGGTTGCTCACGTCTCATCTCACTGCATCATGTCTCCAACTGTAAAATCCCACTTATCCAATCAGATTTTTTTTCGGCTTTACGGGCTTACATGACAGGGGGTACGGGTTAATCTTCTAACAACAAAAACTGCATGCAGTCTGTCACAAGAAGTGTTTCCATAAGTTATTTTGCTGCTTTCATGATCTCCGACTGATCTATGATTTGTTAGAATCACAAACAGAAGCAAGATCAGTTGTGATCTCTGTCGGCTTCTACCAGACGCAGTAGCAAGGGACAGTTTGCAATTACATTACAGAAATGAAATCTAAACACTGTCCTAAGTCCAAAAAAGCTTCAGAAGACTGAAACGAGGCAACAAAAAAAGGCAAAAGCACAAAACTGCTGAAAACCAACCAGCTGCATGTGGAGGGGAGGGTATAAATGATGACGCAAGCTACAGCTGAGTCTTTTTTATCTCCTCTGAAAATACTACACTGGTTGCTGCTGTATTAATAGTGAAAGCTTATCAGTCCACTTATGTTTATTGTGAAAAAAAGCATCCTTTCTGTTCATTATTACTGCATATATATAAAAAAAAAGGATATGCTCAGAATATTAATGTACTTCGGTGAACGTCTGTGTTTTTTTCTTAGTCTAAACAGACACAAAACCTATTTGGGTGATTATGTGAAAGCAAAAATCTCTGTGCAACAATAATTTCCTATAAACTGCAGGAAATAATTTGACCCCTTTGAATTTGTTCCACATACACTACGTCCATCCCATTTGTTTTTACACAAACACATTCTCCCTCCTGCTTCAATGAGGCAGAAGATATAGACAGTTTCATGTGTCTATTACTCAGATTAGATTCATTCTCATAGACGTATCCTGCGTAACACAGAGATATTTTAACAGTGCTACATATACATGCTAACAAAAACACACATGACACACGGTCATGTCAGTGGGATGCAGTGGAGTGGCAGCAGGGAGACCATCTGTGTATCAAAACAAAAATGTTCACACTGTTATCTGAGCAGATGAATATGTGACAGGTTTGAGGCCACCTCTCCGAGGCACGTTTCTGTACCTTTTCATTAGGCATCCTCAGGGAAACCAGACTGTTAACAAGGACAAGAGTTCAAATCTAAATGTGTGAACTATAATTTGGGAAACTCTTTCTGACATTTCCTTCCGTCTTCCACGGGGAGCATTTTGCTATTAATCCTCCATTAATGATTAACGACTGGGTGCTTTGCAATTCCCAAGGGCCAAAATTGACCCCCTCATGCTGCAAAACAAACAAGTAATTTGTAGGTCATTCAGTGGACATGGCTGAAATCCAGTACCACATTATTTACACTGGAGGGAAAGACAAATATATGTATTGAATAGCTGTTGAGTTCAAATGCAGCAGTTGCCAGAAATATGTGCAGCATCATGCAGAATACATGGCTGTAATTCTGCCTTCCTGACCAACTTTGTCATCTACAGCCCGGAGCTGAAAGCATGTATTCATGCCTATCCCTGGATTTATTTTCTACCCTTTCATTTCCTGGAGCAGTAGCGTATCAACTTTGCTGCTGGCGCAGTATGTGTTCTGATGCTCAATAAAGCAGAGAATGTTTAAGAATGCCTCAATTCCTTGGTAAACTACCACAAAAAAATTGATTTGAAGGGAAATTTATCATTTGCAACAATACGTTTTCCAATCAGACTGTACCTACATATTTTCATCCATGGACCATAAATTATTAAAGACTGCACGGAAATATTTACACATAAAAATGTTGGTGATGTTAGCCTGCCGTCAGCATCAAAAGTGACACTTTGACTGCTCACACAGGCCAGTTGGATTAACTTTGTTTACACACAACTACCCCAAATAACAGCCTGAAAAATGACAAGATATACCTCACACTAAAAGCAACAGCATTAAAATCACTATGTTGGCACCCGGGACAGATTACCTAATATGGAGCAGAAATTTAGCTGACAGCTATTTTTCAGTCACATGCCTCATAGACAAGATTATTCAAATGTAGTGTCTGGCTGCCAAAGAGGTCTGCACGAAAATAATAATACCCTTGTGACAACCACTCCATCCCTGGCAGCAGCACAGCTTGTAACCTCTGATAATTATATTGAGAGGCCGACGGTAATGACAACTTTCCTACGCCACAGAAAGAGAAGACTTTCCTCTTAAAGCAGCAGCGGTCAAGCGCTGTTTTCTGAAATGCACACATGAGATAATGCTTTGTGAGGCATGTGGTTACCACAGGCTATATCAGCTTGGAATACCAGCGCCTGTCCCCTCCCACTGGGCAGTGCTCTGGGAAATGTGACGCTGCTGTGTGGTCTGGTTGGGATGCAGAGACAGTCAGAAAGTAAAACAAACACAGCGTGTGCTATGCAGCTTATATAAAGCTTTGCCATGCAATATTCCACTTAAAGCTTTTGTAGCCGGAAAAAGCGTATGGACGGGTTTTAATGTGACTTTCCATAAAAGTCCTGATATACTGAGCAGCCTCTTTCTCTCCCCATCACACACACACACACACTTCCAGTTCCTTCTGCATCAACCAGTAGTGAGAGAGTGGAGTTTGTACTTTAAACCCTGACAAACCCAACTAACACACTTTATCAACACAAATAAGAGCAAGGTGCCAGTATTTTAATTATGGTGTATTTAATCATCTACTAAACTTCTCTTTCGTTCCATTCTGGGAAAAAGGAAGCCAGAAATGTCCATAATAACATTCAGTGAGGGCGTAGGATGACTGTCCTTCAACTGGATCACTGGTTTGGTCCTCAGCTTTTCAGTGTGTTTGTCAAAGTGTACCCCACATGCCGCTCACTTGAAATATCCCCTGGACCAAAGCATCTTCTTCATAGAAGCTTTAATCCAGTGGATGCAGGAAAACTGATACGCCTTCAATGCTGTAGGGATTTGATTGGACTTTTACTGTCACTGGACCACATCTTGTTCGAACTTTTCAAAATGTCAGGACGCATCTGGGCCTGAAGCCGCTTTTTGGAAAATGAGTAACTGCACATGCCAAAAATAATCCTTAAAGCCAACCAAGTGGAAAGTCAATCAGGGATTTGAGGAGAAGATTGGCAACCTAAAGATAAGGTCCAAAGCCAGCGTCACAATGACTGCTTCTCACAACCTTGTAATCCCTGAGCACACAGGAAGGCTTCCTCTGTGTGGAACTACTCCAGCTGTGTCTGGTTACTACTGACAGAGGCTGCTCCACCACCGCTCAGCCTAAATGAGCAGTATGGAGGACTCTTTCCTTTTTCAGCTGAGGTCATATGATCATGCCACATTTACAATGCATGTGTTTGTGATGCACAAGGTTGTAAACGGTTGAAACGTTTTTTCTTTATTTGACAAAATTCCAAAGTTTGATTCGAGAAAACTGCAAACGGGAATATGAAAACACGTGGGACAACGTCGCGATAAGCCTGTCAAATATTACAATCATAAGACCAGCGATCAGGGGCAATGATTGTAACAAAATACAACGGTGCGGTGTCTCCCTATATTTGGGAAATGTAAACTCTTACCAGAGGACACAGATGAACCTGAGAGGCTTGAGTTACTGGATGCTGCCATCCCAACCACTTTCACGACCAGGGTCACTCCCGTTCGTCCGAGGTGGGCTCGCAGCAGCTCGTCCCCGCAGAAGCCTCCATGTCACTCGGGCTCTTCACCTCCACGGCCCCCCGGACCGGTGATCATTCCATGCCTGCTCTAACCCGGAGCCCACGGCGCGTCTGCGGGAATCTGCGGATCTCCACTCCCCCCCCCGTGTCTGGGCTCAGCGTGCGCCTCCGGGAGCTCCCGCTGCCGCAGAAACACCGGAACCACCACCACCGCCGCCACTCTCCGGACTAAACAGACAGGCTACGGGACCACTCTCCACGACTCAGTCTCGCCGCACCGTTCTCTCTCTCTCAGTGTGTGTGTATGTGTGTGTGCGGGATCCTGCCACGCGCAGATCGGCCGTGGTTTCCATGTGCCACTTTAAGGATCGTAATAAACACACCGCAGCCTAGGCGCGCCTTCTTAAAGTGGAAGTTTGTCTGATAAAAGCAAAACAACCCCCAAACAAACAAGCGACTCAACCCTGGTCTGCAAAACTGTATGTTTCTTTTTTTGTTTTTTTGCATGAGACCCACAGCGTAATGGTTCATTCAACGACCTGCAGGCTAAACCACATGACACCAGCTCCAAACCTGCATATTTTCTTCAGATGTCATGTTATGTCATGTTACGCGCAAGGAGCCCGGTGAATTGTTGGGTTTTATCGCCACCTGGTGCCTTCTCTCCTTTCTCTGCAGTGCTCGATGACACACAGTGAACTCTACTCCACAGGATGCAATAAGCCAAAACCAAAGGATGACAAATGACTTTAGAAAGATAATCTCTTGGATATGAGATATCAAGATAATCACTAAAGATGTTTTACTGAGCACCCATAAATGCAGTATGACTCCAAAGTGAACAAACAAATTGGGCCACAAAATAATAACAAGAAGTTGCAACGTAGCAAAAAAGAAACGAACAAACAAAACAAAAAAAAAAGGAAACAAGAAAAAATGCAAAATAACCACAGAAGAAGCACAAAATTGAAAAAACATGGAAAAATCGGCAATGGTTTTTGTGGTGTCCCCTAACAAAGTTTTGTTAAGTTGTGCTCACCTCCGTTGACCACATTTAAACAGGAGCTGACATAATTAACCTTTTGAAAAGGTCAAATCAGTTTTTTTAAGCCCTCCCTGATTCTTTGTTTTTGCATCCAATCTCCATTTAGGCTGCGAGAAGCTATGAAAAGAGGCTGCTCGACATTAAATGATGTCACAAACAAACCCAATGGCAAATATACCATTGTTTCAATATCAATCTCTATTGTGGGTGGAAATTACCCACCTAACTGTTAAAATAACATCTAAGTTCATGAAGAATAATTCTCTCAACAAGTCAGAGTATTACATTTCTGAGAAGCTTCTACAATCCAAAGAAATTAACAAACAAATAAACGCACAGTAAATCACATGTGCTCCACTCAGCGTGTGTATCCTGCCAGACAACGCTCAGGGCAAAACCGCACCGTCACAACAACTAAAATCACGTGACGCCGGACGTCATGTGACTTTCACTCAGTTTATCATGTGACTGAGCTTCGCCGTCAGGGTCGTGGTTGGAACCTGTCCGCTCGCGCAGCCTTCTGAACAGGACGAGAAACGTGTCCCTCACCGCGGAACCGACGGGGGGAAAATGAGGTGAGTAGTTTCCTTTTTCGGAGGCAGCAGCTCCGTGGTCGGGTTTCACCGACACCTGAGCGGCCATGCCTGCCGCCTGATATGCGGACTGCGGGTGTTTTCAGGCTGCCAAGGGCTACTGTGGGTGTCGTGTTTCTGTGGGCCTGCCTGAGCTCCGCCGCGGCCCGGGGCTGCTCGTCCTTCTTCTGCCGACGGCCCCACCGCGTCAGCGGCCCCACCGGAGCCGACCCGGGCTCCCCTCTCTTCCTCACCCCTTACCTGGAGAAGGGCGACATAGCCGGAGGTGAGAAGCGCGCGCGCGGTAAGGTTAGGTCGCACGCGCGCAACGGCACGCTGACGCTCGCTCTTCTCAGCCAGGAAACTGAGTCTGGTGGGCAGTCTGCCTGGACCGAGCGTCAAGAGCTATGCCGGGTACCTCACGGTCAACGAGAAGTACAACAGCAACCTCTTCTTCTGGTTCTTCCCAGCAGCCAAGGTGGGCCTAGCTTCTTGCTTGATGAACCCCAGTAAAATCACGTGCCCATCTCCCATCATGCAGTGCACAAATAGCTATTAAAGCCTTATTCTGCAGTTAGGACTATTCCAACAAAAGTGCTTGAAATAGTGTTTGCTCTGATCAGGACCAGGCTGCTGGAGGCATGGCTGATTCATCAGATTGACTCCTGATGTATAACTTTACACCCCTTGTTATAAGCATAATCATCACTTTACCTCCGCACAGTCTCTCTGAAACAACTGGATGTTGGTGTCACCAGTCCAAAGAAAACCTCTGGCCTCTTAAATAGTTTTTTCCCTAATTCTTCTCCTGCATCCAAGCCTTTTTTCTTTACTTTTTATAGATATTTTTCTCATTTTGTTCTTATCTGTGCTTTTGTTGCCTGTTTCACTTCTATTCAAGGCCACTTTGCAGATTTCAGATTGACGGCAAACAGCTTCCAAGTACAAATGCCACACCTGGCATCCAGTTCAGATATTTGATTTAGCGGTAGTTGGATTTTTCTTTATTAAACAGCTTTTGCATAGATTTTTCACATGCACGGCATACAATTTCACCACCATTTGTTCAGCTTAAGTGCGACAACTTTGATATTAAAGCAAAGAATCTGCACTTAGATAGTGAAGTTTGTCCTTTGGACAGGACTGTAATTTATTTACTCAAGTTTAACAGCAAGGAAACTGATTTGTGTCAGTCTATAACTATATAATCAGAGCGTTACACCAAATATGATTCTGAGCTATCAGTCTCAGTTCATCATTTTAAGCTTAAGTGTGTTTGTTTAAAAAAACAACACAAGTATTCAGATAGGATTTGATCAAAATGATCCCCTGAATTGAAACCTGGGCACCACAGACAGGAACAACTCCACGATTATGATCGGTCCAGAAGCTGAATAAAGTTTAGCAGTCTGTTCAAATGAGTGGCAGTAAAGTTTAGTAAGACAAAACTATCACAAGGTGGAGCTGAAGGTTTTACCGTGTCCATTCCCGTGTCACAGGCTGACCAGGGAGCTCCTGTCCTGCTGTGGCTGCAGGGCGGGCCAGGGGGCACCTCCATGTTCGGCCTGTTTGTGGAACACGGACCTTATGTGGTGTACAAGAACATGACGGGTAGGAAATGATGAGTTCCAGCAGATATGCTGCGTTGTGTCAGCGTTTATTTGGTGTGTGAGCATTCTTCTTCTTCTCCATCTCTGCAGCCGGACTGAGGGATTACGCCTGGACAAATGCCTACTCAGTTTTGTACATTGACAATCCGGTATGTTTTTTTTGTTTTTTTTAACCTAACATCCATCTTTTCCTTTTTTTCCAAAGTTGCCAATACACAAAGTATTTCACTTCATGTTTCCCAAAACTCAGGATATGTGTTCTTTTTTTCCTTTTCTTCTAGGTTGGGACAGGGTTCAGCTTCACTGATGATGACAGGGGCTTTGCTCAGAACCAGGATGATGTTGGTAGAGATCTGTACAGGTTTGTCATCTAAGTCTGATGTAGTAATTTTTATTGGGTCACAGTAATAGTTATGTTTTTTTTACAAACTCTTACTAATGCTGCCTACTTTTTTTTTTTTAAGTGCTTTAACACAGTTCTTCCAGATCTTTCCTGAGTATCAGGCCAGTGATTTCTATGCAACCGGGGAGGTACGTTTCACCTTATCATCACTGCTTCATATTTCAATGCAGTAAAATGACATCCATTTTTCTAAATTTGTGCTTATTGGACTTTTTAAATGTGAACATAGTAGATAACAGCTGAAAGAAAATCTTCACGGGGTATTTGACCGATACTGTCTCTGATTCTGTACAGTCATATGCAGGGAAGTATGTTCCGGCCATTTCTTACTACATCCACAAAAACAACCCCACGGCCAAGGTGAAAATTAACTTCAAGGGCATGGCTATTGGCGACGGACTCTGTGATCCAGAGCTGGTGTGTATCCATCTGCAGTTTTACTTTATGTTGTTCCCACATGTTACTCTGTCTAATCTCTGCTCTGGAATCCTCCAGGCAGGCTGGCTTTTAAAAAGTAAAAAATGTCTTGTTTTTTTCACTGCAGTTGTTATTGTGGTATGAATACATGCTGATTTGACTTGTCTTCCATGCCAGATGTTGGGTGGTTATGGTGAGTTCCTGTATCAAACAGGAATGATAGATGAACTCCAGAAACAGTATGTGAACAAGCAGACGGACCTAGGTGTTCAACTCATCCAGAAGGAACAATGGGTGGAGGCTTTTGAAGTAAGACCTGTGGGGCCTTTATCAAACCACATCAAATTAATCATCATGAATAAATACCATGATTTTATTTTAATCATCATATCTCTCTTGAGCAAAACTCAATATGTTTTATGAACAAAATCAAGCTATATCCCAAAAAGTGTTCTCTTTTACGACTTTAGGTTTTTGACAGTTTGCTGAACGGAGACGTGAACCCTTATCCCTCATTCTTTCAAAACGCCACCGGCTGTACCAACTACTTTAACTACATGACATGTCAGGTACTCAGGCCTCAGCCCTCTGCGATCCGAAATCCCTCCATGCCTCTATACAGATGTGTTTTACGCGTGTAAACAGGAGCCCGAGGATCAGGAGTACTTCTCCCAGTTCGTGACCCTGCCGGAGGTGCGGCGTGCCATCCACGTGGGCAACCTGACGTTCCATGACGGCTCGCAGGTGGAGAAGCACCTCCTGCAGGATGTCATGAAGAGCATCAAGCCATGGCTGGGGGTGCTGATGGACAAGTACAGGGTGAGGAAAGCCACTCGCCACTAAACCGGGGCAGCATGCTCAACAGCACAGTGTACTTATCTTACTCCACTCGTATATAAATTTAACAAAAATTCTGTTTTATTTTCTACATGATACTCATTGCATGTCCAGGTCTTAATCTACAGTGGTCAGCTGGATGTGATTGTAGCAGCCCCTTTAACTGAGAGGTTCCTGCCAACGGTTAACTGGACCGGGGCGGCCGAGTACAAAACAGCCCCCCGCTTCCACTGGAAGGTTCAGCCAGATGACACGGAGGTGGCGGGTTACGTCAGACAAGTCGGAGAGTTTTACCAGGTGAGTCAACATTAACAGTTTTTGCATAGATGGATGTCCTAGATTCTAAAAAACAAAAAACAAAAAACACTCTCCTTTCGTCACACAGGTCATAATACGGGGAGGAGGACACATTCTGCCTTACGACCAGCCGGAAAGGTCTTTTGCTATGATTGACAGATTCTTGTCGACGCAGAGCTGGAAGTGACAGGAACTGGTGCCGACGGGCAGCTGAACAAGTCCTGTTTGCTCAATGACTGTTGATCTGACAGAGCACTGATTGTCATTTTACTTTTTTTTTAAAGAAGATTTATTATAGATGATATTTTTGATTTTCGGATGATGGCATTTTTATTGAATCACCACAGAAAAATGACAGTTCTCTCAGACCGCTTTGTTGTGTTTGGACTTTTTGTTTTGTTTTTTAACTTCAGGGAAAATATGGTTTGGGTCAAATCTGATCATTATGCATTTCAAAAAAGAACAATGGCATGAAATAAAGACGTCCTTACAAGTTTCGTTATTCTAATCATTTCTGTGAATGCTCGACGTTGCTGATTGTGAAACTACAGTCATAGTTAACCATAAGTTAGTCATGAAAACGTACACCAGGGGTCACTGCCCTCAAAAGAAACATTTAAGCCTTTGTGGACGAACTGAAAAGTCAGATTCAAGCTTTCCAGAGTAGAAGTCAGCCATTTGATGCTTTAGAAAATAATTCAATATACTAGATTTTTTTTCTACAAATGTTTCCATTCCATTCTATTCGCATGGAAACACAGGATCCTTATTTAAAAGTTAGCATGTTCTAGATAACAATAGACAATGAACAAAGGCTCTTAATAGTTGTGAAAAGCCACAAAAATTTCAACATGTCATATTTCTCAGATGCAAATCCATTGATGAACCTTTGGAGTGCTTAGTGTTACCTTTTGTTTGTCCATTGCAGCTTGGCTTGGATTGCTGTAATTTCTTGATAATTCACAGTTCCTTCATTTGCAAAATATTTTCACATGTAGCGCATTTCAACCTTTAGGCGTTGACTTGACCATTTTCTAATTCTTTTTTTATTTTTATCTTTGTATTAAATTTTAAGTCGTTCCTTGTCCGGTTTGGTTTGCTTGTGCCCTCATTTTTTCCCAAATGCTCTGGACTCTGGTTTAAACATCTAAGCAGATGGTCTCACATAATCTACAAATCCTTTGTTGATATGTTACAAAATGCACAAATTATTGAAACCATACCTTCGTCTCCGCTGGATCTAAGTAACAATAAATCAGAAAATTCCATCCGACATGTTTCCTTTTGTCAGCACCAAACATGCTGTTTCTTCAGTTAAACAAACCTGATTGATTTATCTGTCCAGCACATTTTAGCAAAGGCTTTGTCTTTGCATGTTTTGTTGTGTTCATCTAATGATTATTTTTCCTTGGACGCCTCTATGAAGGCTATTTCTGTCGTAAAATTAGATGAATATGCTTTTAAAATTTGAGTGCAGAACCAAGGACTTTCTTTGTGTGATATGGGGTCCTCTGTCTTACTTTAAATGGTGTGGTTTTTTTAAATGTCCTTTTTAGCCATCCATTACCCGTTCTTGACAAGTTTTTGTAATAATGCTGTCACACTGATTTGTGCTCTTGTTTAAAAAAAAGGAAATGGTTTAAGTGAATGTGAATGCAATTAATGAATGTAACTAACACGGTGCACATATCTGCGGTACTCATGCAAACTGACAAAGATGTGTGTACAAAAGTTAACTGCTACGTTATTTCATCAGACATCTATCAAGCTGTCTAGACAGTTCAATAATTAATGAGTACTCTACACCTTTAAAGCATCTGACTATTTCATGAGTGGCTATTTTTCAAGGGCAAGCATCAGGAAATACTGTCGATCCTTTCATTTGAACTTAAATTCACTGACACAATCCAGGCAAAAAATAATCTCAGATGGACTTTTCAAACAAAGGGATATCCACTCGCTAAACAAAATCTCTTGTTACAGAACAAGTGCTTTATTTTCATACCATAATGTAACTGTAACGTCTGTACAAATGCAAAATAACATGAGGACAATGTAATCACAAGACAAATGCACACAAAAATGTACAAAGTTATGCAGGCAAGATGGGAGTCATCAGTTCATTACACATCAACAATGTACTTAAGCGCTGTAATGATCATCGACGTACAACAAAAGGCAACAAGTGCTATGAAAACATTATTTACAAACGTACCACATTTACTCTCCCTTCAAAAAGAAAGGTGGTTGCATTACATGTACACGATTATAGAAATTAATGATATTATGTACAATATTTATAGTTTTAGATTTAAAATAATACAATTGCATCATTACTACGTTGGAATAGTCATTCTCTCACACACAAATCCGCAGAGATACACACATATGCTGCACTTCCATCTCGACCTCTTTGTTTGCCTACACGAGAACTTTTTTTCTTCTAAACCTGAATCCGCAGTCAAAAATGAAAGTCAGATGTAGCTTGTAGGTCAACCGAATAACTCCAGTTGAAAGAATTTTAAGGTAACCAGCATTTAAGCCACAAAAAGTTGGAATGGTTTAATTCAAATAGGGTTTTGAATCGTGAAAATAAGGCAAGCATTAGTCCAGAGGGTTGGTACAACAGAGCCCTTTTCAAGAGAATCTCTCTGACTCATCGACACACATACTGAACTGCACATGCAGATTCCAAAGTTAAGAAATGACATAAAAACTACAAATTCCCGCACTTTCGATTTCTTCATCTTACACGAGAACTTTTTTTTTTTTCCTTGATAAGAAAAGCACAAATGAAACGGTGGCTTTCTTATGTTACGCTCCAAGTTCCCGTTAGAAGAAAGCCAGGCACAGTCTCTCCAGAGAGCCAAACACACAAACGCTGGTGTGTGAAGATGGGGGATCACTGAGAATTACTCTGACCTTAATATGGCTATTTCACCCTCTGGTATTACAGAGGACAAAGTGCAAAGGACAGCTCTGCGATTGCTCCACCTGTCAGTGGAATGTATTTCACTCGTCCTACTGTAAAACACAGTGCATTGTGGTCTTCATGCTAACAAACTGACATTCCTGGTCATAGGGAGGAGGAAAGAAAGAGGAGCTGTGGAGTGAAGGTATTAAGTTTCAAGGCAGGCAGGGTGACAGAAAAGGTCAGGCATATATCCATCTGGGACACAAAGGGTTTTTGGCCTTTTATGTTGCAGATAAAATGAGTAAAAGTTACTTCTTTTAAAAAAAAGAAAAAAAAAGATAATAGCTGGTTAAAATAAGTTTCTGTCTATATTAAGCTAACAGAGATTCAGGCACGTTGTGACGTCTTGGAGAACATGCGAAGGATTGACCACTTCAAGGATGCCAGTTCACCAAAGAAAAAAAAAAAGAAGAGAAAAAAAAACCAAGGTTAAAATCTTTCTCACTTTCTCACGCATGTCTTTCTTTTCTCTGTCAGCTGCTCTGTCACAGCTGCTGAACTTTGTTCTGCAGTGAAAAGAAGGGAAAGGAGAAGAAATAAACAACATTCATGTGCAGTCATAGGTTATTTTCATTTGGAATTTAGATCCAAAATATGGATCTCAATGCACAACACACACACACACACACAAAAAAGAGGCCTCAATGATTAAAGCTTGGGTTGGTCCTGCAGTAAGGCTGAGTTGGTCTCAACCCCTGAGCTGCCTCACCGGTATCACAGTGTACAGTTCTGTAGCTGAAACAGCATCGTATGTCCTTGGCCAGTCTGATCGTAAAGTGGGCGAACAGTGGAGAAGATGATCAATACTGAGATGTATTGCTTACATTTGGTAATACAGTGTCATCACTGTCATGCTGTATATCGTAAAGCTCTGTAGAAATACTGCAGACAGAACAAATGTTAACAGTCGTAACGACAACAACAACAAAAAAGCATTCTACCTGCTTGCATATTCTTGTGTTTCTGACCTCATGGCAGCAGTTTCACTCGGTTTCTGCATGCAAAACGGGCTGTAAACGCTCAGCACTGTCCACATGTGACACATAGATTGGGATTTGACTGGTTACTCAGTCCATTAGGCATAAAGAGATGTAAGACATGTTTATAGAGATTATGCTTAAGAGTCCGATGCTCACTTCTCTCTCCTCTGCTTCCATGACCGCTGTGGTTTCATAGCTTGTCCCATTACACAACAGAGGAAATAGTGCATGGGATTCACAAAATTCTCTTTCAGGCCAAGCACGAAAACAAAAAGGGAGCAAACCTCTGAGCTTCTACGCCTTTATGGGTTTGGTCTATGAAAATATACTGTAGCTACTGTAAAAAGAACAGTGTCCCAGGCCTTTGAGGTTTTTCCTAACGGAGGGGGAGGGGCGGCGTGAGCAGCAGGTGACCCTCACAGAGCAGGGGTGGCGGTGGGAGGGGGCTTGTAGCTGCAGCTCTGGTCCCTAGTGGATGGGGTTAATGTCTGTGCGGTGGTTGGTCTGCCCGTGCACGCTGCTGCCCCCTACAGTCGTAGTGGAGGTGGTGATGGTGTTGTGCTGGATGACCTGCTGCTGCTGGGAGCATGCTGGGGTCGGACTCCCCGCCGGACTGCTCTCTGGACCTGAGGAGAAAGCACAGGCATCACTGAGGGTGGACAGGCTACAATATATATGCTTTTGGACGCACTACAAATAGATTCCAGTGTGTGACATGAGTACAAAATAAAATGAATACCAGTCAAGCCAAATTAAAATAGAAAAAGCCTTTTATTAAAAGAAATAATTATTTCACATTCAAGTCACATGTGCCACTCCAAAGACAAAAATAAAGGGATAACACAAGTATGGAAATGTGAATCACTCAACTCCGTAAATATGCACGATGAGTGTTTGACACATTCAAGGTGGCATCTGTACACAAGTTAGACTCATTGATGAAAGTCATTCCAGCCCAGTCTGGGAGTTGGCTTTCTCCTGCATAAAAGAAGCATTCAGCCACCGGGGATGCTGAGCCTTATTTTCCTGCATTTAAGCCACACAGGGAGGTGCCTTATCCTAATTGAGTGGAAATGTCAACCGAACCCCTATCAAAGGGAGGGGCTCTGATGTCATGTGAGGCCGAGCCGAAGCCCCGTCCAAGAGTCTTCGTGGGCATTTGAAAAAGTTTGCCATAAAAAGCAGACTGTGATGCCTTTCTCACGTCCAGTCTCGGCCCTCTCTGTGCACAGAGGTGCTGTCAAATGGAAAAATAAGTCTCGTAGGAGATTCAGACGACCAACTCCCAGTCCAGACCAGAGCGTGCAACACCCATGTGTGACAGGAAGAGTCTTGTGGCGAGCGTGGGAGCTGGATACCATCACATCTGAGCGAAGCATCTTGGCAGTCACTGTTTGTCCATCAGACTTACGTCTGCAGGCCAAAGGCAGACCGGTGATGGAGTGTTTGTAGCATAATTCCCAAGTGTGTGTACGTCTGCGTTTGTGTTTGAGCTACTCACTGAGGTAACCCTGGGACTCTTTCTGCATAGTGGTGATGGGACAGTCCTTGTGTGTAAGCAGAAGCTGCTTGAGTTGGGTCACCTCATTCTTTAGCATGGTCACTTCATTCTGAAAAAACAAAGAATATTGTGGAACCCAGCTTTACAAAGTAATGGCAATTACAAGCGTTTGTGTATTAGAGCTCATCTTAGTTATGTCTGTGATTTTTCTCTGTACCTGAAGCTGCATGTTGGTCTGGGTGAGCTCTTCTGCCTTCTTCTCTAAAGACATGACCCACACTTTTCTCTTCTGTCTGCATCTGGTTGCAGCCGCCCTGTTTCTCTCCAGAAACTTCCGCCGCCGTTCGTCTGGATCCTCGTCCACTACCCTTCTGCGCCGCCCCCCGCTGGGCGGCGGGGACTGCAGCGTCTGCGTGGGCTGCATCTGCTGGGTGGCGGGTGACATCTGAAACACGCGGCGCACAGGATCAGCTATTCCGGAATCTCTGATGAGACAGCGTCTGTCTGCAAACCCCTCGGACTACATGGAACCACAGACACCTGGAAAACAGTCCGTCACCTGTCTGCTGTCACCACTTCACTGCCCCCTAAAAGCCTGATGCCTGTAAACAAGCATCTATACATTATCTCCCTCCAGCTATTTAATGTCTGGCAACATCCCCAAAAACAACATCTGTTTGTACCACGTGCCCCTAAGAGCCGGGCAGTGTGCGTCAGGAGTGAATGAGTGACTGAGAGACTGGGCTGATTCACAAGGCTGCCCACCTTGTTAAAGAGGTGTCAGGAGGCCGTTTTCCAACGCCCACTTCCACTCATACTAATAACACCAGACACAGTCAAAAGGCCCGTTTCTAAAAGCGTACAAGCACTGACAGATCTTGACATGTACTTGGCAACGTCAAGTGTTTTCAGTCTTCAGATCGTTACCATTTTTTATGAGAACCACGGAAAATACAAGCAGCTTTAATGGCCGCTGTGTATACTAAAAGTGTTGTTTTAATGCCTTAATGGTAAATCTGGAACATACAGTGAATTTGCAGTTCTATAAGTCAGACTGTCCAAAGGTTGCCAGACAAAGAAAAAGACTCAAACTTGAATCCAATCCTTTCAAATAAAATCAAGCCAAATACATTAAAGCTAAAAATGTACCCGATTTGTTAGCTACAACTGTCTGTTCATCATCAGGACCAGCATTTGCAAAAGTTATTCTGCACCTGGAGCTTACTAATACCAGCTGCATAATTGCAGCTTGGTGGAGCAGGTTTGCGGGAAGCAAACTTTCCAAAGGGCAGTGCTGAGAATCTTTTATAATCGGCACCTTATGACCCTTTCCCAGCCTGTCTTTTCCTGACAGGCATCAAACGCTGACCTGTGGCTGACCACCTTCGCAAGCAAAAATACACTTTCGACACAGGCCAGGAAAGTACTTGGCATTATGGTTGTAGCAGCAGAAAATGTGTTTGTCCACTGACAGTGGAATTTAAGCATCACTGCAGCTTTGCTTCACAACTAAACCACTAATGGCTGAGTTCAAAACTACTCAAAGGGGTTACTGAGGCACTCCTTTGTTTTAGTCATGATGCACACACATCGGCTTCTGTCTTTGTGACTGACTTTAATGTGCAGCGTAGTTAATGTGTTATTGAAGTTGTGGCTTTGCCTCTAAGCAGCCTGAGAGCTTCAACACTCCTGAGAGACAGCGCTTTGATTACCTGGCTAGCAGAGTGCATTGGAGGGTGCGGTGACGTCTGGTGTGGGTGCCCAGGATGGAGGTGGGGATTGTGGGAGTTGTGATGGGGGTTGTGTCCCTGCGGGTGGTGGTGTGCACCCTGGTTATGGCCCTGGTTGTGGTGGTGGTGTCCGTGGTGCTGGTACGCGTGGGGGGGGGCTTGCAGGTGCTGGTGCGGATGCGAGTGCATGTGGTGGTGGCCGCCTTGCTCCTGCCGTGATGACATCATCTCCATCATGTGGCCCATGGAATTCATGTTGCCGTTGGCGATGGCACCAGGATGGTGGGAAAGTGCAGCCTTTAGCCTCTGTGTGGAGAAAACAAGACACAAAACACAGCATTTGACTGTATTCTGTTGCACTTGCTTTAAAATAAAGTTTGCAGACATTGGCTTCTTCCAGAGGCAAATGGAGAGATAGAGAGCAAGGATCGTGTGCTGACTGGGACAAGACAAACAGGCTCATAAATCCACATGTCAGAGGAACAAATCAAAGCCACTTAGGCTGTCCTCTGTGTCTCCTTCTGTCCTGTCATTCATTCTCTTCACCTTTCAAGACTGCCACCACACCAGTCACTCCTCTTTGTATTCCTAATAGCCCACTTCTGCTTTGTACATGTGTGTGTGTGTGTCCGTGTGTGATGTCAGCGAGATGAGCTCGCTGTAGGTGTGAACCTCAGACTGTTGACCCAGCGAACAGTGGATTTGTTGCTTTAACTGTGTGGTCTACTTAGCCCCGACTGAGACAGTGACTCTGAGCAGTGTGTGTGAGAGAGACCAGAGAGGGGCTCTCTAAATGCACGCTTGTGTTCCTCATGTTTACCAAATGTACTTCTCCTTTCCTCAACTCTGTTTTTCTGGGCACTACATTAAGACAAACATAAGAGCAAAAGCCTAGACATAAATAAAAAATACTTGAGATGTTTACATTTAATTGCCAGGTTCCAAGAGACTGGCACACTTTGTTAAATGTGAGAATTTGTAATTCTAAGTCATCCCCCAGCTTAAATATTTTGTCTCCTAGTATTTTTAGCAAAACTGTTACCAGCAGAAATGCAACCAAACTCTGTCATTCCAAGGCTACTGTTGTGGATTCCACAAAGATTTCTATTCTCTTTCCCAGTGCTCCCTTTTCTCTCCCTGCTCCCTTCCCCCTTCTCCCAGCTGCTGTCAGTGAGTCCACGCTCGGTCCAAGGCTCCATATCTTTTAACAACCTTCACATTCATGATTCCCATCGGGAATGGCATCCAGCTGGTTCGGCTCACAGTGCTAGGACATGACCAGAGCACATCACACTCACACTCTCTGCGAGAGGAACACTTTTCACAATAAAGAAGAGGCAAAGTTAAATAACTGGCTAAAGAAAAGATTGGAATGTATTAACAAATGACATATTAGTATTCTTGAAGATTTTCTAAGTAGCATAGACTTCTTTACCTGGTTTTCCACGAAGACAACGAAATGCCGAGAGCTGCACATGAAACTAGTGCAGGGAAATTATGACCCTGCCAAGCCTGTTTCAGCTGAGTAGAGTTTCTGTTTGTCATACCAAAAGATGCCAAACATTGTGACAAGTACAGTTCTGACAGTCTATCTTTTGAAACTCCCATACGATCATTTTCAAATTTGTCACACAGCGATTACAAATAATTTTTTATTTTTTTTTATCACACTTGGTCAGAAGCTTTGCCACAGCCTTATTAGTCCAAGTGTCAGGGGCCACAGCCCTTCCTTTTTCTGAAAAATTAGTGAGTTGCAAAAATGCCACAAGAGTTTGCTTTAAAACATAGTAGGTGTGCATCAGCCTGCAGCATACTGAAACTCGCAGAGGTTAATAGGCCTTACTACAAACCCTCAAAAGAAATATTTAAATCTATGAGATGAAACACTACTAAAAAGCTCACAGATCAATCACAGTCACACCTGTTGACAAATGCAATCCCTGTGTTAAGAATAAGATGAATACTGAGATTGGTGGCCATCACTGAACATCTTTGTTTCACCTTTCAGTTTGCTCAGAAAGAGGCACAGAGGTGAGGCCTACCCCTCTTGTAAAAGAGAAAAGCAATCAAAGCTCAACAAGATTCTGTCACTGGCGAAACAGGAAATCACATGTTTGTATAGATATCCATTTACGTTGGTACTGTGCTTTCGTAGTCCATGCAGTTACCTGAATGTGCAAAAAATGTTCATTACATGCAAATGGAAGTCCGTGCATACCCGCCGCCGGGGGGACAAACACAGAGGAGGAAGAAAGTGGAAGCAGGCAATGAAAGAGAAAGAGACCTGAGGTGGGGGAGATTAAATGGATTCTGCCGTCTCTTCCTTACACACAATCAGCCAAAGACTGGGATTGCCCATTTATCAGTGTCTCAATGAGCTTTCCAGTTGGCAGTGCAGCACTTTAAGCTTGTTATTTGAATCAGCCTGGATCCAAAGAGGACACAGAGTGTCAATACACAGAGGTAAGTTAGAGAGGTGGCACCAAGACTCTCTTTGGCGATGGTTATAAACAGCTCAAAATTAACTGAAAGTAATACAATATGGCCCAATGACCCCAATCCGAATGTAAAAAGACCACTTGAAGAAATAAACACACACATGCACAGCCCATATTTTAAAAAAAGATTGGAGAGGCCTCACAATTATAGCTCCAAAACGTTACAATTTGAGAAGTTTCTGAGGCTCTTTAAAACTCCCCTTTCATAAAACTGAACTCTTTTCCCATTATGAATTTTTATATATTCTGTTATGTAACCTGCACACTGTATAAACAGATGGACATTTAACTACTTTGATTTGTGACACGTGCACATGCACTAAAGCAATAACATATCCACATATTGCATTTTGTTTAAAAAAAGTAAACCCTTACCGTGATACCAGTCTGTTCCTGACGTTATCTCTGCACTAGTTTCTGCTTCTGCTCCATCCTGAGCTGAGACACAGCTAGTTAAATCCCACTCAGCCAAAACTTAAATCTTTGTATCCAGAACCACAGTGACGCAACTAAGGGACGTTAGCAGAGTGATGATGAGCAGGCTGTGAGTCTCAAACACCTTCATCAACTCCCTAATGACTCTTTAACACATGGTTGCATTTCCCCAGACTGTGCTGAGCACAAGAACTTAACCACAATGTGCATTTTCCTCTAATAACACACATACATACACGTTTTTCCTGCAGCAACATGGCTGCCATAGAAAACAGTCATTAAATCAGTGCAGGTGTTAGCCTGTGGCAGCACACAGCACTCACACTGATGGGATGGCACACAGCCTATCCCATCAATGTCTGCCCCGCAGTCACTGGAAATGGAAAACAAAGCATGGACACAATAGGAAGATTATGTTTTTGCAAGACCATAGAAAGCTGTTTAGCTTCTTCCACGATACTTCCATTTTGCAGCAGCATAAGTACATGCATCTGACACTACATTTCATGCTTTCTGGGAGTGTGGTAAAAGTAGTGGCGATATTGATTTTTCAGTATTAAAACACAATCCCTGATTTAGCCATCCTTTGCCCAGGGGGGAGCTATCTTCTTTCAGACCTTTGGCCCTTGACCCCACCACTCCCAGTTCTTTTTTAGGCTTCTCTCATTTATGTGGTTTCAGTGAACCCAGGCGATCATCCATTAATGATATTTATTAATGGCTGCTTCCTCTCTGACACGATGAGCTGTGAGTGATGTCGCTTTGAGTGCTCTGGGCACATCCTGAGAACACACTCAGGTTTCTCCTGGCAAGATGACTTCATATCTATTAACCCTGGGAGGAGAAAGCAGGAGCACGGAGCAGGTACAAAAGAAGGGGACCACGCCTCGCAGAAGATGGGTAAATCAAATTCACTGAGGTCAGGGTGAGCACTTTTATTCCCCTTAAAATTAGAGCAGTGTGCTATCAGGAGACCTGTAGCCCTCTGGCGCCTTACAGCAGGTTAGAAAGATTTAACCAGTCTGTGGAGTCATAGTTTAACAGCAAAAAGATCAAAGTTTCAAATGGAGATCTTCCTCTTCTCATAAAAGCAGACAACAAAGAAAATGAAAGCTTCTGTCTGTCTCTGTCAGCTCTTTTGCTAACACTAGCGCAGTGTGTGAGTGCACAGTATTGCTAATTGTGTAATATATCATTGCTGTAACTTTCCTGGCAGAATATATGTAAAACCTAGGCCCCCTACCTCACACTCCAGGCCTGACATGGGTTCACCAGCTGCAGTTGAAAGCAGGAGAGTTTGGCTCTGCTGCTTTGCCAAACACTCCGAGGATCCTGTTCCACCCTCCTCGCTTCCATCACAACCATTACCCACAAGTGCATGCCTGCAAAACCCACTCTCTGTCCCCTAAATCTCCACACCCCCATTAGTTCAATTTTATTAGATTTCCCTCTCACCCAGAAAGGCAGTAACAACCCCCCTTCTTTCTCTTCTCTCTCCCATACACACCTCTTTCCTGTCCCACCACCCCCTCTCTCTCTCTGCTTGCCAAGAGCTGGGGACTGTTAAACTGATTTCCTCGGGGAACGGTGAGACAGACAGTCTGATGGGAGCGCTGGGCTGTAATGTCGCCCCCTCTCTCCTGCCTTTGGTTCTGGACCAGGCCGATCAGGACGGAGCTGAACAGAGTTTCCCTGTGGTTCCAGACGGAGACGGGGAGATGGACATAGACTGGCTGTTCTGCCAGGGCCAGACGCTCCGGTGGTGCTTGGACAAACCAAGGCGGTATGGGCGCAGCGAGACACACGCCCACCGAGGAGCATGCTCCAAAGCATGCGCTCATACTCTTGGCAGCTTCTGCACCCTGTCAAGTTAATGGATGGGCCTCTGACTCCAGTCTGCATATCCCCACTGTTCCTTCTCTTGTAAAAGCCCTGCACCAGTACAGCCTACATGGTTATCACTACAGCCACTGTCATGATGCTGAATGCAGAGAATGCCCCAGACTGACAGAAATAGAAAATGCCTGAGCCAAATACTAGAACAACAAGCTTTGTGAGATCAAATTAATTAGCAGTATATGCATCACAGTGTTAGAAAATGTATTCCTTGTAATTCTGGCCTTCTAAGAAGGACATTTAACTTCCTTGCAGATCACTATTTATATGTAAATAGCAACAAGTGTTTCTCTGTCTGTTATTTTAATTTAGAATTCTTTAAACAATTAAGGAAAAACGTTTCTAATAATATCTCAACTAATTTGAAACATTACAAAAACATACAGACTCAATCCCCCTCACCCCCACCCTTCTACCCCCATTTACTGGCAGGCATGAGCTTCTTTGAGAGATGATGACTTAACATAGCTAAAAGTCTCTGACCAAACAGGCTTTTTAAAAGTTTCTCCTCTCAGTCTATTGTCCATTGCTCAGACTCCAGGGGGGGCTGAACCAGTTCAGCCTGGCCTGTCTGGTGATAACAGCTGGTTTACCCTAAGCCTGGCTTGACAAGAGCGCCATCCAATTCATGAGCCTTGAACCATGACGAACGGGCCCTCATGTACGCCTCCCATCAGCACCCTAAAAACAACATTCAGTCCCCATAAACCAACCTACACCCGAGCAAAGAGAAAAACACACTGACGGCCGTCAACTTCATTGGAAAGATAATGAATGATTATAAAATATAGAATCCAAAAGCTGTATATCAATTATAGTGGTAGCTGAGGTAAAACGTTTAGATCCTTTAATGGTATAAGGGCCCACCATAAAGCCGCCACGGTGGTGTGGTGGTTAGCACTGTCGCCTCACAGCACAGAGAGTTCCTGGTTAGAGTCCCCAGAGTTTGAATGTTATCTCTGTGTCTGTGTGGGTTCTCTCCGGGTTGTAGTTTTGAGTGTGAATGTGAGTAAGTGTGGTTGTGTAGACCTGCAATGGACTGGCGACCTGTCCAGGGTTTACCCCGCCTCTCACACATTGTCAGCTGGGATAGGTTCCAGACCCCCACCACCCGTTGGGAATAAGCGGTATAGAAAATGAATTATACGAGTTTAAAATCTACTATCAAGTACAAAGTGTATAAATACTCAAATCCATTCATATATCAGTCTATGTTTTCATACATAAAACAACATAAGAACTGTGCGTAAACTATGAGAAGAAAAATAGTGAGTAAGAAAAACCCAGTGAGTAAGAAGAGTTTCTGTATTTTACAAATATTTATCAAAAGTCATGCATGTAAAGCAGTGAGAAACGGGGGCCTCTCAGGTTTATGTTCCCCATTAATAAACTAGCGTAAACAGGCATCCAGAAGTTTCAGTCAGAGATGAAACAACTCATCAACATTCATGTATTATTTATTAACCACAAATATGTATGTAACACATCTGCATCACACGCCATGTGCAAACTCCAATTTAATGGTTTGCTTTAGCCCCTTTTGTTCACATATGTGTTTTGACTCGAATCACAATGAGTACCAAAAAAGATACCAGGGCTTAAAAAAGGAGCCCCTGTCACACACAATGCGCATGGACGCAAACATATACAGTGAACATGCAAACTCTGAGTGAAGAAGGCTGCATATTCAGCTGTTCTCTTAGCTCACCATCCCTGCTCAGTGACATCACACCCGGACAATGCCACCATTCATACAGATGTTGCTCACGAAACCTGGAGTTAGCCCCCTATTGTCAGTGCTGCTCCTCCTGAGAACAAGAGGTATATCCAGAGGTGCTTCCCTACTATGGGGTAGGAAAACAAATGACCAGCTTCATTATGTTAGTTTAATACTGACTCAATGTCTCAACTAACAAACCAGCACATATGAGGCTGCTTTCTTGGCATCAGGGGAAATCTTCATTGTTATTTACTGTTCAAAGCATAAATGACCTCCGATCTAAATGCCTCCTGTAAATCTGCCTGTTCTGAAACCTTACAATAAACTTACAAACAGTAAAAACTGACATCAATGGAGTAGGAATTATTTGATTGTATGTCCTCTTGTGGGCTATGAAATGTTCCTTTAAGAGAAGCACCATTTTTTCCCTCTCTTCAAGTAAAAAGGAGCATATTTAGAGCATGCCAGGAATTATGTCATCCACAAATCCAGTGCCAGCTCCACGGCCAAGAGGACTGCAATGAAAGAACATATAGTATTGTTTACCACATAAAAACCTCAGCACCTAGCCTGATGCTTAGTGACAAATTTATTGTCCTTGGTAACAATGTAAACAATAGATAATTGGGTGATAATAAATAACACATTTTCATACTCCAGCAGCAAACTGTTTCAAGGCTGCTCTATCTGAAATCAGAAAACAGGCAGGGTATGTGGAAACCATGGGGCTGATTCAAAAGAAACCGAAAAAACAATGTTAACGTCTTCCAGTTACTGACATGAGCTGAGTCATGTGCCAAAACTGGCATTCCCAGATGTTTTTTTTTCTTTTTTTGTATATCTTTTTTTCTTAAACCAACAAGATTAGGACTTGTTGGGCATTTGGAATAGAGGAACACAGTACATGGTATAGTTTCTCATATGTACAAAGGTATCAAACTGAGTAAAGTAGGAAGATATTTATACAGTTTGCCAACAGTCAGCATGGTGTCTGCGCTTGTGTCTTGTTCGCTGTTTCTTTTTAATCACCTGACTGTCTCTTTCACTCTCACTCCCTCTCGCTCTCTTTCTGTATGATCATTGATGGTGATGTGAATGTGCACACTATGCAAAGATGACAACACAAAACTGTAGAGAGCAAATGTGTGCACACGTGCGTGTGCATGAGTGTTTGCAAGGCCCTGTGGAGAACTAGCTCTGAGTGGTGATGTAATGCTTTGGCCGGCATGCTGTGGAACTTGGCCTCGTCTCTGCTGCGTTTCCTCCACGCTGCGAGGGTCAGCTATCCCACAACCTCCAGTACACAACACGCACCATTCAATTCCCCAGACCACAACAGAGAAGAACTCAACCACACCCGGCACCACAAGCACCCGGTCCTTCACAAGAGGAACATAAAAAGAACACTTCAATCAAGACTGATAAAACATTCCGATCTCAGAAACAACCCTCGGACAAAAAAAAAACTTAAAGCATTAAAGAACGGCATGCATGTCAATTAATCTACCATCAGAGTATGCTGTACCACTTAAATGGTGGCACTTAAGGGGAAAATCTAGACAGTAAAGTATGGCAGTGAGGCAGATACGGTCTTTGGCCTAAAGAGAACAAACAGAGAGCTCAGAGTGAGATATGAGTCCCCCAGGGGCCACAGCAGTCCACTGGCTCATTAACTATTTACACCAGAGACAGACCCCCATACTGCTCTGGCCCACCACAAAATCAATTAGCCTTCATTAGCCCAGGCTCTGGGCATGCTTTCTCTGACTGGAGAGGATTAATCCCTCAACTGATGCCTCCAATGAGCACAAAATATCAAGCAATGACGGAAACATCTATATGTACAGTGCACATATGCAGAAATAAGACCTGGCCGTGCTTTACTTTCGGCTTCATAATTCTTTCGAATTCTCACACAAATTTGGAGTTTGGTCTCTGAGAATATCAATATTGTCTCTCACCTTTCAACTCCCTGGTTCACCCTGGCTGTCTATCTATTTCCTTCATGTCTATCAAAGTCCCACTCAATCCCCTTCTCCATTCTCGCAATGTAAACGTTGAGCAGAAAGAGTGCATCCAGGTCCGCTCCTCTGAGGTGTGGGGTTACAGTGTGGAGATTTCCCATTGGCGGAAAGTCAACATGGTCAGGGTAATGCGATTAGAGCCGGATTGAGAACGTCGCAGGGGACACATGGGCCTGATCATGGCCCAGTTATCCGATAGCGAGGCCGTATTTATCGACCTGGCCCGGGCGAGGATATTACAGACATTAGAGACCTCGTCTCCGCGTATGAAACTCATGCTGGAGATCGCACCCAGATAACACAATTAGCCTCTCACTTTCTGTCCACAATCACGGAATTCCATCAGTTGCGATCAGACATCAGGGAGCAGAATCTCAATTGATCAACATTTGGTTGCAGTGCCTTATATCTGAATGGCCAACTAACCAGAAAGTTGCACGGTTCAGGCCTGCAGCCATTTAGTGAGAGCATATGTTTATGGGAGAGCTAACAGAGCATTTACAATTCAATTAGACAGATAGGAGGAGGGAAAAAAAAGACTAAGATGTGTCTGGATGACGGCCAGAGGAGAGATAAGCTTAATACACTAATATTGTGTTACCCTCGTGTGTTACCATAGGAACAGTTGAGGAGATTCAAAAGACTACAAAGACGATCAATCTTGAGAGAGCAGGAGGAAGAGGGAGAATTAAATGCCCTGGGACTGCTCCCGCTCTCCTCTATCAGAGCAATAACTCTTCTAATGACCTCTGCTACCTCCTCTCTCTCTCTACATGGTGTTTTTCTCCTGAAAACTCTGCTATCTGCAAGCTTCTCCAAACACAAAGAGAAGCCTATGCTTTTAATCAAGGTTTGTGATTTTACATCCAAGTAAAACTCTCAACGTATTTATTTTGAAAAAAAAAGGTTGACGTTTGGTGATTTTGCTACAATATTAATTAGTTCCTATCACCTTGAGTGTAACCGGTTTATTACATTAATCAGTGGTCCTTCACTTGAGCTTTTTATACTGCCAGTCATCATCTTACTTTTTCAACTTTAAAAACCAGTCTACTTTCAGGCCCTCTCTTGCTCCAGCCACATCTCATTCCCGCTGCTATAACTGACTGCTTTGTGAAGGATGAGGTCATTTTATTTTTTTCCCTGCTGCGTTAAACTAGTGCTAACAAGTTGCAGGACCTACAGAACATGTTCTGTACATTAAGATATACATCAGGCAGTCGGTGGGCAGACGAGCCACAACCACATAAAGGGCCCATTATTCCTGCCAGAGTCTCCAGCGCTGCACTGGCAGGTTCAGACAGAGCTATGATTACACACCAAATGATGAAATCCACACAGCCCTAGGAGCACAGCTTTGCTGGCACAGCCAGTGGAAAAGAAAGTTGCAACACTTGTGCCTGTGAAGAAATGTGTATGTATCCATGTGAATACTTGCATATATACTCACCAGTTTGGCTTCTGAGTGCATGGAGGGAATGTGAGTAGAGGAGCAGGAGCTGCTGTGGGCGGGGCTTTGCATGCCCATCATATTCGAACCCATGGACATTTGTCTCTCCATCTGAAAATTGCAACAGTGATGGTCATATTAGATATAGTACTCGCTTGCAAAAAAAAGCATTCCGCATGATGAGATTTTTTAAACGCCGTTTATATTGATGATTCACATCCAGGTGAAGAGTTCCTCATACTTGCACTATTAAATCATTAACATTGAAAGTGTGAGACTTCAAACCCAGTGGGCTATAGCGGATGAGATGAGAGAGCAGGAGAGTCTGATTTCACATGACAGGCTGCCCTTTGCACAGCTCTGTGTGATGATAACTGGAGCTGACCCAAAACAGGAAGCTACAACAGAGGGACTTAACACAGGAAGCCGGTGCAACAGGGCTGTGTGTGCAGGTTTCTGATAGTAGTGTGGTGAATGTCTGCAAGACCAACAAATGAAACCTCCACCATTTGAGAAGCAGGGTGGATTAATAAAACGAACACATTGCGAGTTAGTTGCTCACGAACACTTGAGTCTGGCCCACTGGGTGCGTGCCAGCAGCCTGCCTCTGACTGACCCTGGCCAGAGAGGTCAAGTGTCACAGCTGAGACCTGAATGTGAGGAAATCAGCTGGGTAAGCTGACAGGGGTGAGGGGTCACCTACTCGGGGTGATAATGTGAGTAGTGTTCACCATGCTGTGTAAGCAGGAAAGAAGAAACCCTTGTTTCAGCGTCTGAAAGCATGTAAGTGTGTGCATGTGTGTGTGAGCTGCTGTGGCCTCCCAGCTGCTGAACTCTGGCTGGTGTGGTAGTCCCCGAGAGCAAAACGCCCCCAACCCCTTTGACTGACTCCCTTCCTCCCCCCACGTCCATGGAGACTCAGGTCTAAAACCTGACATACAACCTTAATTGCAGTAAGAGTGTTTTGTGTAAAAATATCACCCAAACCTGGACCCCTTTCCTGAACCGTCAATCTTCCCAAAAATCGCTTAGCTCTTAATTTAATAAACATGGGAGGGATTTTTCCATACCATAAACATGGGCTGTCTTGTGTTACAATGAGAACATATGTTATATCATTATATCCTGATACGAGAAGGTTTTTTTTTCTTCTTTTTTTCCTGCATTGTTATCATTTCCTGTTACATAGTGAGCTTCACCTAAATCTTTTTGGCTTAATTACAACGAAGTTTCTATCTTGCACCCAAAGGTAGAATAATTCATTTCTGCAGGCGATAATATGCTCAGAAGTAGTATGATAAGTCATTTTTATAGTGATATAAATTGGTGGAAACCCACACACACAGTTTATGTCCAAGTCAGTTTGAAAAGTAAATGTTCATCATCACACCGATAACTGATTTTGCTTCTGCATGCATCCTGATGTGAATGTCCTCTGTAATTCGTTTTTGTACTCACAGGCATCAGCACAGCGGAGGAGCCAGGCATGGTCGGGTCTGGCAGAGTTCCAGGCATGGAGGCTGGCAGAGGCTGTCTCTGTCTGTTTCGTAGGTGCAGCAGTGAGGACAAAGAGCCGGGAACAGGCCTGAAAGGACAACCACACATAAGAAACTTCAGGTTTTGCAATAGAAGATGAGCACAGGAGCGACTGTATCAGTGGTAAATTGTTTGTGAGGATAAAGTTTAAAAAGTTATGAAGATAATGTGGTACATCTTCAGTTACATATACAACCATCAGCCACAGCAGTAAAAACACTGAAGGTTAAGAGAGTAACACTGCTCATCTTGTGTGTTCTGGTGAGATATCCCGCCATCAGACATTTACATGGGTGATAACTTGGTCTGAAAAGTCTGTTTAGTTAGGTGGCAGTCACATTATTTGTGGTCATGAACCTCCCCCACTGACTTGTTGTCTTTTTACTCGGGGGACAAATACATAAACAAAGATTCACTGCTGAAAAAAATGATAAATTCACAAACAAAATCCACAGAATAATAGTACTAAAAGTTCTGTAAATGATTTTTTAAAAATCACAATGGCAGAAAGTCAGCTAAAGTCACAAGTCAGCTAAACAGAAGATTCTAAAATCGAAACACTGAAAGAAACACTCTTCTATAAAAGACCTACATGTAGCTCAGTGTTTCCTGATGTTCACAACACATTTGATCCAACTGAGCATGCACTCACATTTTCAGCAGATTACTCATGCTAGTGTGTATTTACAGCAGTCATCAAGTACAACCGTAAGGCTCAGTGATGCGTTTTTAACCTCGAGAGCGAATGCAGGGTGTTAAAACGACAAAACACAGCATAAATCTTTTATAATAATGTCACGTAGAGGAAAATCCTATTTATAGCTCATCTTTCGGGTGAAAAGTGTATATTTCTACACAGTCATTTCAGAAACATCTGAGCTGGCTGCAGCACCATGTTTGGAAAAGACTTTTGACAAATGGGAGACAAATTTACCGTAGTTCTTTTTTTCCTTCTTTTAGCAAGAAACTCAAAAAAGAAAGAACTCATTCTGCACTTTAAGCTAAGACATCTTGGGAGTTTGGAATGCACTTTAAACTATTACAATTCTTGTGTTGCTAAAGTGGTGACGCTGAATGAGTAATATTTGTCTTAACAACCACATGAGATGAACATGAAGTGGATCACATTTAGAAACTGTCACATCAGTGAAGCCCCTGTGGGTAAAATCTCTTTCAGTGACCACAAAAGCATGTGTGGACCAACAGGCCATACCCACACTCTCTGCCACATCAATAAATCACATTTACAGAGGCCCAGACGAAGAATCAACTAATGACAACAGTTCTTTCTTCACCGGCATCCAAACGCCCACACCACCAACATCTGTATACCGTAACATTCATTTATACAACTGCCACCAAATCCCTGCTCCTGCGGAAACTAAGCCCCAGCTGCAAAATGTTACCATACCCATGTGCATACAGTTACCATTTAGTCTAAAAACAGCCCACATTACTTGACTCTTTAATAACCTGCAGCAGCAGAGGAATCGATAAATCTCCAGTTATCAGTATCATCAGGATGAACGGTGCCACTCGGCAGTCAATATATATCTCAGTTTTCTTGAGCGTTAAGAAATTAGGACAAGCAAGAAGTATTCAGGATAGCTGTGTTGAATGAGTTCATGCAATCAATTGACAACATCATTGTCCGGATTACCGTAATAGTGAGTAGTGAAGGAGTGATGGACAAATGGAGGGGTGCACCAGAGCTAATGGTCCACCACCTGAGTAAACACCTGTATTTTTCCAGAGCTAAATATGTGCATTTATGCTCCAGACGCTTTAGATTGCCCCACATACTCACTCACATGCACACATACAGGACCATTACCGTCCCGGCTGTTTGTCATTCTCGTCCAACATCCCAATTTATCACAATCACACTCATTTAACAGCACACATGACATCTGAGTAACATTGGGAATCCAAACATTTCCACATGGGAAAAGTAATGAAAGTAAAATTAGGTATGTAGTGTGGCTGCACACTACATCAACATAGTTTCCCTCAACTTTCAAACTCTGCCAGTGTTGACCAAATGAAATAGCAGTCACGTGGCTCTGACATGTTATTGATTTAACAGCTAAAGCCTGGCTTGCAGGATTTTGAAAAAAATTCAGTGTGGCAACTGTCTGAGTATTTCTTTTTTTAATGTAGCACACGGTTTTCTTTATTTTGTCCCAAAATAAGGGTAATTTATACTATAATCTGCACAGCTTTATAATTATTACAAAAGAGCCTGTGTCACTCAGACTATTCTGTTTATCAGCAGTTTACCTTCACTTTGGTTTTGCATCCATTACCTGTGTTATGCTGCTCACAAAGATTATTTTTTCATTTAACAATTGTGTCTTAAGCATCTATATGCCAAATTATGATAGACTCCACAAATTAATTAATCTGATTTCATTCCCACTTGACCCATACATGAGAAATTACCGTAATATTAAACAAACAAATAAGATCAAATTAACAAGATGCACTGCTGTTACTTTAGGCCCTAGAGAAGAAAGAGTTCTTTTTACTTCTGCACCTGGTTGTTAGCCATCCTAATATGAACACTGTGTGTCACCACCACATACACCAAAACACATCCTGGTTGAAGAAAAAACCCCACTTGCATACCACAGCACATCCTCTCTGGATCAACTGAGCTTTGAGCCTGCTGAGGTGTAACAATGTCAGTGAGCAGTACGTAAAGTCAAATATGTAGATAATACAATAAGCATTTTCATATGCATTGCAGTTTTACTTTGCACAGAATGTCTTCAACAACAGTTGCCAGGTGAAATTGAAAGCCCAACCTCTAAAAAGACAAGATCTTCGACTTCTTATGAAACCTGTGCGAAACCTGTTGGGTACTGTTGCTTGTGCTCCCCATTTGGGTGTTTTCCAGCCAGTGCTGTAATCCTTACTATAAAAAGTTTTTTATCTTGACAATAGATAAGAGAGACAGAGAGAAAATAGATGCTTGGATTGGTGAGCCAATGAATCAAATAATAGCACTATTATGGATGGAAAAAAAATACACTCGCCAGTTTGTTTGGGTGAGTGTGAGCTTGCATGTGTATGTATATGCGTGAATAATGACAGGCCACAGCTCTGCTGAGAGGATTGATAAAAGCCTGAGCTGTGGGCCCCAGGGGAGAGCAGGTAGACACTCTGCAGCCCTGACCCTGTACTCTCACATTACCCGCCTGCCTCGCTCTCAGCCCAGCTCTCCCCCATAATCCCCACCCCACAAAACACCGAATCTCAATCCACCTTCACTCCACTGTGACATCCTTACTAGTTCTTCATCCTTCGCCAAATGCTTTTCCAATTTTCTCTTTCTCCCTTGGTCCACAATCTATTTATCCGAGTTATGCTGGTATTTGTCTCTACAGTTGAGAACAAATGTCAACCGTTCATCATCTGTTAACTCTCTGTAACTCTGCTGGATCTATTAGGGTGTTCATACCTCCACTCAAGTCCATCTGCTCTATCTTCCAAATCTTGCAGTCTGAACACACACTAAGCTTTACTGTCCCAGTCTCCTCAGTCCCAGCTCCAACTTAAGCACTGGGGACTTTAACACAAGAGGCTTGGCTGCCGTCCAAGAGGAGCGAGAGAAGGAGAGAGGTGCAGTCAGTCCACTGACTCACATCCTTCCCTTTTTGACTCTGCTCCAGCAATGATGTAATGCTCTTGGCTTTTCACCCTCCCCCCACCCAGTGCCTGCCTACCCCTTGATTTTGTTCCTCCCTCCTCTCACTTTTCCCTCTCTTTCACTCCTCGACTCATCCAACATCACTGCACTGGCTCCTCACTTGGTGAAGTCACTGCAAGCTCTGGGTAGACACAGCAGCAAAAAACTTTTGAACGTAACCAAAACAGCCCAGGGCCAAGTTCCAGACATTTGGGAGATGGTGGTGCAGTCACCATGGGAACCGAGGTAAACACGGAGAGAAACAAGGGCCTCAAACAGCTTGCAGCTGCCTGGCTCTCAGAGTAAACACTACACAGGACCTGCCCCTGATTTACTGCCTTTAATCACTGGTGGGAGGAGAGTGCCATGGGGTTTGGACTGAGGAAATAATACGAATCTGATCAAATAAATCAGTGGTAATGGGTTACGACACACGCTGACTTTTATTATCAAGCTAGAAAAGAGATAGATACTGGGAGGATGCAGCACTGGGATGGATCTGGGATGGGGTGTCCTCACATTAGGGTGCCTCAAGCTGAGTAAGTCCATGCCAAAGCACAGTTGAGGAATGCTTGTGAATGATACTCTGGAGCAAATTAGCATGACTGTTGTTGTACTTATTCATGAAATATGATACTGTTTTGATTCATCAGATGCTGTTGGCCAAGGACAGCAAATGTGGATTGCCTTTCATTTTCATGAAAAGCATGTCAGTACAGTCAGATCAGCAGAGAATCAGGAAAACATATCAGGAATGGTCTTCTATTCAAGCCAATCTGGTATCCGTCATCAGTACCACACTAGTTCTGTAATGTCTGGCAAACACAGGTCCTTTCAGTTTCAGTTACATTCCAGCTGTGTGTTTTCATCTAAACCTTGGGTGTTCATTGATATGTATGCCCCTTAGCAGACTGCTTCCTTTAAATCCCGCCTTAGATCTCTCCATCTTCGGTAGCTTTTCAAAATCTCTGCAGTTTTCTGCACTCCTTCAGTCCCATCATGCAAAGTTTTTGCTTTCCATTTGTAGACACGTGTTCTATCTTTTTCCCACATGACCAGCCTCCATCCTGGTATAGAGCGTCCACCCTCCACCTCTTCTCTATGTGCTCTCCACCCACCTAATCCTGCTTTTCCTCCTCTCCATCTACCTCCTAATACCCTCTTCCTCTCTTCCATACACCTCTGATCCCATTTTCCTCTTCTCTGTCCACCTCTGATCCCCCTTTTCCACACTTCCCCATGTTTTGATGCCTGCACTCCCTAAAGCTGTGAGGCACATCCCTATGTGTGAGTTGCTTGTGCAGGAGCCTGCATGTGTGGTGGCCCTGGGGCAGGGATGACACAGACCCACTGGAATGAGAGGGAACAGAGTCTGGGCGTTCCTCTACAAACGCACTATTAAACCCATTGCAGTACACAATGAGCTCATCTTAATTCAGGTCAGATGTACATCCTGCTTTCTTTTTTTCTCTTTTCATTTTTTGCAAATTGATAACTCTGTATGCATTTATCTACCTACTAATTTTTACATTAGACCCACAATTTCTATACACAGAGCTCAATTTTAACAGTAACTAGAATTTTTCAAATCCATGCATTAGGCCACTTGACCATTTTGTAGAGGTCCTACACAGCTGCACTCAGGATGGACCTCCCTCTTTATCACAACTGTGTGAATACAATCTAATCATAAACAATAATATAAGATGTTGTGTTTGCATTGTTGAAAAGTTCATGGGGTCAAATTTTCTTAGAGGGAAGATTTTTTTTCTGTTCTTACCCTGCCACAAAGAATGGTTTTGTCATACAAATGGCAAAACAAAATGTTATGGACTCTGATCTCTGCATAAACATGATAGTATTTATGAAGTTAAAATTATTATATTATGTTAAAGGTGGTTAAAGGTGGTTCTTCATAAAATACTGTGAAGATCTGATCTTCTTTTTCAGTTTATACATGGTATCTCAAATCATATAAATCAATAGATGAGGACTGGTTTAAAAAGTAAATGCATACTGATTGGGGGAAAAAAAACATTCCTTAAAAATGTTTGATAGGGATTTATATCCACCACACAAAATCTTTAATAATAAGTCAGCATATCACAAAATCTGTTAACACTCCAGACTTTGCATGACACCCTGCTCTTTAGAGGACATTAAGACCGACATCTATTTGTGCAACTTCCCTTAAAGGCAAAAGCAAGGACCACAAGTAGATGGGTGCCTGAGGTGTGAAAGACACATTGCATTTAAAGCAGCATGGGAAACAACAACAAAAACCGACTTCCTTCAAAGTTTTGCACTTTGATGAGACATCACATGCCGTGTAGCCTGGGTGGGACATCACCCACAATATGAATGCAAATACGACAAGCAAAGGCAAAGGCCTCAGGGACATGTTATCTTTTAATTTACTCTACTTTACTATTCATTACAAATGTATGTCAATAGCAATTAGAAAAATAAAAATAGTTTACATTAGCATAAAGGCTTCAATTCCAATGGTTCCAAATGTTAGAAGAGAAATAAATGGAAATTTCTTGGAAAATGTGTTTTGATGGTCACAAGCCACAACCACCTGACATCAACAGTTTGTGGTTTTGAGGACTGCACCTAATAGGTTCTCACAGTGGTAAATGTGATATTGTTTTCAATTACATGTCATGTGAAAAAGAAAGAAAATCTTTTTTTAAGGTCTGTATCAGAACTCTTTTTTCATAGTCATACATTTTTAAGCTGTTTCTTTTTGCTAATCAATCAGTGAAGGGTTAAAAGGCTATTTTCAAACCATTTAGAGTCCATTGTCCTTCAGTGAGATATATTATTTACAGGTGGAAACAGAGAGTGGAGATGCTTGGACATAAGACACAGAACATGTTTGGTGTAAACCAGTAAAAAAACCTCATACAAACTGTCAAACAGAAGACCTGGTTGACGTTATTTATCCTCTTTTTTCAGCTGAATAAGTAATAGCATTTCATGTGCTAATGTTCATTTGAGGTTTATTTAAAGAACTTCGTATTATTTGCTAATACAACAAAACTAAGAATTAAACATTTCCCACCACTGTATTTAGCGCCCTTCAAAATAAGCGATATCCTACAAACCATTTCCAAAGCTTTTTTCATTCACCCATTCATACACACATGCAAAGTTCAGCCCAAAGACATTTCAGCAGATCTTCACGTCTACACTCCCAAATTTAGCTTTGGTTTTAAACTAAATGTGTAGTCCAGGCAGCTAAAGCGAAATCAATATAAAAATAATGGCAACGGTCTTTACACAGAGATTAAATTAAGACTGACATTTAAATGCATCACCGCATACGATGAACTGATTTTATTTTACATCCAAGCTGTGATTACAAAACAGCAACATTTGACTTTAGTGCTATGTAATGCAAACAATTAGATTCAACTATTATTTTTTGAGCTGGCATTCATAAATGCTGCTTTAATATATTGTGCCCACACCTATTCATTTACAGATTTTCAATTACAAGTTGAAAGGCTGAGGTTTCTACAAAATGTTGTATTTCAGATGGTTGACGAGTAATGTCCAACGCGTTTAAGTCTGACATAACTCAGCACCAGATGTTTATAATCGAAAAGCAAAGAGCATTCAAAAAAGTTGGACACCGCCTCCCTTTGTATGATAATGATAGCCGTGACATTAAGATCTGCTGGCTGTTCCTTATGCCTGGTTTTAATGCTGGTTTGTGTCAGTGCAGCTCCCAAAAGACCTTGTTTGAGGGAGGACTCAGAGCAGAGGGAGGGAGAGAAAAAGATGGAGAGTGGGGTCCTCAGGTTTCACAGCTGCAAGCCCCGTTCAAACCTAAAGTAAATGGACTTGAAGAAAGCCAGTCCTAATTGATTCCAAGCCTCAAAGCTCTTTAGTAAACATTGCGGAGCAACGAAAATGACTTGTTATCCTAATTCACTGGACGCTCATGCTGAGCGCAGAGGAACAAAATAAGCAGGCAGATGGAAGCAAGATTACGCTGATTTTGTTTGTCTCATTAAGAGACATATACACAGTAACTCTTCGTCAAGTGTGTCAGGATTAAAAGATTTAAAGGCAAACATATACACACCTTACTATTCTCAAGAGGGAAATTGCTTCATCCCTTTTTCAAAAAGGCAAAATGCTCAGAGGAAACCTACTTTTTTCTTCACATGGAGGCTACTGTGAATTCAAAGACACTGAGCATAAAAATGTAGCAAAGATTTTGGCTCACTTGGCTTTTTAGAATAACGGGGAAATGAAAGCATGTAAAAGGTATTCACTGCCCTAATCTGATCTAAAGCCTCCCTTGCTGCTCTTCAGCAGAGACCACAGCTTGCCTGTCAAATATTCAGCATGTTCCCAGTGTAGGAAGTTCCTGTGAAGAGACTCTGTGTACAGAGACTTCTGTTAGTTGTAAAAGCTTCCTGTGGAAGCACTGCTTTTCAGTGGAGGGGTTTCCTCAGTCTACTTTTCCTGCTGATGTGAACATTTCCAGCTTAGCTTTCTCTCGTGTGAATCTACTCTTCCTATCCATGCCTCAGAATCCCACCATCCTCCAAAACATGTTGCAATCCTGTAGGTTCAGGATGTGCATCAGCTGCCTTAAGGGTTCATTAATATGTTATCAATATATGGAATTGGGACTGATGAGATGCAATCACTGACCAAACATTTAAAAGTGATGTTAATAAACTGCAATGTTGCAGACAGGGAAGGCTTTGTGATCATTGCACGCTGTGGGGTTAAGCAGCGAGTCTGTGCTTTAGAGAGGTAAGGAGTTCATAATGACAGGTAAAGTCAGGTGAAGCGGACCCAGCAAAGTCTCTGTTACTGGCAGTGATTGCTGCTCCTCCAAGAGGATGAAATTCCATCCCTGTGCTCGACAAAGAGCCTGACGAGGTGTCAGTCAGGCTTAGTGATGGGCCTCCCATCCAATATTCACCAGCTCCTCCAGCTGTAAATCTAACCAGGACAACCTTGACAGAGGGCTGGCCGAACACTGAGCCATCTCAATGTTTAACTAGCTTGCCACAGGCCTGGTTTACAGTGACAATGTCCTGGCACAGGATTGAAGGTGGTTGAGGTTAAGGCAGGAGGAATGAACTGGGTCATTTGAGCGTTCTCATAAGGGTAACAGGTACGTCTGAGTTAATGATTTGATCCTGATATAGATGCCAAACCACAGTGACAAGAAAAATATGTCCTAGTCCAAGGAGAAGACTATCACGCAACGTTTAGTGTTCAAATAAGGTAATGCTACAAACAAATGTATCATCAGTACCTCGGCAGATTGAGATTTGGACAAAAAAATTGTGAAAAAGAAAATATGATGATGAATAGCATACTACACATGTTGCTGTTAGCATACCTGCATATTTACAACGGTGTCACAGAAACAGCGCTGTAAGGTGCTGACGTTCTCATACATTGAAAAGACCAATTTTAGAGCATGAAATGCTAAACCCGTTGTAAAAGCAGTCATGGCTGAGGCTTCAAAAATGACTTCACCTGGTCCACTGGGACCCTCTTTCGCATGCTCGGCTGTGGGACAATACTGAATGTACAGCAAAACATGAATCGCCAACACCACATACACTGTTCCAAATGTAACTAAACACTAACATTACCTCAGAGACTATGGAGGGATGACAGCCGGCACAAACACAAAGGGACCAGGCTGAGCCCGAGGCTGTCACTGGAACAGCCGCGCATTTGAGGTGATAGGATACAATCTGGCACTTGTCAGATAATATTCGGTCCGTCAGCAACTCGCAGCAGAGCCTTTACCCCACGGTAATGTAAGAGAACAGGACCTAAACTGTAGCTGCTCTTTTTGGTTGAACAAAACTTGCAGACTTTCTGTCATTTCTTTCATTCTGTTGCTGTCACTTTTTGGTGCTTGAGTGGGGGTCACTCACCCTATCTGTCTGTTTGTGGATGGAGCCTGAGTGATGACAGAGCTGGATTGAGGAGAGGGCAGGGCCTGCTGGATCACGATGCTGGTGTCATGATTGGCCATCCGTGAATGGGACTGCTGGTGACCTTGGCCGGCTTGGCCATGAAGCGAGATGTTCTGCAAAAATGAAGACGGAGAAGAGAAAACTGAATACATAACCTAAGGAATCTGCTGAGACTTCTAGGTATAAGTCTGCGCATCAGTTCACTGGTTTGGTCTTTGGCCCTCCCAACAGCAAAATTTATTGTGTGATGAGTAATGATATAAAATATAATCTCCTTGTTCTTCTGTGTTGCACCCATGAGTCTAACAAAGACCGGTTTCTCTGGTAAATTTCTTTTAGACTCAGCCCGGGGTAAAAAATACAAATCTTAAAACACCTCTACCCTAAATATAACAGCTGTGTTTAACTTCCATGGAGGTTTGCTGGCTGCATGACAAAACTGAAGACTAACCTGTCTGCAGCAATAGTCAATCGCCTTTGAAAAAAGCAAATGAAAGACACTAAAAGTGTCCTTGTTGTGATTAACACAAATACAGAGACATAGAACCATCCATCACCTTAACTAAACTCCATTAACCACTACTGTAGAAATTCAGGTTAGAAAAAGAATCAACATACCATCACATACTCACCAGCTAATACTGCCGTGTAGAGTAGTGCATGGATTTGTCTGGTTTTATAATCTATTATTATTAGATGGCTATTTTTCACTCATACTGGTCATTCAAGTCTTGCCACAAGCCTCAATCATTTACTCTTTATTTCTGCTTGTTGTGCATTACACTTCCAAAGCTTCTTGTTCCGACTCGACTCCTGCTGACTTTGCAAAGATTCTCGTCATAAACCACACAGGCTGGGCAGGCTAGACACGGCTGACCTGAGCACACATGAGCTCCACAGCCAAACCTCCCAGACAACAGCTTACCTACAATATGCACTGCACATCTTTCCAGACATTAGATAAGCAGTCTGCCTTGTGGTGATTTGACGAGTACCCATGTTTCAGGTGAGGGTGCCTTGGGGAAGATCTATAATGCATAAATGATAATGTCCTTTGACAAATGGTAAATCTTTAGGACTCTGCTCTCATGCAAGCATGTCTGGCCAATATGTCTGCTCCTCCTATTGCTGCCAAAAAGATGTCTCAGGGGTCTGGCATCATTTCTGGGAAGAAATACGACTCCCTCCCTGAAAGATGGCCAGAGAGCTGTTTGAAGTTACAGGTGAAGAACCTGATCTCTGTTCATTTCACCTGTGGTTGGTGACAAATCTTCAGGCCTCGTCTGTCACTGCTGACTAGATAGATGAGGATCAGGGAGTGTGGCATCTGGGCCATACAAAAGTATGTGCGCAACACGTGTGTATTAGTAGTGAAAGTAGAAAACACAAACGCAGGTGCAGTTATACTAGATCTAAATGCTCTTAATCTATTTAGAGGACTTTGTCAGCTCATAGAGGGTAGGCAGCTATTCCTGAAAGTGCTGATGTTCACATTAGATAAGAGTTCATCACAGCCAGACCTAAACCTCTGCGGGTGGCTGTGGCTTTGGGTTTTTAATTTTTTTTTCAGCCTGACTCTTTGTCCTTCTCTCACCTGTTTACTGTCCTCCTCTTCTTGCGCTTTGCAAAACTCCTGCTCGATGGAGCAGTCCAGTTCATTAAACAATCCCACCTCTTCGCAGTTCTTCAAGAAACGTGTAGGTGTGGGCGTCTGGTCTGGAAAACAAAGACAAGTTTGTCAAGGTTGACTTCTGAAATCAGTCTTCAGTGTCTTATCGTGTCAACCTCTCAGTACATTATCTTAGTTTAAAGCAACAGCAGGAAATACACGAGCTTGTAAAATGTACACCCGATCATACAATACAATAGGTGTGATTTAGACATTTTAAGAGCCATATTCGTTTCTAAATTTGGAACACAAAAAAAAAGAATGCTAATGCTTTCATCTGAGGGTTACAAGTAAAGAACAACTTAAAAACTTCAGCAAAATGTAAAAAGAAGGAAAATCACACCAGTGTATTCCAAATTACTAAAGGTTTTTTGATTTAAAAAAAAAGAAACAGAAAAGTGAGTCCTCCTTTATGAAAAGGTTTTAGCCCACTGTGAACCTGACGGCAGCCACAGATCTAAGAAGTGTTGAACGGATCCAACGAAATCATGGAAAAGTCAAAGGCGGCTGAATGAACATGCCGCAACCTATAGCTTATTGGGTAATGAATCAGAATCGTTATTTGGCATCAAAAGAACTCCTGTCTGAAGCAAACGCATTCAACAATATGCAAATAATGGAGGCTGTGCTAGGAAAATGAAAAACAGTTACAAATAGAACAAGTTTGTACACGAATTCATGTTGCTGTCAGACAAATTTACTGTTTGTTTCTGGTTATCTGTTAGACTAAGACATTCTGCTAGTCTTGCTCATTCGGACTTTTGTATTTCTGGTTATTTAGCCTTTCTATGGACCTTAGCCACACCAGTAATCGGCCCATGCAGTCAAATGGAGATCCACCTTACAATAAACTGAATTACATTTGTCTCAGACGTAGGTTTTAAAGAAAGCATTACTTCCAGTTAGAGAGAATCAGATACACCCTTGACAGCCCCATTTTAGCTGACAAAGTACAGATCTCACCATATGAGTGGGGGTCTCATTTGTTCAGTTCAGTCAAGCTGCGGTATTCGACTTGAAGTTGTGGGGGGTGCACACATATCATGTTTCAGACAGTTGAAGGTGATTTTAGGATCACGGTTGTTTCAAAGGCTAAAAGCATACTTCATGGTCTGTTTATCCATTTGGGCTATGCTGAGGATTGACTCAAACTTTCAACATGACCTGTGTACCCAAAATACTGTTTTAAGCAGAGTAAACCTTCTCGGCTTAAAAGGGGCGCATATCCATTTTAGTCTAAGGTAAGAGCAACAGCTCAGGGAGTACAGTATGAAAAGTTAAACCATTAAAAGAATAAACCATGTCATGAATAAGCATGTGTGGCTGAGTTGTAACTTCTGAGAAGGAAAGCACTGATTAATTTGTCCTGAGTTTAATTTCTAAATAAGAAAACTGATCAGAGTTGTAACTTTGACGATGCTGTATAGAAAACTGGCCGAGAAAATGTGATCCTGCTGTCCACTCTGTAAATAATAAAGTGGACATGTATTAGTTTAGGTTCACTCCAAAGTCTTGACAGTGGGTAGTGAAGTATGGTCTCTTCTAGGAAAGAGATCTATACAAATGGATCGGCCTTGGGTTGACACTCCTCCCCAGCTTAATATTTCAATCTTTCTATTCTCCCATATGTCCAAAGAACTACGGCCACTTTGAATTACCAGCAAATGTTGACAGCCCTTTGCACAGCCTACTGATTTGTCATAAAATAAGTCAGCATCACCTTGGAAAAGTTCACATGTGGTTTGCACTAGATGGCACCAAGCCGTAAGCTTACTTGTCATATGATTTACATTACTGTAAACAGCTGATAAAAGACAAGCCATAAAGATTACTAATGACAGACAAGTGTGTCTGTGTGTGAGTCAGCTTGCAACACATCTTCAAACAAACTCTTCTCGCTCAAGTAGCGAATGTGCCTGTATTGATGCGGGCGTAACTCACCTGATAACATGTTGTCGTTTTTTATGGGGGGGAACTTAAGTGTCATCTCATGTTTGTGTCGATGTATCATCAGATGGTCCTCCGTGGGGAACCGCTGAGAGAAATTTAAAAATATAAAGTTGCGTTATAGGTGTAAAACCAATGTGTGTTCTGGTGACTGATAAGACAATCGCCATATGCCTAAGTGCACTGAAGATAAGCTAAAATAACATTCATTAGAAATTTCCGTTTAAAGATATCATCCTAAAGTATCTTTCACGCTGATTTTTTTCCAGACGTATTTTTAAACCAGCAGGGTTATCTGCAAAACCTTTCTCGCTTTCTCTCATGCTGTTCTGTTTCTCAGGAAGGCGTTTACACACATACTTAGACATGTACACTTTTCTTTTAAAGCTCTGAACACACTCACCTGAGAACAGCCGGGAGCATTGCAAATGTACGGCCTTTCCTGGTCCGAGTTCATCACTCTGGCCAAAGTATCATAAAACTACAAAGAAAAACAGAGAGGCCAGAAAGGCGAAGTGAGCGAGTCGATTTTTTCTTGCCACCACAAAGAAGTTAATTCCAGTGCTCTTGTCATGACAAAATGCTACCTGCCACCGTTCTGTGTGAGTTGAGGCCGGCAAAAAATCCTGTCACTATTTAACATTGGTACTGCACTAAATTCACTAACTTCTAAAAACTTCCATTTACTGAGAAAAAAAATTAAGTCATTGTCAGAATTATCTTATAAGTCTTACAATTACCATACAAACACATACTGGATTTCTTTCTAAGAGAATTCACAAAGAAAATAACATCTAAAAGTGCTAGTTAGTTATAGGCAGTCCAGCAAAAAATCATAATCACAAACATGCTTTAAAAAATAGAAAATGAACATTAAATAAGATCAAGATGAGGCAAACGTGTCCGAGCAGATGTGTTAAATTTGGGGAAAGTTTCTTTTATCTGCTCCGTACACATCAGGACACATTGTTGGGCCTCATTCTCTCCTTCCAAAAAATAAATCCCACACAATACGAAAAGCATTTCGGTAAAACACATAACTGAACATGAAACAGTTATTGCAAATAAAAAATACTGGAAATGAGAATGTGATTTTCCTCAGCGTGTCGACATAAAACAAAGACAATGCTGCTAATTTAGAGGCCTTGATGCACATTTAAATTATAGCATTTAATGGATTTGGAGAGTCAATTAGATATTTCACAGCAGCTTGCATTATGAATAAAAACAGTTACTCTAAAGTTTTTATTTTCTCAAAGATTGAAAAGTGTTTCTCTCTAAAAAAAAATCAAATAAAATAAGGCTTTCTAGTGGTGGCAAACACTGCAAGTAACAGTTAGGCCAAATTAAATTTTCAGAAATGTATTAGTTTGAGTAGGTATTTTTGCTTAAACAAATTCTGACTTAGAGCTAATTATTGAAACATCTCAAGAGTATATGTGTCCACATTAAGCACAAATCGATGTTTGGCTGATTGTAAAAAATGTATAATGTATAAATACGTAGAAAGATTTTCATCACACTCCACAAAATGCAGTTGTGTGTCCAGCTGAAAGCACAGGTCAAATCCCCAGATGACACGATACCGTCACAAATCAGGTCTGCAGATGTGCAGCACTTTCAGACAGATGCTTCACCAGATGTTAAGTGATCATTATTACTAATCCTCACTTAGCAGAACCCACAGAGCAGAATCTAGGGACCATTTTCGGCTTTGAGCCGGCGTTGTGGTCACAGCAGGCAGGTAGATATTCTGACAGTGCGCACAGGAAAAGAGACAGCCTGCTGAGGTGAGGTTCCGACATGAAACTTACAAAGCGCAAGAGAACGATGCCATTCAGGTCGGTTGTTCCGACTGATTGGTACGTTTACTACACGCTGACAATACACACTTTTCATCCCCACGCACCACCACAACGGCAGGTCAGAGCCACTTTTCACGCGTCACGTATGAATAACTTTATACACTATACGTACACGAGGGTCTTTTTCATGAGTACAGACTACTTCCTCGAGCATAGTCAAAACACTCTAATATTGTGTTATGCTAAGCAGTGGTGTTTTCCTAACAAGCTGTACTTCATACCCGGGCCTGCAGAACAGGGTCTGGACAGGGTCTCTCTGTCAGAGAGCATGGAGCCCTGTTCTCCCTTTCTGTCACCAGTTCATTTAGCCGCTCCTAGGGCCCCCAAAAACGTACCTGCTCTCCTTTGACACAACAAACAAGACCAACAGTGCTGATGCCAACCCTCAACCCAAACTAAACACGCAATGACAGCTCGTAGTAGCAGCGCCTGCAGACATGCTGTTAATTATTCAAGTGTTGGATCAACATTCTCTCCATTCTTCCATATTTGATCTGACAAATGTTTAACTTCAGCTGTTTTCACAACTTTTGTTGCCTGATTGTTTGTCTCATATTCTTTTTCCAAATAGAAATAAGTCAAATCTGAAACCTCACAGAAAATCAAACTAAATATAAAACACAAGAGTGTTACAAAAAACTAAATAGTTTACAACATAATAATTACCGATGCACAAAATACCTGTATTTTGTGCACTTTAACCTTCCAGTTTCTGTTTCTAAAACGGGAATGGATCATTTCAGCACATTTACCAGGAAATTCAAACCACATGATCCATAAAACTCTCAACCATTAATTCTGTAAATGCCTCTGTGAATTATCCAATAGCTTTCACACTTCAAATTATCAGTGCTCAACGCCCTTTCCACAGAAAGGGCTCTTGGCTCGCATTTAATATAGATGTTTTAGTTTAGCTGAGGAAATTTGGTTACACTTTACATTAACTATATCCTGATGTGAGAGAAAGGAAGGATTAGGGTTCGGCATTCGATTTCAAGAGGAACTGGGGAGGAATTCTCCAGGTAGACAAGGCATAAGAATTTAAACAATATGGTGAGGAAAAGGGGGGTTGACGTGCACATGCACACGGGGTTAAAGCGAGCACAAACTTGCAGACCAATTCAAATCTCTGGCTTCTCATAACCTTGTCTTTTGACAGCAAGTTCAAGGCAGGATTAAGGCGATCTCAGGCAAGGTCTGCCCCAAACTTCTGCACAGGAATCAAATGCACGTGAAAAACACTGATCATGGACCCCAATAGTTCTCAGATTAACACTACTGCAGTAAAGAAAACCCAAGCAACATTAATTCTTAACATAATTAGAAGTAAGACGTCTGTGACTAAAGCGTTGATGAATGTTAGACTGGTGTTATAATTTGTGTAATCTTACCCCCTGATTTACATTAAAGGAATCGCCATGAGAGCAACTTTGGGTAAAGGGAATAAACATCAACAAATAAACTCAATGCGCGCTCAGATATTCCTGGTGCAATCAGCCATCCCTCTGCAATCAAGCATATGTCAAATTTCATAAGAATCTAAACCATTTATGTCAGCCAAAGTTAAAGCACACTAACTGCAGTGACTTAGCCATTTTGCTGCCAAAGGTCTTATGTTGTCTATTATCTTTTTGTCAACAATAAACAAAATGATCAATAATTAATTATGATTAATTATTTCCCGGTTTCAGTTCAGTTGACTCTAAAATAATTACTGGTTTGTGTTTCACTTCTTGCAACAAAGAAGTGGAACATGTGAGGGGTTTAATCTTCCTGGGTTCTTTTTAAACATCCCATCAAAGCCAAAACTGTAGGAATAGATTAGTTAAATGCCAATTTGAAACACATCTCCAGCTCAGTTGATATTGCAAGATCAGAAACAACTTTAATTCTAAATTGTCTTCAACAGGCTTATTTTCAGATTTAATTAAGGTGGTTAACCAAAAAGGAACAAGTGAGACACTAACGCACAACTGAAGGAGTGCATGAAGGAGACATGGCAATAGACAGTGCTGTCACATACACAGAATGACAGCGGCCAGAAGAGCCAGTAAATAAATCCAGCACGTTTCATTTCTCAGCCGGGGCGCGCGCCTCGTCAGCACGGGCTTACTGAAAGTAACCCTCCACATCTCAGCGGTTAATCAAACGGGCCTATCGACTTGCCTGCAGAATGACGTAATGTTGCTTTTCAAGAGGAAACAGGCAACGTGAATTTCGTGGAAATTTAACTGGCCTGACAGATGAGGCAGCGGGCTCTCATTTTCCAGACGGTCACTGGTCAGCCGCAGCACGCACAGTCCCTTATCCCCAGATGGGACAGGCGTGGAAATGAGGGTCGAAATAAAAATTAATTTAAAAAAATGTTTAAAAAAAAACTTGGAAGGCATATCAAAGTGATGCAAAGCCCGGCCAGAATCGTCCCTTGCGTCGGCCCACTGAGGCTCTGGCGGCCTGAGGGGGGGGTCCTGCAGACCTGTCCTCCTCTGACAGCCGTCCGGGCTGCAGCGGCACTTGACTCCGCGTTCAACTTCAACCACAGACAGCCAGAGAGCCAGAACACACAACAACAACAACAACGCCGCTACACAAAACTAAACTTCACCAGACTCTGTTCCCAGTTTCCTGCGTAAATTAGTTTTGAACTAGAAGACCAAAAAGGGAAGAAAAAAAATTAAAAAACACATCTTCACCAAGACTGCCGAAGCGAACAAGAAAACAAGCTGTTGCATGAAAAAAAAAAGGAGGAGAGGGAAAAAGTCTGTCTTTAACAAAGACAACAAACCTGCAGAGGCTCGTGCACGGTCCTCTGCATGGTGGCACGGCTTTCAACTTACCAAACAAGTGTAGAAAACGTGAAGCAGTCGCTCAGAAGAAACCACGTTGGACTGAGAAAAGATTACAATACGATCTATTTAGAGAAGCATAACGTCACCCTTGGGTGACGTCACGTGGGATTCCTTAACTTCTAAATCATTGCGGTCCGCTTGCAGGCGGCGAAAGAGAGAGGGGCGGAGTTTTCCAGTGCACGCCCAGAAGCATGGGATGGACACCGATTGTCCTGGAGTGGGTGTGGTGCAACAAAGCGGGATGACCACTGCTGACCAACGCGACAAGAAACCCGGCTCTGCGCTGCAGAGCATCCGAACTGACAGAAGTGAGGTGTTTCATAAGCCCAGTGGCATCACTTAACTTTGTATGAGCCCAGAGGGTTCAGTCGTTTGTAAAATACACATTCCAGCCAAGTGTTTAATAGTTGTTTTTAAATAAAATGAAAGCAGTATCTTTTGACAGAGAGGACTCTTAGCTCTGCTGCACTGAGATATGAAACAACACTTGATAGAATTTCCTTCCTGAAATACAACCTGACCCCAGATTTGTTTGTAACTGAGATGATCAGAAAATATTTAGAAATATGATACATGTGAACATCAACTTGAAACGCTCAAACTGAATGGTGACACTGGTATTCACGAGAGGAGAACTCATTTTTCATTGTTATAATATCAGCTATGTGCTCTGGTGGTTCATGTACCCACACCTGTCTTCAAACACCCACAAACCTGACTCTTTCTGATGCTGTGCTAGAGTCATGGTGAAGTTTTTTTTGGCTGTCCCATCCAGCAGAAGAGCCTCCTCAACTATTTTCAGATCTCTCAAGCACATATTAGTCATGTACTGCTTTAAAAAAAGTGATAACGGACTCTTTTCTTTGCGGTTAGCCTGTTCGGCTCTGTTAAACGTCCATAATCTGGTAGACATCACACGCACCATCAACGGTGAACAATGAGCTGAATGTTTAAGCACACAATGTTGGACTTCTCTGAAACGTGTGTCTTTGCTACATGGTGCGAGCAGAGATATAAAAAGGGGGCTCCGGGGGGGAGCACAATGCCGTTGTGTTGGAGCTCTGGGTGACCCGCTGGTGCCAGCTGGCTGTGATTCCTCGGGCCACAGACACTGGTGGTCGCGAGGCCATCCTTGACTCCAGAGATTAATGACTCCTCGCACATTGAGAAATGTTTACCACTCACCCGCGACCACTCCACTAGACGCACTAAGAGCTCTGTCATTGAAACAATAACGCAGTCTGAAAAGCCCTCATAACTCAGAGCCTCCCCGCCTCTGTCTTTTAACCAGAGCTTTAATCAACGTTTATGACATCCTTTTGTCTCTTTATTGCCAATATATTTCCCAACCAATCCAAACATTATGCTTCCAGAGGAGCAGACTATTAGGGTTGGAAAGAGCCGATACAGTTGGGTCAGTGACCCACACTAAAGCAGGTTTCATCTGTATTATACTAAACCTTTTATGATTACGCCTCTGTGCAGTGCGCCGGGGTAAGATCACCTTGGAGAGATAAGAACCGGTGATGGGGCTGGGTTACAGCAGGTGCACCAGATGAACGAGGTGACATTAGTGAAGTGTCACACAGGCTTTCAATCTACAAAAAAAAAATCTCTTCGGAAAAATGCACATTTCATAACCCTTGTTCTAACAGGTGCAGTTCATCGTGTGTGAAGCAGAGCTGCCGTGGATGCCTTTTAAACACTTCTGCTCACAGCAAACATTTTCTCTTGATCTAATTCTGAAACATGAGCACTACAACAAAAAGACAAAGCATCCAGCATTTCATTTTAAGGCCATCTTTTTGTTGTATTTTCAAAGAATGGAAGTGGTTAACATTTATCTCCATTTCCTGTAGAAAGAAAGATACTTCTGCCGAGAGGTCGCTAAGAGTGGCCAATCATGCTGCATCTTTTAGTATAGGATGTGATCAAATTACATTTAAATTTAGTTATATTTCCTTTTTCTGTAGTTTAAGACACATTTCAGTTGGCAGAAGCAAAACGTCTCTATCTTGACAAAGGCTTGAGACCAAACAGTTATGGTTAATATTCTAGAAGGGCTTGTGTTGGGAGGACTAAACCTGAGCTACAGCTTGTGTGGAAAGCCTCTGGCCTTAAAGAAAATGAAGATAGGTTATCTCTGCCGACTGATTTCAGGGAGAAGATATTTGGGGATCATAACCAATGCAAAGGTATCTGTTTTTTTTTATGTATGACGAGCAAAAGACACCACCAACCTGAGCTGCTGAGCTTCACCAACTGCGGGTGGGGTGTGAAATCGGCCTCTGTGGAGGTGCCAGTGGCGTTTGAGAGTTTGACTGTGTAAAAGCGGCTCTTTATGTGGCAGTTCAGAGACAGGAGGGCTTCCTTTTTCATTTCTTCAAATGCCTGACAACTTAGACAGAACCCATTGCCTGTAGATGTTTTTTTTACACTGTTGAGACGGATAATTGAGGGAAGAAGCGTCCAGTGGTTAGAGATCAGGAACTGATGTCCATAGTGTCAAACCTCAGCTGTTTTAGAATAGAAATATGGTTGAATGACATCGTTAACACTGCTTTACCAAAACCAAATATGGAAAAAAAATATGACAACAATTTTTGTTGCTTAACTTTGAAAAAAAAAGTACTGTTGTCAAAATTCTGTGTAGGTCAAGTTTTAGAAGATTGGAGCTAAAAGTTATAACATACAAAGAAATCCCTACAGCTAAACATAAAAAATGCATACTGTGCAAAGCTTGTGTATGCCTCTTCAGGGACGGGATCTTTGAAACTTTGCTTGTGCAGACTCAGCTAACACTTCTTGGCCTAAAATGAGAGCTGTTCTGTACCCTGGGTGTTCAGACACTCACACGCTCACCTCTATCACACTTCCATTCAGCGTCTGGTGAATGATACTGCCTGTGCAATGTTATTTTTTCACTTGTTTATCATCTTAAATGTAAAATATATATCTATACATCTGAACTGGATAAAACCTGGCTTATCAAGATGATGAAAACCCAATTGAATAGTAAGTTTAACTTTATACTTTTAATATTGCAACAGTTTTTGTGGAGTGTTAACACAAAAATATCTATCCCATTGTGGTTGCAACCTTCTGTTTAATTGAATAAAACTATTTTAAACAAATTTGAGGGATAGCCATTTTTATAAAAATATAAGGTTGAAACGTATCTCTGCTGTGCATGAAGCTGAAGATTCCCACTCTGATCTGTACTTTATTTTGAGTTGGCAAGGAAAGAATCGTTTTCGCTCATAGTTGGTGGGTAGTTTACAGAGTCTAAAGGGGTTAAACCTGTTAATCATGACTTTACCATCATGTGTTTTCACTCTGACGTTAAAAAAAAACTATTTAGTAAATCTCAAACACATCTGTTTTCAACCGCTGTGGACAAACTGAAGAGTAATGATTATTTGAAAAAACTACTATCCAGCAGAATGATCAATTATTAATCTTTATGGAAAACCATCAGCGTTCTCAGGCAAGAGGCTGTGACTAAAGTCAAGCATTCAGATTTGAGTCACACACCGTTTACAGCTTTTACTGTCACAGTGGTGCGCAGGTTGGTGATGAAGACCAAAACAAGATAAACCACCATGTGATAACACTGACTCCTTGAGTCAATTTCGAATCACTAGTTAACCCAAATTGTGTATTTTTTTAGATGGTCAAAGGAAGCCTGGACACAATAAGACAGAATTCTTTGATAAGTTGTTCACAACATATTCACACACAAATGTTATGAAGGTGTTTATTTATGTTTTGTACTTGAGTGCATCCTGTTCCTCTCAAAACGTCTGAATACAAGAAAATGTCAACTTCAGTAAATGTTGCTCAAAGAAGAAAATTATTGTTTCACCGTCAACCTGAATGTTTCTTCATTGGTGAAAAATCTTAAATGTATTCCATGAGTAAGATACAAAAATAACACAACCACTTGTACTATTTTTTTGGGCTATCTTTCTGCAAATAAACTTAATCTGCTTTTGATGTTGCTAAATACATGTAGAAAGTATGACAGACTGGAATAATTGTTGTGTTTTTATTTATAGTCTAATTTATCTCATCTCAAGTAATTATTACCTTTATGTATGTAGCAATCATCCAGATTAAATCCTAGATATTTACACGTTGAACTGCAAATCACAAAGTTAAAAAGCTGATGAGTTATCTTTTGTTTAACACTGCCCCTGTGTGGCCATCAGATGCTCCTGAGCTATTGTGGTACAGGAGAGCCACAGGTTACAGCTGTAACACTATCAATTACAGGAGTTACAGGTCAAAATGAGCTTGACTTGGCTCAGTACTTATTATATTTTAATCCATATCTAGATAGAAGTGAAATTAAAATTATTATGGAGAATGCATTTTCTTCTTCTATTTCTGCAACCCAAACATTTGCATGATTTAACCTCTACTAAGAAAAAAGTAAGAGCTACAGGTGTTACCAGATTAGAACCAGGCCATTTCTTTTATTTCTATCGAGCTATGGACTAACTATGTGCAGCCTACATTAATCCCCAAATCCACTGTGGGAAATAAACTTAAAAAAAGTAGCTTAGCATTGATAAGTAACTAAACATGAGAGTAACTGATCAGGTGTATCTCAGCTAATCAGAGCAGCCAGAGTTCTACTATGCACAGGTATCTGTGTCAGTGGAAGAAGGAATGGTTTGTCAAAGCAAAGTTTGCTGTTCTTCCATAATTGATTGTGCCATAATTTGAATTTTACCCATTGTGGTGTGTAAATTCCTAGTATGATTAAGTAGATCAGGGTATGTTAAATTATGTCTGTGTCTGTGAAGAATATATCCTCAATCATCCAGGTTTGTTGTTATCCAAAGAACTGGAGTAAGAGCAACTGGATTTCATGTTTCTTGAAAATGTTCAAGTTAAAGGTGATTAGGTACATGTACATGTAGTGACTGATATTTCACACACTATTTACACCATTACACCACAGCATGTTTGACCGTTAGCATTTTTAGTTACTATTTAATGGACAATTCAAGTTTATATATATGTATATATACATGGATAGACATGTAAAAAAAAAACACAAGCAAAGAAAACAAACAGTGAATTTAGGATTACTCGTTCCTTTCACTCTCACTTCAGACCTGTGTGTCTTGGTGGATGATTTTGTGATGAAGGTCTCACAGCCTCACTTCCGGTCTGGTTGTCGTTCTCCGGCTGGTGATTTGACGCAGCTCGGAGGAGTCACCCCTCCGCTCGCTCCGCTCCAGCTGTGCTCACCGCTGTCTGCCCCGCTGTCTCCCCGACGCCGCTTGCCCTCCTTTTCTAATGCAGCCGCCACCATGACAGGCATCGCGGCCGCTTCCTTCTTTTCAAACGCCTGCAGGTTCTCCGGCTGCGGACTTCACTTCGAATCCCTGTCGGAGCTCATCGTGCACATTGAGGATAACCACATCGGTAAGAGCCAATAAGTCATGAGCACCCGCGCCCGCTCTGCTCGAGACGGGAAGCTAGCAGACGTGGCTTAGCCGGCTAGCCAGTTACTTCCTGCGTCCTGACAACCCGGTTGCTAGGTGTGGTGTAGGCTGTCGGCGTGGCGGTAGTTCCTGTTGATATCTATCGAAAACCGTTTTAATTCTCTACCACATTTACTTCGGCGCAGAAACGCCAACATTTCGGTAGGCGTTTCTGCGTGTTCCTCGTGCAAATGTTTCACAGCGTCGGGCCCACGCGCGCGCGGATACAGAAAGGTCGCGAGCAAACTTGAGTCTGCTCGAGCCGGCGAGGTTACCGAGGTTACCGGGGTTACCGGGGTTACCGAGGCTCTGGCCAGCATCGGTCCGCCGGAGGCTGGGCCACCTCAGGGCAGAGCATTAGCTGCAAATGTTCCCTTATGGAGAGACGTGTTTTTCTATTTTAAACGAAACTCAATCATTTTGAGCTGTTTTTCATCATTATTCATTGTGGCAGTAGCCCTTTCTTATGACTAAATCAAGAATGACTTTTTGATTCTGCACACCTTTCATTGTTTGAAATAGTCTTTTCTTTTTTTTCTTCCTGCATATAACTTTTTAAAAATGCAGGAATATTTAGCAAGAAAATAGGACCCTAAATAGCATACCTGCTATAAAAGATAGTACACTAATTATTCCATTTTGCAAATGATGCCTTTTATTTAATTAATGATGTTGATGACGATTGATGAACAGTGTATAGGTGCAAAATTTAGATGGGATAAAAAAAATCTGTTTAGTGACTCACGGCAAGAGAAGTGTAACATGGGGGGGGGGGACTCCACATTGTCCACCGTGAATGCAAACACATCCATGATAAGATAAACATTGCAATCTGTTCAAACTAACTGTGTTGTCAGCTTTGTAAACTTGTCCCAGCACTGTCAACAAACAGCGCCCTCCTTAGTCTGTTTGGGGCAAGACATGAACAAGAGAGGGAGATTTTGGATTGCTGTTTCAGATCAAGCTATGCTTTCCTCCTTGCTTGTTAGTTTACTTACGGCCTTGCATGGAATTTAATGTTGTGTTGGCCATTTCCAGTCGGCACACAGTCACAAGTTAACATTTACTTTAACAAAACAATGACTTTTTCTGTTGATAAGCTAATGTAATTTAGTTGACGATAATTTAATTGTATAGGAAAGGTTCCAGAGTTATATTGAATATGGAGCTGACTTGTGTTTTCAAAACTGTTACTGTGAGACACTCATAAAGCAAAAACCTCCTCTCCTTTAAAAACTCCTTCAATAACACTGTTAATTTGTTAGTTTGTAATTTCAGTGTCACAAATTATTTTTCATGTCTTGTATGTAACCTCCTAAAACATTTGTCAGCCAATACGATTAAAAAAAAGTTAAATCTCTTTTATCGCAAACATTTTTCATGATTAAAGTACAATTTCTTTAGCCATTTTTATATTGTAACTTCATAGGATTTGAAGCAACCTCCTTTCCCACATTTTGCTTCCTGTTTTCCAACATCCTCTCCCCAATCTAATATTTCAAAGACTTATTATTAAAGCTGACAAGGCTCAGCTGTCTCAGTTGTTCTTGTTTGTTGCTTGAGTGGCTTTAATATCCTTTGCTCTCTGAGCGTGTGCTGTGAGTCATATGTCAGAGGTGTTAGATAAAAAAAAAAACGTCCTTAATAAGGAAAATGAAGCAATTAGTTGACTAAAAGTGGAAAAACAGCTGCCCCCCCCCCTGCCCCGTCTGCTTGCCTGTGCTGACTCTGAGAAGTGCGAAATCTTGCGCTTTGTGCCAAGCGCCTGTGAAGCATAATTACAGACAGAGTGCTTGATTTGGCATGTCTTCCTCCTCATCTGGTGGCCTGCTGCTAAAAGCACATTCTCCTTCATAATTAGGCGCCGAGAAAACAAGCACGCATTCCTGTCGGAGGATGGCAGCCACGCTGCTGGTCGGGCCGGTGAACTTGAGGTGGCGCTGCTCTGCTGCAAGTTGAAGGACATGTAACATTAAAGGTTTTAAAGAACATTGTTTCCCACAACTTCACTTTATTGCAGCAACAGCTACTCAGAAGCAGATCAATAGACTTAATAGACTTTGATAAATCAAAGCAAGATAATTGTGATTGCTATTTCTTACGTCACGGTCAATTAAACATTTTCTAAAATAGCTGAGATGTGTTTCTGATGATACACATTAAACTATGTAGTAACAAAAATAGTGTGGATTGGTTAACAAATTTAATAGTGAATCATTGTCAGCCAACTTTCATTTCTGACTGTACTTTTCTGCATAATGTGGAGTTTAAAGTAGAAAACGCAAATGCCGGGTGGCCCATTTACTCCTGTGTAAGATAATTTAGCTAACTTTAATAGAGCTCATGCTAATAGGGCCCAGAAAACACCATTAAGGCCAGATGAAGGTTTTAATGCCGAGGTTAATTCATGTTGTTAAGCCTAAAATATCTCCTCAGTGGCCTGGTGCATGTGTTCATTTTTTTTCTTTTGGTATAAAAACTGCAAGCTCTGAAATGTTTGCTCTGTCATCGAACAACCAGGGCGAGCGAGAAGAGAATAGCCATCATTTGGTTTCATCCATCTGTATGTGCATGTGTGTGTGTGGGTGACTCGCTGGCGTCTGGCCAACTGATGGCTTAACGTGTCCAAGCATGGTAACAAAGGTTCTGTGTGTTGCCCAGAGTCATTGAGGGCTCATTTAGCAGATTTTACCATTTCCCCCCCAAAAAAATCTCCTCGGAAGTAATAAATTTGGGAAACGGTAACTAGTTCCCTGATCTGTGCACCTGGTGGACCTAATTACATTTCCCCATCCCCCACTCCTGCCGCTCCTGTTCCTGTGCAGGGGCTCCCTTCGTCATAAAACATCACTTACAGATATTGTACAGCCTGCTTTGACGTCACAAAAAAAAGATTCTGTGTGGGAACTTTGGAATACTTGATTGAGTTTCATCCCAATATAAATTATATCACTGCCAAATGTATGTGATTCTATAAGAAATGCTTTTTCTTCTCACCAAAGAAGAAGAAACCGTGCGATTAAACCTAAACATTACAAATTACACATTTCAGAGTTAATCGAGAATATAAACAGCATTGGAGAAAAATGAGTAGCACAAGTTGTTGCAACAAGCTGCAATGAATGAAGGTTCCTGTAGTTCCTGCGTGGTTGTCCAAACAGGACTTTGCCGGTGTGTATAAGTTGATGTCTGTGTTAAATGTTTTCATAATGGATCATTTCAGCCTCCCCATGTTTTTTCAGTAACATGTAATGGCAGCTTGCACATGGAGCTCGACTGTTTCATTTCCTCCTCAGAGGTCACATTGTAATGAATTACCTGTGCCACCACTCCTGGTAATGCTCCCCGCTGCTCAGAGCCACCATAAACATGTCACCATAATGCTCACCACTCGGCTCTACCCCACAGTACATTTGGCAGTGCGGGCGGAGAGCCAGACGCTGGTGGACAGGGGAGAGGGAGCTGTGCATCTGTTGTGCGTGTTGTGTGAGAGCGTGTGTGTGAGGGAGCTTGTCATAGGGGGCGTTGTGAGAGGGTAGCAGGCGTCACTTCCTCTGTTGCTTTAGGAAGGGTTGTAGTGTGACTGCTCTGATGCAGACCATCATACAGCCACTGTGTCAAACGGTTAATAGCTTTATTCATTCTGGACCAATTTATTGAGGCCACAATGTCATTTCAGAAAAGGACACAAAGAATAAGCTTTATCAGTCCCTCACCTTGAAAACCAAACTGATTTACAACATCAGTATATATCGTCTATTGAGGAAATAGTTGTTTTGTACTGGATTTTCTTTTTTGATTTGCGCAAAATCATCTGATTTATAATTTCTGCTACAAACTAATTCTAGTAACATTGGAACACTTACAAGGAGATATAGATTTTTCCAAATAAAATATATTTTATTACATGTTTTTAAATATGATAAATATATTTTGAAAAAAGAAAATATCAGGAATCTTGTTACATGTTTAGCATTAGAATGTAATCTGTTCTGCTTCTCTGCCTTCTCCTGCTCTTCTTTGTTATACACCTGAAACATCACCATGCACCAGAGCTGGAGGGGTTTGTTTGTCTTTGCAGCAACCGATGGTGGACAAATAGCATTTTTCCTTTTTTGTTTTGTTTCCAAAAATCCTCTAATAGTGGGCCACCAAGGCGGACCACCTGTGTAGTTTGATTAGAGGTGTTCCCATCTCTTGTTGAGGCGCCTTCGTCCTGGTGCCTGACTGATGGTGGCCCCTAAAGAATAGCAGAGGCTGTGGGGGTCTCCTCTCCGGTCCCCACCTGAGGTGTGTGTGATTTACAGTGTGTGGGACAGAGCCATCCACTGCTGTTTGAGCAGGCCACCATTCCACTGCTTCAGACTCATTAGGGATCTTTGGAGGGCTTTTGTGTGCCCTCTCTTACACACGCATACCATTACTCAGAGCGGCCTGCCTCTGGCTTCTGGCAGGGGAACAGTGTCATAATGAATGTGTGTCTCCAGCTCTCAAAACTTTGGCTGCAGAATAGAGAGAGGTGTGCTGTCCTTCGCACCGGGGATAAATCCGGCATTAATGAAACACTTGCTTATGGCCGGGAGCCGTAGATGCTGAGATTTAAGCTGTTAAATACGCCAACTTGAAAAGACGGTCACTTTTTCTTTTTTTAAATTGTCAACCAAGAGGTTTGGACAAAGCTACAGGAATGATTATGCCGTGGTCTGTGCTCTGGGCGGTTTTAGCCCCTGTCGATATTAAACCCACAGATATTTAAAGATGTCCCTGCTGAATAGCACTGTGACGGTACGTTCAAGTGCCACATGTAGACCTTTATTGATAAGTTATCCTGTCAAAAATCATCAATTAAAGATATGGATTTGTGATAGTAAAGTTTCTGCCCCTGTCAGAGTGCTATCAGATCGGACAGCAGCCTTCCAGGTCCCTCAGTGACTTTATGTGATTTTATTCAACAGACAAACAACTAAACAGGAGGTAAAAAGCTGCACATGAACAAAACCCTGTGTTTTTATTAGAGCCCGTGGAAGGTGTTGCGTACCCTTTAATTACCTGTTCCATGTTCCGTTTTTTTTAAAGTTTTTTTTTACCTAATGTGTATCACATGATTTTTTTCCCAAATTGATTTAAATGGAACTTGGCTGTTGTCAGTAGTCGTAGTAATAATAATAGCAGTACCATTAATGTCATTATTTCTTCATGGATAGAGCTTGTAAACATTTAAATTCAATGTCGTTAGTGCCCTTAGGTGGAAATGTTGAGTAAAAATGAGCATGATGGATGGAAACAGGCGTGAGTTTTAACCACATGGGGTTAGCAGTCTTTCACAGCATTGTCAGAGCCAGACAGGGAGACTCAGCTGGGAAGTGGTAGAAACTGTTGTTTTATGGGGCATCTCTCCTCTCCCACTAAGCCAGCAGTTGGGAACTGTGTTTGAAGTCAGGCAGGCTTGTCCTCGGGGTGTGGGGATTGGCTATTGTTGCACATTCAGAACCGCCAAGCGAGATAAATGTGTGAAGCTGAGCAACACAGAACGCTCTACGTGTCGAACGTTGGCAGTTCTTAAAAAAGAACTGCCAACAAAAAACACAGCGAGATGTTGCTTTTATGTTAGTGTGGCAGAATCAACGTTTTACTGCCTTTTAGCTTAATTATCAAGTCAGAAGGCCAGGAATTCTGCTAACACAAGAAGTTTGCAAAGGTTCAGGGGAAGTGGTTAAAAAGCAGCACCAGTTTGGAATTTGTGCAAAATCTTACACTTTAACTTCTTATGACTGTTATGGAGTTGGTTGAAATCCGTAACCATAATTCATGAGCTGCATTGCTGCTGATAATTTGTTTTCCATGTCCACATCGTACCCTACATATCCAGATTTTGTAATTAAATCCATGTTAACAGCCCTAGAGAATTTTTACTTCAGAGTGATTCATTCTTTGGACAAAACAGGGAAACCAAAGAAAGTGTATTAGAGATGTTAATGAAGATCTGAAGTATTTTTAAAAAGCTCTTCTATTCCGTCTGTCAATCATTCATACACTTTTTAAAAAGTTGTGTGAGGCAAAACAATCTGTATAAAAATCAATTAAATGTTTGTTTTAATCAGTATCTGGGATTGTAAAGAACAAGAAAACCTCCCGACCCGTAAAGCTTGAGGCCTTCCTGACCATCTTACTAGTCTTTGTCGCCTTTCATCGGTGCTGGGTTGGATTGTGTTCATAATGAACAGCATTTGAACAAATGTGATCTTTCTCCACCTGTGTAGATACAGACCCCTGTCTTCTGGAGAAGCAGGAGCAGCAGCAGCCGACATATGTGGCCCTCAGCTATATCAACAGGTAAGCGTCTAATTCTGTGAGGTGGCACTAGGGTTGTCACGATACTAAAATTTTCAACTCGATACCGATACTCAGGAAAATACTCGATACTCGATACCATTTTCGATACCACAAGGATAAAAACAAACACCCCAAAATTGAACTGAATTTTGACAGTTTAGTGTCTTTCATTTCAAACTGACCTGTTACTGATGTTATCGTGGCTGGTGGCCCGAATTAATTACCCTAATCCTGACCCTAACCCTAATCCTAACCCTGACCCTAACCCTGACCCTCCAGCCTTCATAATTGTGAGAAACAATTTTTGGGTTAAACATGTTTGGACTTATTGTACAAACTTATTTTACATCCACTATTTTGACATAATGTTATGGATAGAGTTTAATTAAGTGTTTGAAAGACTAATTTCACTATTAAATTAATGTCTATATTGCCATGAGACATTAATATATTCTTGCCTGGGATTTTCCTTTTGGTGACGTAATCAAAATGGCCGATTTGGATGTGGGCTGAGACGGATATGTATCCTACTTGATTAATGGTAGCATGTTATTATTAGCCATTAGCCGCAGCTAGCAGTTCAAGGCTAACGTCACGTTAATGATCATAAACAACGTAAAAAAATACATAAATAAATCTGAGAGAAGGGGCGCAGCGACGGCAGGTCAGCGTCGCGCACGCGCGCTTGTGCGGGCTCGCGCGGACTCGCGCGGGCTTGCGCGGTGGTATCGATACTTTTGAAAATGAGTATCGTATCCGGATACAACATTTTAGTATCGATACTTTTTTAAGTATCGATACTTTTGACAACCCTAGGTGGCACCAATGGATTCAATGTTTTTCCCTTTAGGACTTTTGACAAAAAAAAAAGATATCAGCATGTATGACTCCTGAATAGAGGAAGGATCCCCTCCTGTCAGGCTCGGTGGACAATGTCATTTGCCATCTGGTAGATTTCTTAAATGAATGTCTCCAGTGTTGTGTGGTTGGGCTTTTTTATTGCTGTGAGTTCATTTGAGCTTTTATTTTATACGTGGCTTAAACAGTGGTTTTAAAAGCGCTACGCAGCGAGCCTGCGTACAACAAAGTGTGCCACTGTCTCCCTGCCTTCACAAACACATCTTGATGTGGCTTCCACTTAATTTGTTAATTCCACTTTAGCCTTAACAATGTCTGTGACAGCATTTAGTTTTTACTGTGCACATTTATCAGAGACTTTACCATCGCCTATAAACTCCAAAAGGGGATTGTAGTCAGTTGTGTGTTTTCAAAGTGTGACTGACAGTAGCAAACCTCCAAAGGAACAAGAGTCCTTGTTTCAGGGACTCGGGTTTCTCATCCAAAACCGAACGCAAGGAGCATTTTTAATCGGTTAATTTCGTGAATGCTGATCGGCAGGTTCATGACTGATGCTGCCAGGCGGGAACACGAGGCCCTGAAGAAAAAGGTGCAGCCCAGGCTGTCCCTGTCCCTGACAGGCAGTCTGGCACGCAGCAATGTTTCCACGCCGCCCCGCCACCCCGGCGGCGGAAACCTCACCCCTCCAGTCACCCCGCCAATCACTCCGTCCTCCTCCCTCCGCAGCAGCACGCCCACAGGTAACCAGCAGATGTCCAGTGCAGCCTCACGCCGGCAGTAACACCCAAAGCCAGTCGTTTAGGCCAAGCATTTTCTGAATCTCTTTTTTTAAACGATTGGTTTTGTTTCGATGAGCGATAAAGCTTTGTTGGACTTTTGAAGCAGCCCCACTGCTCACTAACCATATTTTCCCTCTTCAACCTGTGTTTGTCCTTAAAATATTCTTATTTACATAATATTAGCTTCTTATCACTTCTTTAAAGCTTATGTGGAACACCAGTCATGAAGTCATGCACAGCCCAACAAACCTTTGTCCTCTGAGAGTGAAACTCTGCCGTGATCTCAGGCTTTTTTTTGTTTCTTTCTGTCTTTGGGATTGAAGATCAATCTAACAAAAGTCTTGCTTCTCGATTTTCCTACCATGAGTTGAAGTTGGTGAAAAGAACTGACCCATGACGAGGAATCTGACCCAGGAATGAATAGAAATGTGACCATAAACATGAATCAAGTTGAAGAAACATTTTTGTGCATTCGTTTCTCAAAAGATGGGCAAAGAGACACACTTTCCGTGATTGGGTGCTGCTGATTATCATTATGAAAGTTTTCCTGGCACCCTGGGTTGTATTTTGTGTTACAGATATTATTTTAAACTTGAAATTTGATATTTTGTAAGTCTGTTTTCTTCCCATCTTAAAGGATGTATCATCTTTTAAGAAAATATGTTTTGCATTCAGGAGAAAATATTGAGTATTTAGAAGTTTGATAAAGAGATCATTGTGTGGTAATATAGTGGTTTTATAATGGTCAGTTTATTTTTTTGGTTTCATTCTTGTAAACTTTTCCCATGTAATGCATATTTATTCCTTTGTTAGAGCAATAGCAAAGACCCCGGTGACCCAAGAAATTGCTGAAATTCTTTCCCACAATTAGCATATTAAAGTCGTTCTGATACTTTGTCACTGTAAGGCATGAAGAAAAAATCTGATGCCGAGAGAGCACAGCCTTAAAGGTCAGGAGCACATCACCACAGAGAAGTAAACAAAAAAAACAAAAAAAACTACACAGTCTGGGGCCTCTCGGCTGGCTTGTTTTTATGATTGAGTGTCTGGTCAATACAGCCTGAGTCGATCGAATTTTTCTCTTGTTCTCTCTCTGACAGGAAGCGAGTGTGATGAAGAGGATGTAGACTTTGAGGAATCTGACAGTGATGAATCGTGGACCACAGAGAGCGCCATCAGCTCAGAGTCCATCCTCAGTTCAGTGTGCATGAACGGTGAAGACGAGAAGCCCTTTGCTTGCCCCGTTCCAGGGTGTAGAAAAAGATACAAGGTAAGTCCTGTTCAGAAGTCCTTCCCATGCCTGTGAGGACCAAAAGAAAAGACACAGACAAACAAACAGCAATTGCCTTTTTTTAGAGATGTATTTTACAATGGAACATGGGTTCCTTTCTTCAGCAACATAAATGCATACGTACAGTCCACTTGTGTGATATGGAGTTTTACTAGATTTTCCACTCACATCTGGTTTGTGTGGGGCCGGCGTAAACTCTGCGCAGCCAAAATTGCTTTTGCTGACGTGAAAGACGGGGTTATAGGCGATGACTTAAGTCTGAGGCTGAAGGCAGAATTAGGCATCTGTTAAGGAGCAGAACAAGTCCAATGCTGAATGAAGGGTGTTTATTTTTGTACATAGAAATAATGCAAAATGAAGGGGCTGATACAGCCAAAGAATGTTTTCCAACATTGCTTTATTTTCTACAATGATTTTAAGAAAAAAAATATATATATATATTCGTGACAGTAGTGTTTGATCCAAGGTAGTAAAATATGATTATTAACATTTTTCTGATTTTAGTCAGCTGGAAATTGACAGCGAACGTCCCCTAATGCCAACCACATCCAATACCTCTGGTTTGATTTAAAACAAAAAACCCAGGGCCAGGCTTCATGACCTAACTTTGTTATTTAATTTGTGCGTTTGTGGTTAAATCGGGGCAAATTCCTGGAGCCAGTTCCCAAAATCTTGTGGAAAGCCTTCCCATAGCGGGGCTAGATATAGCCTCTAAAAGCCCATGGGTCTGAATGAGAGGCTCGTCCCTCACATTTGGGTTTAATTCCATAACATCCTCATTATTTGTGTCACGCAGCCCAGCTGTGATTGTAGCCATCCTTCCCAGCTGATCAAAGCCACGGCCATTCTCTTCTCCCTGTCCAATCGCAGAATGTTAATGGCATCAAATACCACGCTAAGAACGGCCACCGGACCCAGATCAGGGTGCGCAAGCCTTTTAAGTGCCGGTGTGGAAAGAGCTACAAAACCTCTCAGGGCCTCCGTCACCACACCATCAACTTCCACCCGCCCGTGTCCACCGACATCGTCCGTAAGATGCAGCAGTAGAGGCTGGACCACCGCGCACACATCCATCACCAGCAACCTTTTCTTACTCCAGGCCTTTCCTCTCAACCCCCCCCCCCCCCCAACCCTCTGCCCTTTTCTCTTTTTTTCCACTTAGCTATGACACTAGATTTTCATTGCATGACATAAATGTGTTTTTCAACCTTTGTTTCTATTAAGAATGTTTAATTCTATGTGTTACTGTTTTGTATTTTTGCACATTTAAGCTAGCGTTTATCTTCTTTGTTTAGTCTCTATGACTCATGGTGCTCCTTGTTGTTCAGAGCAACTTGCAGACTCCAGAGGGGCCAGGTCACCAGAAGCCTTGCATGCTCTGCTTTGAGTGAAATGAGGGGAAATGTTTTGGATATGTTAGTTTTAGCGTGTGGAGACACAGCCACATCAAACTATGTCTCTTTTGAGCCCAAAATACGGCGGACGGAATGTGTTTCTAGCAGTATAATCCAACTCCAAACAAAATGTGAAGAATCACTTATTTGGCTTCTTGTGACTTTACATCTCATATCACAAGAACTCCGAACCTGTTTTGGTCAGTTTTACAGCGCTTGTGTGAAAGCACCAAAGACGTTTCTCAGGTGATTTTTGCAAGCATTTTAGCACCCCAGTCCTCCCCGAGAGTCCTGCTGGCGTGCGTGCTGTTAAACTGGATCATGGGAATGCTGTCATTGTTCCTTATGTTTCCGACCACTTTCCTGGAGACCAAGCAGATTTCTTTGCTTCTTAGCACAAAGGGATCAAAGCACTTTTTTTTCGTGGGGGGGGGGGGTTAAAAGTTGCAGTTTTGCCAATATCTTCTATGTTGTGTATTTACAACGAGCAGACAGTTGCACGTTTTACACTGGACCGAGGAAAAAACTGACACCCAGTGTTTTCAGTATTGAGAGAGTTGCCTTGGATTTTGAACCATTCCAAAAATGACATGAGGAAGTACATTTTATCTTTGCATGGTTTCATTTAGACTGTTCACACATTTAACTGAGGGCCAGTGCAGCCTGTTTGTTAGCCAGTGGCCGTATATTCAGTACCGTAGGGCGGAGAGGATAACATGCAGTTCTGCCTTTGTGCCATTACATCACGTCTTACTAGGACTTGATAAAAACAAATATGCCAAAAGAAAATGGAACCGGTTTTCAAATGCCAAAATCTTGGAACACTGTCAAATGTAAATAAAGAATTGCATTTAAAGCTTTTGTTTGATCTTAAGTGGAACAATGACAACAAACTGAGAAAAACACTTTTGAAAAAAAAAAAAAAAAAAAGCTGGGACAGCAACTGCAAAAACAAATTGCATTTATGAATAGTTTGGCTCCTTCTTTGTTGAATATTGTGTTATAAACCTCCATGTTTCAGTTTAATACACAAGGCCTGAAAGAGAGCCCAGAACCGTAGAGGTCAGCATTAGGGTTGGTCAGTCGTGCGGGCCTGGTGCACTAATGCGTGCCCATCATCAGGCTGGCGGCTTTTACTCTGAGCACTGGTCATATGCTGGGTGGTCCCTTTTAGCGTGAGCATCAAGGAGCCTGTTTTACGTGCACCCCCCTCCGCACTAAATGAGTTGTGGCTCAGAGAAGGCACAGACGTTTCTGGATGAGTTGTGCTCCAACAACAGTTCTCAGAGGAGCTCCCGACCACATGCATCGTCATCCTCTCCACAAATCGGATTTTAAGTCAGTTCCACCAGATTTCCCATTCACTGTTGTTTGTTGTTTTATAGAAGGCCTCAGATACTCTGATCGTTAGGAAAGTTTATGTTGAGAGGCATTACTCTAAAAGGATTTGACTACAGCCTGCTTGTCCCAACTTTTTTTTTTTTTTTTACCTTGTTGCTGTATTAGATTTTAAAAAGTGTTTTTATATTATGCTCGATCTGTTAGTACTGTTCTTATTAACGTAGGCTTTAAACGAATTTCAGTGTCTGAGTCCATTCTCTTCATTTCCCACATCGTTCTAGTTTTGGGGAGAACACACACTGTGCCATTGAGTGACAAAGCTTGAATGTCAGTGTTACAAAAGCAATTGAGAATTGTGGCAATATTCCACTGTCAGTATGGAGAAGTCTTTGATATTGTGTACAGTGAATGTATTGTGTTAAGTGCATTAAATTATATTTTCATATTTTTCTTAGGCAAAAAAAAATATTAAAAATGTTGTGTTGTACTGTATTTCTTCAAGAAAAAGAAAAAAAGCTGCTTCATTTAAACTTTTGTTATATTTTTGAATAAAAGTTCTTCTGTTCATTGACTCCAGCTGAATTAATTCTCTTCAGGCACAAGTCTGTTTGAAAGAGACTTTATTAGATCTTTTTAGATACATGAGACTCACTAAACTAATGAAACCTTTTTTCATCAATAAAATAACTTAATATCTTAAAAGAGAAGAACAAAAGAAAAAGGTTTAAGAGAAACTCAGCATGCACAGAGATGAGAAAACTTTTAGGAATCAGGAGAGAATCGGAGTAAAAACAAAAGGAAACCTAAGAAAAACAAACCTACATCATACACATAGAATCAAGGCTGACACAATACTGTTAGTTTTACTTCTTCTAAAATAGATGATCTGATGATATACTGTATAATCATGTATGGATATAATGGTTGAAGATTTTCCCAGACTGCATATAATGCACCATGGCTGCTTTCTGTAAAGATTAACCAATGACTCGACAGTGAAGATGTTTGGAGGTTTTAAATGTAGGTTTAGTAAACACTTATCTCTTTCCCTGATTCATAACATCCTATAATCTTAACAGATCCATGAGAACCAAGGCCATTTAAAATCCAGTATATGTGTACATAAATAGTCTTTACCCTTAAAATTATTTTGAGACCTTTTAAGAGAAATCCTTAACTAAATAAAAACCCAAAAGAAAGAAAAACATTTTGGTTTTAAAACTGAAGTAGCCCTGCGATACACTGAATTAGATTTTTTTTTAAAGTTACACCCCTAAATGTTTCTCTATGCTGAAGTGAGAAAGTAAATAGAATTTTAGTCCTAAACAGAGGATCTTCACACCATTACATGCAGAAAAAGAGTGCAGAATGATTCATTTCAGTGGTTGACAGGACATTGGCAGACTGGGTGTGCTGATTCTTGGTTTCTCTAATCGAACTCGAGCGGCTGGCCGTCGAAGTGGGTGAGCACGTGGTTCTCGAACACCTTCTGGTCGCAGTCCAGAGGGAACTGCTCGCTGCACATGGGGCAGATTTTCCAGTGGCTCTCCACGTGCTCTTCGAACTTGCTCTGGTCGTAGTTGGGCGGGAAGATGACCTCGCAGAGCGGACATCGCTTCATGTCCATGCTGCGTGCGGGAGAGAGAGGCAGAGCGCTCGTGTTAGTGAGGAGGTCAAAGACTGGCTAATAAAGAACGTTTGTCTGAGGCCAGCTGGGTGGTCTGCCGCTCGGCTTCTACCAACAAGGGGCGGCGGGGGGGGTGGAGGTGGAGGCTAACACTTCACACAAGTCACAATGCACAGGTTTAGCAACTGTGGGGCGCGGCCAGCGCTCAGGGGCCGGGGGGGACTGTTACCTGGGATCAAAGCAGAAGGCATTTTGTCCATCATTCACAAATGGGCTACGGGTTTCTGTCGCTGCCGGCTGTTCGTTGGCATTGACCTGGGGGAGGGGGTAAAAACAGAAGCAAATTCAATCGTAGGAATATTAGGAAAAGAAAATAACTTCTAACTTCTGTTCACAGCTAAACTCCAGGTGATCCTTAGAGAGTTAGGTCTGCAAACCAATTACGGGTTTGGATCCTCAAAGTTAGGGTTCATTTCTTAAAAAAAAAAAAAAATTTAAACTAAAACTGGTCAACAACGACCTGCTCTGGCATGTACTGGAATTTTGTGACGTCCTTAAATAATCATCGCAACATGAAAGTACAAGTAATAATTTAGAGTTTTCCCATTCACCATGTTGGTAATAAAAACCTCTCTCCCAAAAACCCAGTCTTTTCTGAGAAGTTTTTGATCGGCTAAACTTAGTGGGTTAGACTGTCGTTCCGTAGATTTATTCATTTTCAGTGCATAAAGCGAGAGTAAAAAAATCTGAGTAGTAAGAGGAGCTATTCTTTTTGCCTCGGTTAGATGTTTGTTAAGATTGTGTTCTGACTCACCGCCGCATTTAAAATGAAAACACAACACGGCCTTAAGTAAATAACCCGCAGTACATTTTTCACTTCAAAACACTGGAGCTGAAAATAGGGGAAAAGACATCAAACTGCCCAGAGGAGCTCACATTGTTGTTTTCCTCCGAGTCCTCGTGGCCTTCTGGCCGGCTGTGGTGGCGAGTGGGCTGGATGCACACCACGTTGCTGTCCCAGGAGGGCGGGCCCACGGGGGGCAGCCGGAGCGGCTGGTCATCAGAGAGCTCCTCCTCCGTCTCATCTGCCGGGACGGAAACCGGGAAAATGAGTTCTCTCGGCCCGTTAGGTAGGTAGGTGCAGCGAACGTATATTTAAGGGAGGAAAAGTCACCTTTTGTGTTGGAGATGGAGTAAGGGTTCCCAAATTGCAACTTGCTGGGGCTCTGAGAGACCAGCAGCGGGGTGGGGGCGTCCTGGGTGTAAGGGACAGGGTACTGAAGGAATAAAGGCACGCTGGACTGGAGGTTTTCCAGACTGGTTTTCTCGCTGGCCCCCTGCTCACCCTTCCTGCTGCTGAGCTTCTGAATCTCCTGGGGGGCACAACAGCAGGGGTCAAGCCGAATACATGCAAAGTGTTTACTGGGGAGTTCTACTTTTTCCCTCCATTTATCCATCCACTGCAGTTTTAGTGGAAAGCAAAGCATCTTGTGTTGATCACATTGCTTTGACTCTTTTCCTAGCCACATTCTACCCAGCTGCACACTTACTGACAGAAAAGGAGGATAAATCTCTGTTTAAGATTAAATGGAACCAAGTTGCACAAGTTCATTTAGAAGCCCTCGCCTTTAAACGGTGGGATTCCACTCCTCTGGACGGTCCCAGCATTACCTCAGAGTGTGATATTAACTTGATGAGAACCTTTCTCAGGCCCAGAGTAACTGAATGTAAAATAAGAACTTGCATGCTCTGCGTCCACAATTACAGGCACTTAAATACAGACCGGCTTGGAAGAGTGGGGAAAATGGCACATTTCAGGGAACTTTTAGGGTGGAAGAAAGTCTATAAAAGAGAAATTGAAAGCGGTGACTAACCCCCTCAAGTTTCTCCTTCTCCTTTACAACAAGCGTGAGTGTGTCCTTCAGCTCCTTCAGCTCCCGTCCCTTCTCAGCAACCTGGCTCTGGAGTCAGCAAAGGACACAAAAACCCCCAGAACTGAGAAGCATCTTCTATTGTTTCACTGCTGACGCACTGCTGATTGAAAGAGGTGCCGCTGAAATACAGTCTGTCCTTGGTATGTGACGTTAATTGATCACAACCATAAAAGGCTTCCTTTTGCTGAGGCCCTGATTTATGTACAATGCAGCTCAAAGCAAAACAACCTGTTTGAATTCCTTTGAGCCACTAAGCAAATATCCGCCTGACCTGAGCCAAGCACAGCATTAGGTCGGCAACTAGAGAAGGCTCCTCCGGGCTGAGCCCCGCTCGTCTCCAGAGCCTGACATAAACAGCAGTAAAACGTCCTCTCACAGATAGGCCGGCTCGTAAAGAACGCTGTCAGAGCCACTGTGTTCAAGGGGAGAGATAGCATCAAAGTCTTGATCTTTGAGCTAGACCAGCCATGCACGGGGGAAAGAGCAGAGAGCTCCTCTGAAGATGGTGCAGCATCCAGTTAAACTACTGCACTGACCTTACAACGATCCTCTTCCGCTGCCAGCTGCAATCTCAGACTGTCGTTGCTCTTCAGTTGCTCCTTAAATTTCACCTCCATCTTCGCCAGCTCCTCAGCAAACATGCAGCTGCGCTCTTTTTCCTCCTGCGGATCCACAAACAACGGGCGAGCAATTTTTAATCCCAGCGCCGGACTTAATTGCCTGCCTGTGTGGGACACTGAAGGAGGTACGGCATCTTTCGATTTCACCTGAGGTCACAGGACTGGGAAATAACCCCAAAGAACAAATGAATCACCATTAGCATCTGCTTGCATTTCCGGTACTTGTCGTTCCTGTCAGACGCTTCTCGGCTGATCCCCTTCAGCTTCTCCTGGATGATGGCTTCCAACATGGGATCAGCAGAACCTGGACTTCCTGGTAAGACGCAGAGAGTCAGCGTTAAAGTAACCCTCAGCTGTCACGAATACAGCTGCCCACCTTCTTTCTAAATTACAAACGTCTAAAAATAAACCTCCCCATCACAGTGAATCAAACATGGACAAATTAGGGCATAGATATAATAAAGGATTCCCTCTTTTAGGTATTGTTTTCGGAGTCATTTTGCCCGTTACCTGGGACTGATGTGTCTGGACTCCCTGTTGCAGGAACCACGGAGGCCTCCGGGGCCGAGCTTCTCTTCAGCTCCTAAACAGAAAACCCATTCCAACATGATGCTTTTATAGCTGATCATTTGCTCCTTCTCTTATGTAAACACTGAATTCTGATGAGGATGAGTTTGTCTTTTCTTAATGAGAACGTTTAAAAGGATGTGATCGGCAGCGTGTCTTTTTTTTTTCCCGGATGTATTGTGGAGCCTACCCCTTGCTGTTCGGAGAGTTTTAGCACTTGTTTTTGCATTCGTTGACATTCCTTGTACTTCTCCTTGTAATGTTCTGCTGCCATGTGCAGCCGCAGCTTTAGGTCCTCCACCTCTCTCTGTAGCTCTGCCACAACAGCTGTGTCTGTGGCAGCATCCTCCGCTGCTTTGGCCTGTTTATGGAAAACATTCGAGCAAAGCAGATGTGATGTTAACAATTAGCGCCTCCGAGGTGAAGACCACGGGGACGAAAATCAAGATGAAGAATCCTCATAAAATATAATGTCTAACTGTCATCATCTACAGAAAGTAATGCGATGTTTGTATTAAAGAGCTGCAATAAATCAGCAAGCTAACAACCACGTAGTCTATGACTGTTTACGATCAGACTGATGATCAATAAAAAGCATCTATGGATGAATTCCCCGTGGGAGTAACCTGTTTGCTTTATACCATTAACTTGCTTCGTGTCTTTAAATCAAACAGCACATTTGATATATATAGTTCGAAAACATCCTGAGCACCTCCTTCTTAGCCTCTGCCTTCATCTGTTCGACCAGCAGCTCCAGGTGGATGCACTGGGCCTGCGCTTCAGCCTTGGCCTGACGCAGGGCATCGGCCTCCAGCTTCATGTGGTACAGCTCGGACATGGTGCGGTCCCGGGTGCTGGAGGCGTCCCTCAGCTCGGCGGCCAACAAAGACAACTGCTGCTGGCTGGCCTGGAGCTGCTCCTCTTTCTGCCGCAGCTGCTCCTTCAGGGCCTTCATGTCTCCCTGCCAGAACCAAACATTTGACATGAGAGAGTTGAATCTCTCTCTTCAGCTTATCATGCCCTGTGTGGTTCAAATGCAGAAAATAAAGAAGCTAACCGACGAGGTGCATGTCATATTATACCAACATGGCATTTTTAAGGCTGAGAATAAAATTATATGTACCAAGGGGGACATTTTGGCAACGATCTCTCGGTACTGTTTCTCCTTCTCTGTGAGGCATGCCTGCAGCCGGCCCACCTCCTCTTTGAACTGGGCAATGGTGTTTTCCTTGTTTACATCCACAGACTTCAGCATCTGCAGCTCTGCACTCAGTTTAGTGTTCTCCAGCTCCCGGTTTTTCAGGTGAATCTGTGGCACAACCACACACACACACGCACACACACACCAACAAAGACGACAAAAAAAACAAAAAACAGAGGGCAGTTTTAAGAAAGTATTTTTTCTTTCACACAGCACCTATCAAAACCATCCACCATAGGTGACTATGAGCATAAGAACATTAAAATAAATGCGCCATGACCTCAGATACAAAACGGGGAGCCGGATGGGCTCATAAAGCTTTTTCAGCAGCCACAGCTTGTGATAGCGCAAGTTAAATTAGATATAGGTCTTTGGCTCTATTTCTGTGGGTGGTAGAACAGTATGCGTCCCTCCCACTTCCTGTGTAGTGCCCACCACAACAAAGACACACAAAACACCAGACAGACCAGACGACAGAATAAGACATGCCCTTTTTTAGTGTCCCACAAGAGTATGGAAAAAAAAAAACATCAAATAAATCATAGTAACAGAAAGTAAGAAAACAGGAAAGAAACGCAAAAAGTCGCTCAACGCCATGTCCAAGTTTGTCGGATCCACAATAACGGTGGCGTGAATGCTCCAGATTTAAAGCAGTCATTTTGAGGGGAAGCTTCATAAGAAAGCTAAGACGTGACAGTAATGCACCGGATGCAAAAAACCTCATCTTTGGATTTGTGGTTTTGAGACAACACAAATAAGAGTCAGGAGGGAGAGGAACAGGCTTCATGAGGTTTAAAATAACAGCATTACCTTGTAGAGTTCCTTCTCATCTTTCTCGTTCTTGATGTGAGATTCCAGAGCCTCCTTCTCGGTTGTAAGCTTCTTCACTCTATCTTTGAAGCTAAATGGAATAAAAACATCACACACACCTCAGCACCTTTGCTCACGCAGTATTTTTGTTGCTGCCTATGATCAATATGTTCAGTCTGGTGGGCCAGGAGGAACTCACCTGTCCAGCTCCGTCTCTTTTTGAAGCCCCTTCTGTGTAACTCCAATCAGGTCCTCCTCCAACTGCACAATTCTGGCTGTGGCCTCCTCCAGTCTCCTCTTGACCTCCTCTTTCTCCTCCTGCACGGCCTGCGAGGAATTCTGCACGTCCTGCGAGACAGATGGTCACATCGGATTTGTTTTACGAGTAATTCTAGACTTTATGCACTTCAATAAACGAAAGTATCTCAACAAACTAAAATGAAGAAGTAGTACTCGACTCCAAGTTAATAACTTTCTCAGTCTTTGATTCTAAACTTGTGACAACATTGTGCAAGGAATAAAAACTTATATTTATTGTTTTTGGAATACAACTGCATACTCCTAAAATGCCATTAAAATATAAATATTAACACGAAAATGATTTTTTTAGTATTTGTTTATGGGAAGAATTTAGGAATCTTTTATATTCACACCACATAAAAATAAAACATATAAAACTACGACCATAAAGTTAACAGCCACAAAATCTGTAATCATATTTTCATCTGCAAAAGCTTTAAACCAGCAGATTTATGACGGAGGACCTCTAAATGAATTATTACTGACAGGAGTTAATGTTGCTCAATAAAAAAACGGGATAACAACTTTGATAATGTCGACGTCCATATTTGGGAGAGTGTGATTTACTACTAAGTACATCATGGCTCTGGCATGTTTGGATTGATTCACTAGGGGGTGCTAGGAGACTGTTGGCCTGATGTAAAATAGTCTTTAAGGAGCACAATTCACCTTATAATTATCCATTTTTGCTTTTGCCACTCATCTATAGTTAAATAAAAAAGGTCCTCTCTTCATTCTGCTAACTTACTTGGTTCTCTCTTCTCAGCTGGGCACAGCTCTCCTTCTCTAGTGCGTACTGCTTCTGAAGGTTTTCTGTCTCTGCTTCCAGCTGCTCCTTCTCCTGTTGCAGGAGGGCCATATTTTTCAGGAGCTCGTCTTTTTCTCTTTGGGCTTCTTCCACCTTTTGCTGCATGACAAATAAACAATTAAACAAAAAAACATTGAACTATGTGTTTAAAAGTTTGATGGTCCTGAATTAGTTTTAATCGTTGTTTTATGACAGCAAAAGCAGGACAGGCAGCACTGTTGTGCGTCTGCAGAGGTTCACTGTGCATTACCTCGAGGAAGCCAGCCTTGGTGGTGACGACCAGGATGTCAGAGTTGCATTCGTCCTCAACGGTGAGCAGCTCATCTTCTGTGGGGCTGCTGGCGCGGAATAGGAAGGGCGTGCTCGCCCCGCGGATCTCTCCTTTGTGGGTCACGTAACAGAACTGGTAGAACTCACCATCGTCATTGGGCACATAATATCCTGTGGACAGGAAAAGCCAGTTAAAGCAAAACTGCCACACATTTTTCAAAAAGTTGCAAGCAAAAGAAAGTGCAGAAACTGCTTTAATTCTTCAGTGATGTGGAACAAACAGTAAACAAGTGAAAGGTTCTAGGTTTGAATATGCAAATAAGACCGGGCTATGGATCTTTGCACTACTTTGAATTCTTTCATGAAGAGTGCTATTAAAACTTTAAAAGCAAAACACACACAAACAGGCATGCATGTATATATGTGAGAAAAGCCAAAAATGTCACTCCATCCATTGATTAAGTCTTAAGATTTTAACAGTCCGCTGTACAGATGACTGACATGTGGTTATTAGGTGTCAGAAGTAATCGTAGAAAACTACATTGTGATCTTACCTTGAAAGACCACGGTTCTGTTGACTGCCGTGCCTTCCACATAGTTCTCGGGGGGAGGCGACCACAAGAATGTGTAATAGTCCCTCGCCGTGCTCCAACCGACCTGTGCGACATTGTGGAGAATCTATTTAATCAGTCACTCCAACCCAGCAGTGTGGCTTAAAAACAGCCTGAGAGACGTTCTTGAGTTGACATCAACGATATTTATCAAAGTATCGATCGGCTTTTAAATCCATGTTTTAAAAAAAAAAAAAAAAAAAAACATTGAATAAAGGGCAGGATCATAGTTTCTCTGATATTTGAGCAGTAAGATTATCATCTCAGAGCCACCTCCAGCTATCCGTGTGTATGTGGCCTGCCACTTGTCATAAAACAAGCCCAACTGTGGAAATGTAGCTACAACTCACTTCCAACAGGAAGAGGAAAATAGGTGAAAATTTTATACATAGGCAACTTGAAAATGAAAACCAAAATGTAATTATATGTATCTTATGTGTTGTTAACTGATGTCTGATGAGGGGGAAGTGCAGAAAATACATCCATAACTTTAGACCGATGCCATAAAACTGTCAAATCAAATCAGCCTCACATTGAGCTGGCTGCTTTCTGGTGGGCACACACTCACACACACCCACACACACGCATGCATGCATGCATCCACAACAAACCCTGTAAAACTGGTCCGTTACATCATTCTTTGCCACAAAACATGGTTTAATTCATGAGATGTGACCGTCAAAAAAAGGAAGGGGGGGTGGAAGTGTCTGCTTCCTTTAAAATTTCCAGGAGAGCAGGATCACACAGCGATGTTTCTGGACACTTTCAACAGATGCTGCTTTGGTGTGGGTAGCGTTCTCTTATTTTCTCACCTGTGTGCAAACAGCCTACAGCTACAGAGTTGTGTGTGTGTTCATGAGAGCAGGGGAGAGAGGGCCCTGGTGCTCCAAAAGCCCCTCAATTGTTAGCAGTGCAGTTCCAGCTTCCAGCAGTTAAGAACAGGAAGCAATTAAAACATGCACCTAGTTAGTGAGTGTCATTACTGAAGGCTAGCCCTTACCAGTCCACTCATTAGAGCTGCAGAGGTGGCAGATGAAAACTGAGAGGAACTCAAAGCACAGTGGTGTGTGCATAAAGTGGAAAGGAGGACAGCAACACTGCTTAGCTACCTTCATAAAAACTAACAACAAGCAACAAAATGAGACCAAAGCTAGCGGCAACAAAAAGCAGACTTTGTTTTTTAAGATGACTATTCGCTGACATCCAGCGAAGTCATACTTCTGCAAGAATGCTGACATAAGTCTGCAAGAATCCTGCAGCAGGAGGTGGTGTGTCGTCAGTGAGACAGAGAGTCTGTATAAATTCAGTAGAGCTGTTCATGAATCAAATGGGGAGGCTGTGCACTGAGACAGGCTAATTATAAAGCTGCCTTTACTTTCTCTGAAACAACACAGAAAACCTGCCCCAACAACGATCCCCCCATGAGTCAGATGGCTTCTCGCATGCTACATGGTGGTAAAAGTTTGAAAATCAAATGCTGATCGTGCTGATATGCCCAGAACAAAAATGGCATGTCTTTATATTTTGTTTTGCTTGTTCAGAAAATGACGTTTTGAAATCTTTAGAAAGGCTTGCTGTAAGACTGCCTCTCCCAGTCAGTGCTTACTTTGAGGCTATTTGTGATGCAATGAATTGTCTGGCTACAACAAAGTGTTAAATCCAGTTTAATCACCCACCTGATCCAGCTCCAGTAACTTCACATGACCCCATTTCTCAGAGAGAAATTGAACACATTTTCATTCACAAACACTTAAAAAAATGGACAATGTCAATATGTTGACATTAATTTTGTGTAATTGAGATAGGAAGGTTTTCATCCATGAATCAATCAAGAATATAAGTCATCAGTGTCCAGAATGAGCTTCTGCTACGCACAGCTCACACAACAACCGTTTTATGGCAGCTGTCATGGGGTTTGCAGTCATAACCTTACTTATTCGTGCATGACCAAAAGATAATGATGACTAACATTCCAAAAGTTCAGCTCAATGTTGCTTTGTTTTTGTCTTTTTAATCTACTTGTGTTGATGCTGAAGCAGTGTTCCCTTTTGTTTTAGGGGCTCCAATGTGCCTTGGTTTTGACAAACAGCAAACAAAGCTACTTGGCCCCTCTGTTATCTGATAAGTGTCCCATGAACACAAGAATCTGGAAGAGAACAAAACCAGCCCAAACAGAAAACCACACATTTGTATTTTTTTTTTAATTGTCCTCATTCAATCTCAGCTTCCATCTCAGCTAAAAAGCATGTCTGTCTAGTGGATCCTTACTATACTTTAGACAAGCTTAAAATAAATGGCTGCCACTGGACTGGATTTAGTGTGCTCCTATAACAAGATCCATGTGGGACACGCAGGCCTGTGGTGGGGGAAAAATAGCTCTGCTCCCTCTGCCAGGCTCATCTTTCACATAAACATGATAATGGCTAAACTCGCCATGTCTTGGGATTTTCTCAGGGCCAAATTAATACTTTGTTCTAAGTTTTTAAGCAAACCTGCTACCATTTTCCATTTGTGGTATAATTTCTAATTCATGCTTTAACATGTTTCCCCACTTGGTTTTAGAAGCCACAGATCCTCAGGGCATCAATCACCTTCCATCATAGTTATTACCATATGCCCTTCAGAGGCTTTCATAATACATTAAAAAGATGATTTACCTTAAATATGCCAACCCAGTCCTTTGGATGAGGCTTGATGAACTGTGTCAGGGTATAGTGACACTCCAGTGCAGCGTGGGGCAAATAACTTTTCCCCACATTCTGGAAGATAACGTGGGCAAAGTTTGATGTATCCATGTTGTCGCTCAATAAAGTTCCGTCCTGGAACTGTGCCATAAATCATTCAGCAGCAACTAAATAGGGGGAAAAAAAAGAATTAATCCATCTGTTTGAAATAACTAATAATCAGTCAAAGGAAAAGGCATCAACTAACTCATTGGAAATGTAAGAAATGTAAGAAACCACTGCTGTCAGCTAGCTTGATTTGACTAGCCATGCTCAATAAGCCAAGGTTGAACAAAAACAACATGTGATTAATGTTCTGTCACCTCATCAAAAACAACTTTGCTGTCTACAAAATAGTATAATACATTATCATAAATAAAAGATTAAAAATATATATATGGTTTGACTATAGTAGATTTTCTAGTACACTTTCAGTTCTTACTGAGAGTATAGTCTGTTCTGGGACATCCTCATATCACCAATCATTGATAAAAATTAAGCTCTGTTTGATCAGTTTTAATCTGATTTTGACTGAAAGTGGGATAAAACTATATTACAGTTCCATCTAAAACCATACATGTCACAACCCATTTAGTCACTGGTACACTGAATATGTATTACAGGAAATGCTAAGCTACAGTTTGGATAGCTCCATTCTGTCTTATAACATTAAATAACAAAGGCACAGTAACAGTTCGGCTATTGGCGCCCCTTTACATAAATACCTCTTATTTGTTTATTACACTGCAAAAATTTGAATGGTTTGAAACCCTTTTTCATTTCTCCCATTCAAGAAAATCGATCTGATCAACAAGCAAACCCCTTGGAGTCCAGTAAATATTTTTTTCACTTGAACTGGACAAGAAAGCACATCAGATTGTCAGTTTCCAAAATTATAGCTCTATGTTTATTATGTAAAGAAATAAATGGTTCTCTATTAATTTTCTTTAGTTGGTCCAAAACATGTGCATTCAATTACATTTTGTTTTTGAAAAGGTTTTGTCTAAATTTGCTAAGAACATTTTATTTGTTAAATTATATCATATGAACATAGAATGTCATTTTACTTTACATAATTTGAGTAAACACAGATGATGAGACATCAAAACTCAACACAGAGACTTCTAGAAACCTACCCAATAGAGAGAACTTCTTTAAAAAACAAAGGTTTCTTTTTTGTCTTTGGGATTACTTTATTTATTCAGATTTTGGGTACTTTTCATTTAGCCCTAATCAAATCAACCATGTATGCCCTTTTATTCATTATGGGACATTTAATTATGCAAATACAAACGGAAATGTCAAAGCTCAACTGGCTCTAAGGCCATGTGACCCTTTGGACCTTTCACCCTGTGCCCTCCACACCCATTTGAAATCATTTCATGTTCCAGTATTCTTTTCTGAGACATTTACTTTTCTTTTTAAATCAATGTTTGTTTAAATAGCTTTTCCTGTTGGACCAAATAACTATGACGATGATATATTGTAACTTGCTAGGTTGACCTACTACCAGCAAATATTATGGTATAAAAACATACGATCACAAAATCACAAAGCACACTGCCTAACTTGCGCTGTCAGGGGTTCGGCACTAGGAGGGATTTTCCATTTGGGCCTCAGCTGAATTTATTTCACTTGACGTAATTGGGCCTTCGAGCGATAATGATCAGACACTGATCAGAGTCGAATTTTCATCCACAGCCAATATAAAACATATAAATCTCAAATGCACGCGTGAATCCCAAAAATGTAATAGTTAGAAGAAAATACCTAAATATACGACAGTCAAAAATTATTTTGAAGCGTGCCCTGACGAGAAAACTGTGGTCATTTTGAGCTAACTTAGCCAGTCAGCTAGCTAGCTGGCTAGCGTTAGCGACTTACTTTACAAGACATTAATCATTAATCACAAGGTAAAGAGGCATACCTTTCTAAGAAATGTTTAACCAGTGGACAAAATGTTACCTTAAACTGTCCGAACATACGATGTTTTGTTATATAAGGCCCTTTACAAACAGAGCAGGTAGTTTGAGAGCACGACTACCAGCTGGAGGACAAGGTTACTGCTAACGTAAACAGCTCCCAACGACGGACTTCAAGATGTACAATTTGAAGAAAACACGGGTCGACTGGAATGTTACCAGTTGTATTTTTGGTGACATTTAAAGAATAAATACTTCACGTACCTGGTTGCCATGTTGAACAGCAGCTGAAATCCCAGTATATCATAGAAACAATTGTTGACGCAGTTCAGTGCTTTCCCGTGCCCTCTTCCTGGAATAATAACAACATTACGTCATTTCCGGAAAGAGGCTGCTTCAGAAAACCGTACACGCTGCAGTTTTAAACCCTTAAAAACTGATATAAAAAACTCAAATATCAAATAGATGACAGTTAAAATGTTCTCCACAACGAAACATTGACAACGGCATTAAGCAAAATGTGCATAAAGTCTGACAGCTTTCTGTTTACATTAGGTGTTCACGATAATTGGAACGTTATTTTTCTAAACTTAATTAAATTATGTAATAATATGTTGTCCTGCTGCAGTTAATTTTAGTTTTACTTTTCCTCTGTTTTCCCATCCTTATTAAAAGTTATACGTGTACAAAAGATTTTCTAAACCAAGCTTGATATCGATTCTTTAGTCATTACATTTACTACGTTTACGTGTAGTGTAAATGTTGTCATGTAGTGTCAAATGTCATGTAAATTATACATAATGACATTAGGGATTTTTTACAAGCCAAATTTAAAGCCTATATGAACATATGAGCCCCCTCATTTCTTATCGACCACCACATTTCTTTTTTATGGGAAGTTTTGTGAAGTTCTTTTCGTGTAGTTCGTTCTACTAGTTTCTCTGTTGCAAAATGTATTTGACTAAAAGATAGAGAACGATGGTATATCGGACACATCCATTTCCTGCACATCTTTGGCCCTCCCATGCGGCTCAGACACTGGCTGAGACTGAGGGCCGTGCTGCGCATGCCTGTTACCTGATTGGTCGTCAAACAAAGTGATTCACGTACGTTCTGCAACGTCACGCGTAAGGTCAAGAGGAAAGAAGCATGGCCGCTGTCTTGAGAGGGTCTCGGTATTTAGTGGGAAGGTGTAGCAGGCATGTTGACTTTGCGTACGGTGAGTATAATTTAATGGCACCGAGTACACAACACACACGTCCCTGCGTGTCCTATAGCTGCCCAAGCTAGTTTGTATATCCTCCTTGCGTCGACAGTGCTTGTCTTTTTTTCAAACGTGAGAAGTTTTTCTGTGAATTGTCACTAAACTTGATGTAGTTGTTGCTACAGGGGGCTTCACAATTTACTGGTAAAAAGAGTGTTCAAAGTACACATTGTTTGCTCGACGAGACGTTTGCCAGCGCCCTGTTTTTCACTTTTTATGTTTCCATATTTTAACCGAATGAAAGAACACCACTAACGTTTGGTCTTGTGTCCCACTGTCTCATTTGATTTACAAAAGCAAGACAATACTGTGTAATGTCAATCATTCGCACATTTGTGCGGGTGGCTTTTAAAATGTTTAATATTTACGCGGAATTCCAAAAAAGAAACTTAAGTTGAAGAAACATTTTACTTTGCTCATACTGCTTACCCTTCCAGTTTTTTTATTATTACATCATATAGGTCAAAGAAACCTGAACAAGCTGAACGGGTATCGGGATTAGTACATTTAAAAGAGATAACAGTGTTTTTGGTGCTAATGGTCAATACGATTCTGTGCAAGACTTTCAGCAGAGTACCTGTGTTTCACTCTAAACACAAATTCCTAATATTTAAAGTAAAACCTGCACACCTGATGGGGATGATGTATATCTTGACGTGAATTGAATTTGTTTTAATGTATTAGTCTCCACGAGGTGCCTGGCCTCAAAGACACAAGTGGGGTTTGTTGGTCTGGGAAATATGGGAAACCCTATGGCAAAGAATCTGCTGAAGAATGGATATCCAGTCATTGCCACAGATGTATTCCCAGAGTCCTGCAAAGAACTGCAAGAGCTGGGTGCTCAGGTAAAATTAGATTAACTGATTTATATATATATGTGTATGTTAATAGACTGATTCTTTTATAACCACGTGATTTTACTGCATTGCTGTGACTTTCAGATTGTGGATAATCCCGCTGAAGTATCAGACAAGGCAGACCGCATCATCACCATGCTGCCCTCTAGTCCCAACGTCATAGATGCGTACACTGGACCCAATGGCATTCTCAAGTAAACACGCCTTAGTTTCTCTTTTTTATATATTTTTAAAGGTTAGTTTTAAATTGTAATGCCTATGATTCCGCTAAAACATTTTTTTCTTTGACAGAAAAGTAAAAAAAGGCTCCCTACTCATCGACTCCAGCACCATTGATCCATCTGTTTCCAAAGAGATGGCTGCGGCTGCTGAGAAGATGGGGGCAGTTTTTATGGATGCACCTGTATCAGGAGGTAATTAACTATTGTCTTAATCCTAATTCTAGTCTTATGTTTCACCCTTGACAAGGCTCTCGGAGGATTACATTTCTAACACACTTAAATTAAAAATGTTAGACCCTTCTGATCATCAGAGTTAGGACATATGATTAAATGTGGTGGAGTGGAATGTCTATTTTACCTGTGTATGAATAGTATTTTTGGTTAAATTGTTTTTTGATTATCATCTGTATATAAGCATGCTTAATTTGTCCTTAAAAGATTTTTGGTGCCAGAAGCTTTCTGCTTTCCATTTGTAATCTGAATACTATCAACCAATCACAACTGAGTCGTTAACCTGCACACGAACAGTTATGTGGTGAGCACAACACAAAAATACAAGGGCTGAAAAGAAAATCTCCAAACCACTGGCTATTGACGGTTAATCCTCCTTTCTTGATTATTTCCATTTCTAAGAGCTTTTCCAATCGTATTCCAACATCACCCACTATACATAAGAGGAACTCTTGTCCCAAAATGTCCATTATCCAGACATCTGCATTCTACACTAGAATCTGAGGAACATTGAAGCAGTAAGTAGACTATAGCTAATGGGTTTCCAACGTGCTCAGTGGAGAGGATGGAGTTTTTATGAGCCAAAAACTTTCCCGTTTCTTATCAACAATAGTATGATGCCGATGGATGCGGGCTGGTTCAGGATTATGACATTAAGTTAAAAATATTAATATTTCACAGATTTCTTTCAATTTTATTTTAACCTTTGCAACCATGTATATTGCTAAACTGCACATAAATTTAAACAACGTAACACAGTCAAAATGATGTACTCCTGTGATTTATTCCCATTTAACAACCATTTTCATCGTAAAAGTGAAGGTAGTGTGACAGATGGCTCTAACCCAACAAATCTTTTCATGTTGGATTTTATTTTTCCAGTTGGTCGCTTTTCTCTCCTTTTGCTGTTTATATGCAGCAAATCTAGTCGGTTAAAATTAGAAAAGTGATCACCTGGTTACAGTTAAAGGATGAAACTCCTGCATTGAGTGTGGTTCAATTTCAAGATTTAAAAAAATAATAATTTAATTCCAACATGCAGGTTTTGCAACATCTCTTGCTATGTTTTGTTGTTTGTCACATGTATGTACATGTGCCGGTATGTACGTGTGTGTGTGCGTGTTAATGAAATTATACATTACTGGCATTCCACAAATGTAAAAAATTAATTCCAACAAGGCAGAGTCTGCAGTCATAATCCTTCAACAAAAAACTCATTCAAATTTAGATTTATGCCCATGTTTTTATGTTTTAAGAGCGGCTCCGTCACTGTGTTTTTTAATCAACATATCTTCTATTCTCTGTATCATGTTGAGCGTCACCTATGCTTTTACGGAAGAGCCGGATAATGAAGAGAAGCCACAGCTCTCTGTGGGAGTGGAGCAGCTTGCCCCTCACAGATGCGTGTGTTTGAACTTAGCTTTGTCAGTGTCAGAGGAGTCACTTTCTTTTAGCTGAAGTAGGTCCATTTTTATGGTCAGGATCTAAAGATTACTAATGATTTACATGTGTCCGTCCCACAATAGTGCACGTGGATTAAAGTTTTCCTGCTCTCTGCCTTGAACTTCTGTGTGTGGTGGCGGCAGTTTAACCAGGGCAGAACAAAACTGTATGTCATACTTTGATACTGGCATCAATCACTGGGCTTTAGCTTTTAAATTGAACTGTTTGAACATTTCTACATGTCAGAGAGGAATAAAAAGGGGATACAGTGGCCATGTGGTTAAAGCTTAAACTTGAAAGAGGAATTAATTGAGTCAGCCTGTGGTTTAAAGTTGTTTAAGTTAAATAAAAAGAGCAGTCAAGACAACAGACATCCTTTTTTTTTTTTTTTTCCCTTTTAAACTGGAATATATAGTTGAGGGAACAGCTTTGGTCTGAAATAATAGAGATTGTTGGCAGTGAGCTGAGTTTCAGTTTTCGCTCATGATTTTGTGGTAATTTCTAAGGGATGGATTTTCTTTGGAATATTTGCGATTATTTATTTGATTAGTTGTGCAGCAGTGTACAATCTGTATGGATAAATAAAAGCCCTTCATGTAACATTCAGGAGAGTATTGTGCAGAATACTGTCAGAAGGTGGTCACCGCAGACATGGTGCCCTTTGTCAGCTTGCTGTCAAACATGGAAGGCATACGCGCCCACTTTGAGTTATGATTTCCAGAGATGATATTTGTGGGAAGGTGTCCTTTGCTTTAAGTTGGTAGTGCTGGGGAAGGAGTGTAAAGGCCCCATATCTGCCTAAGAACCCAAACAAATGGGATGTGAACATGACTAAAACTCTTGGTATGGTAGCGATGTTACGAGATTTAACTAGTCTTCAGACCACCATTGTGGCTTCCTTTAAATAGCTCCTGTGCTCAGACTGCTGAGGCACCTGTGAGCTGCACACATGTGCACCGTGTTATTGTGAGGCATGTTGGAGACATTCTGTTACATCATTGTATGTGTAAATATAGCAGTGTAAGCACAGCTGGAATATATCCAAGTTATGCGAGGGGGGGCTTTTGTGAGATGGTATTGTGGTTGTCAGATCAGATTCATCAAAGCTGAGCAGCAGCGACAAAATATCAGAAAACTTGCAAAAGAAACAGAAATTTACCAGAAGTAAAACACTTTTTATCGAGAATTCAAATAAACAGAGTTGACAAGCAGAATTCAGACGTGAAGGGCTGCAACAAGAGGAATGCAGACACATCATGTTAATGTCATAAATATGTTTTGAATGTGTGTTAGCTAAATGTATTGTAACAAAATGCACACTTGGTCAGAGTGGGTCCAGCTCACCTTATTGACAGAAAGCAACCCACTGCACATGCTAAGATGAGGCAGAAGCCACCCGTATGGTGGTTCTTCTTTTCCTTCTCTGATGCATTTTATGGTGAGTGTCCTCATTAAAATACCATCCCCTTATGTTCAGGAGCCAGCCACGTAGTAACTGGAAGATCCAACAGATGTGCATTATTCACAGTATCAGATTTTAGCCTTTGAATATCTGGGTTAGCGCTAATACTGGTACATTGTGACACCTCAAATATGAACATCTGCATTGTATTGTTGCGGCACATCAAAATGTTTCCAGTCTCTTTGTCTCTTCAGAACAGTCATCATTGAGATGTTAAGTCGGTATAGTCTTTTGTTTCTTTTGCCTGTGCTTTTTGAGTTTCATAAAACGTGGCGCAATCTAAAGCCACAGCCCACTTCTTTTCATGACTTGTCTCAAACTTTGTGAGTCGCAGCTCAGTCTTTCTGTCCATTAAGCTTCAGGCAGACGGCCTCTGAGGATTAGGGAAGGGGGAAACTTATAACACCCACCTTGGCCCTTCTCCACCGGCTTCCTGTAAACTTTAGGATTAATTATAAGACTCTGTTGGTTAATTTCTTGGCTCTCATATGGCTTGCACCTGGTTATTGGAGAGTGCCAAGCTTTTAACCCCATATGAACCAGAAACAGAAACAGCTGTTCCGACAGCAAGACAAAATCTGACCAAACTGTTTCCGACGGTGTGAGAACAGGCTAACTTGGTTGGACTTGCTCTTTTTACTTGAATAGCGATGACTGTTTCCCATGAAAAAATTCTGTGGCTTTGTGTTTGCCAGCGTCTACGTAATGGGTCCGGGTCCTCTAGTTTTACAGGATTGTGTATTTCCATTACCCCCCCCCCCAACATCACTAACTGGATTTGAGTCGGTTTATAAAAACTGGAATAATCTGGTCGCGCCCCCACAAATATTGTGGAAAGCTCAAAACGAGGACAGTCAACAGTTCCTGCTCTTTCATACTGTTTTCAAACTTAAGTTTCTCAAACTACGAGGAATGAAAAAAACTGTGAAAACTAAACATCCATGTAGCAGAACAGTAGCTTCTATCTGTGCATAAGCTTGGTTTCTCTTCCAGGTGTGGGTGCTGCCAGCTCGGGTAAGCTGACCTTCATGGTCGGAGGGGCAGAGGAGGAATTTACTGCAGCCAAAGAGCTGCTCAGCAGCATGGGAGCCAATGTGGTTTATTGTGGCCGAGTTGGAACTGGACAGGTGTGAGCTGATTTCCCACATTAGAGAATTGTTATGAAGTCTTTTTTTTTTTTCTTTTGCAGTCTGTTCTTTGTTTTTTTTCTATTTTTTTCTTTAACATGACTTCCAGACTTGGGGGAAATAATTCAATGTTGTCTTGTTGTTCCAGGCAGCTAAAATCTGTAACAACATGCTTTTAGCCATTGGAATGATCGGGACTTCAGAGACGATGAACTTGGGGATCAGGTAAAAAACAGCTAACGGCTAACAAATCATGGCAGCAAGCAAGTTGCAAGATATTTGCTGAAACGAGAGGCTTGTTTTTATTCGCAGACTTGGTCTTGATCCCAAGCTTTTGGCCAAAATTCTGAACATGAGCTCAGGCCGGTGTTGGTCCAGTGACACCTACAACCCTGTACCAGGAGTCATGGAGGGTGTTCCCTCTGGGAATAACTACCAGGGAGGTTTTGGCACCCAGCTCATGGCAAAGGTCAGTTTGCATCACAGGTCTGAGGGATAATAGTTTTTTTTATTTGCTTTATTTATTTATTTATTTATTTTTAAGTCCATTGGCATTAAATAGATTTTTCAAACCATGATTGTTTCATGTCGGATGTACTTTTGAATGTGACTTCAGGAACTGAGTATTTCTGTCTTGGTCAAGCACTCAAAATAAACCCGCACATTGTTCAGTAACACCCCGGGGGGAGGCGAAAAGCAGTCTGTGGTGTGTGTGGGTTCACGGTTTTGTTTTCAGAATGAAATATTCTGCTCAGTTGGTTTTTCTAAAGTCTGTTTGCTTTGCTTTTGAAGGACTTGGGCCTGGCACAGAACACAGCCACCAACACAAAGACGGCTGTCCCTCTCGGCTCCCTGGCCCATCAGATCTACCGCATGATGTGTGCGCGTGGTTATGCCAATAAAGATTTCTCCTCAGTTTTCCAGTTCCTGCGTGATGAGGAGGGCCAGTAATGTCACCCTTCACGCCGTCCACAGCCTTGCCATGTGCCTGGCCCCGCACAGACTAAGTGTAGTTAGGGTGCATTTCATTACAAGGACTTTTCTTCTCTCTTTTTTTCTTATTTTTTTTTTTTTCTTCCTCCTCAACGTTGTGAAAGACATGCAGCTCCTTGGGGTTTCATTACACGTTGACAGATAAAATTAGCACTAATCTCCAATTTGGAATCATGTTTCACATGTGATTAAGGTTTTTTTTATAATGAAACACTCCTAGGTTTTAAAATATAAATGAATTAGATTTTGGAAATCAAAACTAAGCCTCATTACTCCGTGTCAAAGCTAAACAGCTACAAACAGTGTAGTTTCCACATATTTATCTTTTATTCCTTTTCGTTCTTCTGTTCATATTAGGTATTTGTTGTGAAATTGGAGTTCTTTTGAGTGTCATATCCTGTTAGAAAATAAAGAAAATTTGTAATGTCTTAAACCTTCTGTGCAAGTCCTGCTCCATCTCATTTCGACCACTTTTCAGCACATTTTACTGTGTGTAAAATACGCTGATTCCTAATAACAAACGTTTTGTTACGATTATTTAATCGCCTTGACGCTTCAAATGTGTTTAGTCAGCATCTGCCTTAAATAACGAATTGGCAGAGCAGGAAGTGCCCTTCAAATGAAACTAAACCTCAGACACCGCGGAAGAAAGATGATGAAAATGTCCTTTTAAATTTGCAATATATTGCGCCGCGCCTATCTGGACAGTCAGTGCGCAATTTTCACTCCCCCAAACTTTTGGATGAAATGGCTTCCAAATGTTAGTTTGCAGTGAGGCTTGCAAATTCAGACGCTATACGGTAAGACACTGAACAAACTATTTCGAAGAACGTGCAAAAAAAAACACAACTATACGCGGTGTCCGGGTTTGAGCCACGCTGCCTCTTCGGTCCACATTAATTCAGGGGTCTGCTTTTCTTTTCTCGGCCAGTCCAGGAGTGTGGCATGTTTCTGATCTACTTCACCAATAGAGAGGCCAAGGTGCCATAGGTCATACGATCACAAGACAAAGCCATAAAAAGTCCATTAAGCACTGTAGGCTAAGAGCTGTTCTGTCATCCTCTTGATGGGTACAGCAAACAGAGCAGCACTTTGGTCTCCGGCCTGCAGCGGTCTGTGACACAGTCTGACATCATCTGCAGCCGCCGGCGCGTCAAGTCCATGCAGCTTACCTTTTTAATAAGCTCAACATCCTGCCGGGGTTTTTTTTTTTTCCTTCTTCACGATACTGCCTTGCGCATTTCTGTAGGAAATATTCTGGACTTCTGCGGCAGCACAGGTTTGCGTCTGACCACAATTTAGTTTTAGGTTGGGGAAATGTGCTGATTTTATTAAAGATTATTTTTCTTTCGCCCGTTTCACGCGTTATATTTACCTGTGAGTTCACATTTCAGTCGTTTGCAAATCATTTCTACGGGTCACATGTTCCTGTGGAGTGGCCAAATGTTTACATTTACCTCCAACGTGTACCAAAAAAAGAAAAGCAAATTATCGTTGGCCATACGTGGAAAAACTCATCTATTATTAACAAAACATGGTCAAAACAGGAATGAGAAATGTTTGTGTGTGTTTGATGCCCCGTTCAAGTTCCAGGCAAATTAGGTGCGTGTTTCGGACGTTTTAAAGCCACAAATGGTTGCATTTTTATCGTAAATGTACGTCAGCTGCATGCGCTCTCGTGGCTTTCACTGAAAACGGGGGGGTTCTGGGATTTGTTTGCGATTAATAAGCTATTAATGGCAGGACGTAGAGTAGGCCTACTGCATCCTTAGTGCCTGCAGCCACTGTCAGAATGCTGAAAAACCTGTAGGATAATTATTTCATTCAGAAGAAATGGGACATAATATGGCGGAAAGGTGTTGCACTTGTGTGTATAAAACCAAGAAAAACAGACAAACTATGTTCTTTTTTTTGGTAACTTTTTTGATAAAAAATTTGGAACCGAGTTTACAGATATTTCAATCTAGACCAATTCGTATTTTTCTGGATAATCTCCTACAAAAATACTTGGATGTACCAGTTGAGGCAATTCCTGTCTAATCAGCTGCTGGATATCGTAGCTCTGTCGTTATCAAAAAGTAAAAAAGCATTTTTGTTTATTCTGCGTTCAAAATATAGGTAAGAATAGTGTTAACTGAAAACACATTTATTGGCGTTTGTAATCACAATGCTGTTTAAAATTAGGCAAATTAAGAAATACATGTAATGCTTTTCCTTCTTGTTTTAATGTAGGTTCGTCACATTCTTGCCGACAAGCTATGAACTTGGGCCATAAAGATTTACAGCCTCAAAAGGTGGGAAAACTCTATTAAAAATAAAAAGGTGCTCAAATTTAGTTGGGTATACATTCCTCTGCGTCTGTGGTCTTTCGGACAGAGACGTGTGCACAAACTGAACTTCGAAAGTAGAAACTTTTCCCCCCAGTCGTGCGTATTCCCTCTTTATTCTCCCTCGACAGTCCCTATGATTTCATTTTTAGTACTGTGGAATTTTGTTAAAATGCTTGTATCCCTGACTCATGAACACAGTTTTTTAGGTTAAGAAATCGCTGGGTTAAAATAGGAATTCAGTGGATATGTCCTTATTTTTCTGTTGTGTCATTTTAACATAGCTGGGATAGCTAATTATAACTCAGTTTTACGCAGCATTGGAAATATGGATATGATAAGTAAAAGTTAAGCTTTTCCTCGCCATTTAGTGCCTCATTCTCAGACCGCAGCTTTCAACTTGACCTTGGCCTCCAGCCGCGTCTCTAACTTGCAGGAGGAAAGGGGCAACCGTGCGCAAGGCTTTGTGGTATTTCGTTGTAACTGATCCGGCATTTACACTTATATCTGGGCCAGTTGTCTGGACAGCTTAACTCAGTCGAGGAATACTTTCACATCTTGCTTTTCCTCGAGAATTGTCAAATTTCCATGCGTAAAAATTGTGCGTAAAACAACCATTCAGAGCTCAGTTGGCTCAGTTATTCAGCATTACTGGAAAGGTCTACTCTGTAATGGAATAGTCCTGAAAACATCCGGATTTTAAAAGCCAAATCAATGGAAATAGTATCCAGGTATTGGAGAAGAAAATGAAACGTTCTCGATTGAACTCGGAGCGTCTTAAAGTTGTGTCATTGTAAACTCCGTTTTCCATTTCCTATATCACAAAATCTTTGCGCGTGAGTTTTAAGCTGTAAATTATACACGTAGTTGCCTTCACATCTCATTTTCTTTTCTCCGTTTAAGACTCAAACCTTCGTTTTCGTGTTGGAACACAAAATGCCAACAAGGCATCAGGTATAAATAGCCAACGAGACGTTTTGTGTTTTCTAAAACATGCAGCCTGATCTGCATTATCAGACGTTTATCGTCTTCTTTGCATATCACGTGTTTGGCCCTGGCCAATAACCTTGCAATCTTCGTGTACCCAGGCGCGTTGTAATTGTTACTCTGCTTGAGTCCCTGTCTCTGCTCAGTCGAGGGGATTTTGAAAAAGAGTTGGTCGTCTCAATGTAGGGCATGCTATGACCGCCTCATTACTCCTCCACTCGCACTGGATTGACCCGGTGATGTTCCTCTACGAGAACGGTTTGGATGAGAGAAGCAAGAACATGGAGGGATTTACTGGTGGCAACTTTGCGTCAAATCAGTGCAGGAATTTGTTAGCGCATCCAACCTCGCTGGCTCCCAGCACCACCTACACTTCGAGTGAGGTGCCAGTCTCTGGCATGGGAGAGCCTGGCAAACAATGCAGCCCCTGTTCTGCCACCCAGAGCTCGTCCAATGCATCTCTGCCCTACGGATATTTTGGCAGCGGTTACTACCCATGCAGGATGTCCCACGGCAGCGTGAAGGCTTGCGCACAGCCCTCCGGTTATGGCGATAAATACATGGACTCGTCGGTCTCTGGCGAGGAGTTTTCCACCCGGGCGAAAGAGTTCGCCTTCTACCAGGGCTACTCGTCTGCTCCTTACCAAGCCAGCTACTTGGATGTGCCCGTCGTACCTGCTCTCAGCGCCCCATCCGAGCCACGACACGAGTCCCTGCTGCCCATGGAGCCCTACCAGCCGTGGACCATAACCAACGGCTGGAGTGGTCAAGTTTACTGCACCAAAGAGCAGCCGCAGTCCAACCCTCTGTGGAAATCCACGCTACAAGGTAACCCCTTTAGTGACGTTCACATAAAAACATACAAACTTTTTTTTTAAAGGCTATATCTTCAATGACACGATTTGAATGTGATTTCATTCCCACAGACGCCATATCTGGTGGGGACAGCTCAATGCGCCGTGGGAGAAAGAAACGCGTGCCATACACCAAGGTGCAGCTCAAAGAACTGGAAAGAGAGTATGCCACCAACAAATTCATCACCAAAGACAAGAGGAGACGGATATCCGCGCAGACAAATCTGACAGAGAGACAAGTGACAATTTGGTTTCAGAACAGGCGCGTAAAGGAGAAAAAGGTGGTCAATAAATTCAAGAGCTCCAGTTAGCTGTGGAGAGACTCTTGACAAGACGTGAAAGGCGGACATGGATGCGTTTTCATCCAAAAACTGCTCTATATAATTTATTACATTATGAACGGTGTCAATGCCGCCAGAACGGCTCTGTTTTGAACACAGTCTCCCCTTTAAACTTTAATTGGAACCAGTCGAAGAGGCCTGTTGACAGAAGATCGGAAATGGTTTGGAGCTTAAGGCGATTCTGCGAGGGATGCTTTAATAATTACCAAACGATAAGACATTTTTCCATCGACGTGACACCTCAGTCAAACTGTCCTTCTCCTTCTCTAATCAATAAAAATGGAGTAACACAGCAGCGCTTTTTGATATTTGAGGGTGACGGCGAAAGGGGGGGTCCTCTTTCTGTCCGCATCACAGCTCAAATCTATTTAGCAAAGAGAAAAACTGAAATGAATAAAAAACGTAAATGAATCAGGAAAAAAGTCTTCTCCGGAGACGAAATGAAATGAACTCCTCTGCTGAAAGCTTCAAGCACAGGTAACGCTTCAGGCCTTCAGAGACAGCCCGTTTCAAACCAGTCTTTTATTCCCAGCCAGTATTTAATGAGACCTTATCAAACCGACTGTCCTCTACATCCTAACAGAATGTCCAAACTCTGCATTTAGCATTTTCTCTCATTTTTGTTTTAGTCACCATCACTCTCATGTCGACTCATTGACCATCTATTTAATTCTACCTGAATGCTATTTGATTTTTTTTTTTTAAGAGGTGAACTTCTGCAATACAAAAATGCATAAATGTTCTTAATACACATTTAAGCGTGTAAATACTTGGACCACAGCTATCCATCACCCCTTTCCCGACTGCAATAGCCAAAGTTGAGTTTTTCTTTTTGCCAATAAATGTCTGAAAGACGTCATTTGTTTTTGTCACGTTATTTCTTATTTATTGTGCCAGATTTGAGGACAGATTTGGTCTTACTGTGACTTAAATCAGTTAGATAGCAGAGTCCTGTACTACAGGCCGGCAGGCCTCTGGTGGAAGACCTACTGTGGACGGTTGAGTGGACAGGTTTGCCAGTGAGAGTTTATGTTGCCATCTAGTGGCGGAACTCTGTCAGCACAGCGTGTCCGGCCACCGGCTGCAGTGTGTGTGTGTGTGTGTGTGTGTGTCATCTGTGTCTCTCATAAAGCAGCTTACTGTGAGAGAAAGAGAATCAAAAAGAAAAGGAAAAAACGTTTGCTGCTTCAGAACAGATTTGTTATGTTTGTGGTGACAATTAACATGGAAGAAAAAAGAGTCGAAATCATTTACAACTGCATCATCTCCACTTTTATATGATTAGTTATGACAAAAGTTAGAAATGCCATCTCATTCATTTATAGTTTCATTACTATGGTAATAATTATTGTTGTTGTTGTTATTGTTTTTAAATAATTATAATTCTTATTATTATAACGATAAAAATATTTTTGATACCTTAAATGCATTTTTATCACCAATACAATTTTTTTTTTAAAGATTAGAATTAGCTATAGATTTGTTTAATTTTCTAGGTCATTAACATTTCTTAAAGCTCAATAAATAAACTAATAAAACACATTCTAAAAAGATAGGCATATGGCCACACTATTGTTGTTTTTTTCTGAGTTAGAGCTGTCTCTTTCTGGGGAATTATGCTTTCGGATTTTAAAATATATCATTTCTAATTTATTTCTCTGTGATACGATGTAGGTGTGATTTTTTGTTTTTATTTATGTATTTATTTGTTTTGTTTTTGTCACCTGTTTCCCACCAGATTTCACTTCAAATAAATGGTTAAACCGAGAAGAAAGCTTGCCATTCACATCGGAAAAATAAAACCAAGTGTAGGACAAGTTAAGAAAAACAAATGCTAAACTTAGGGAGTGTTAGGTCCGTGCCTTGAAACTACCAAAATAACGTCCACCTTTTAAAACAACAGCCTCTGGTGAGTGTCGCCCTCACGGCCCCCTCTCTGGGCTGAAGGCCGATTAACAAACAGCAGCAGAGGAAGAGGAGGAAATGATATTTTACCCGAGGACAAGTTTCCCGTCTGGACGGGCCTTATGACTCAGGCTAACAATAGAGAAACCTGTAAGGACTCCTGCTATTATGAATTGTCTTTGGCCAGTAATGGGGGTATTGTCGGTGCGAACAATGAGACTGAGTCCGGACTGTGATGGGGCTGCTGCTGCCTGCTATTGCTCCCCTAAAATGAACACCAGAACCTGCAGCTGACTCTTTTTCTGCATGAAAGCAGTCAGTGGTCATGTTGACAGTGATGGTTGTGCTGATGATTGCAGGAGGATTGAGATTGTTTGGTTTGGAGCAGGGAGAATGGTGACGGGGTTAGAAGAAGCAGCCATTCACGTTTGTGTATATGTGTGTTCGCAGGTGTCTCTATAATATCTGAGGTAGAATTTGAATGAAAATACAAATATTTTTTCCTGCAGGTAAAGACAAAACAGCAGGCCAAAGATGATATCCAGAAACAATCAAACGAATGAGCATGCACACACATATTTCCACTCAGCTCTCAAGAATTTGTTCTCTATTGCACAGACAAAACAAATCAAACACAGGATCAGATATTTAAAGATATGTTTCAAAACAAAAATCAAATGATTTAAAAAATCTGACAATGCCACTGATTAAAAAATCTCACAAATCAACAGTTTAATTAGTAGCACATAAAAAAAAACATAACAAACACCGGAAAGCAGTGTTTTACTCAACTAAAGCAAAATCTCTATAAACAGATGGAACAGGACCATGTTTACCACTGTACAATATCCCCTCCTCTATTAAGATAGGTCCAGATCATTTTTGAGGTAGGTCTTTAGGAGACTAATGCTGTCCTATCATTGTTTGATTCGGTGATCAAACAGCTTGCTGTAACAAGCAAAACCTTGCCTAAAAAAAATGTCATTTGACTGAGAGCATCTGTTACAAAACATGTAAATCCCTTCCAGCCTTGATGCTGCTTTTCTGACATGTGTGGGCTCATTTTTGCTGTTGAAAGTGCACCCCCCCATTATCAGAGATGCAGAAAGTGTTGAAAATAATCTGATGGTCCTTTTCCTTCCTGGGGTGGAAGATAGAGCGTCCATGATTTCCAAAGGTCCTTCCAAATGTTGATTTGTCTGACCACAGAACAGTTTCCACTTCGCCTCGGCACATTATGAATGGCTTTTGGCACAGAGGCAGACGGCGGCATTTCTCTGGGTCCTGCTCACATATGGTTTCGTCTCTGCATGATAGAGATTCAGTCTGCATTAGTGGATGATATGATGGGGTACTCTCAGGCAAAGGTTTTTGGAAGTGTGTCTGAGCCTAGCAGCGATGTTCATGACTCTGTTTTTGATGTGGGATAGGTGATGTCTGGGCTCCAGGATATCAGTCTGCATCATATGTGTGTGTGCACATATATATAGATATATATAGAATTATATGTCCCCCTCACACAGAGGTACCACCAGATGAATCATTTGATGATACTACGTTATATATGGAAAACATAAATTCTAAGATTTCTATATGAAAGTATATTATGCACAAATTGACAAGCAATAAGGAGTTTGTCTGCATCAGAGAGACTCTGCCTCCCTAAGGTGCTCTGAGTAGGCTATACCTTTTGTTTCTGACCTTTACTCATCCTGCCTTTTGTTGCCCTCAGCTCAACATTTTGTTTCTGCCATAAAATACAAAGTGAGTTAACATTTTTTTACATGAATCAACAACATCGTCAACATTTTTCTAAAATATTCTTTTCGAACTTCACACAGCGACTTAACCTTTTTTCTCAATTACGCGGGTCTCTAAATGCATCATTAGAAAAATCAAATAAAAATAAAAAACAGGACAAAAGAGAAAAAAGGCGTACAAATGAAGTGTGATGATATGGAATGAGTGGTTTTACTTCAGCTGTTGTTTTATTGGGCAGCGTTTATGCAACCTGATGCCAATATGTTTTCAAATAATTATTAGCATATGTGCCACATCATTGGTTTTAATATATTATTATTACACCTTAATCTAACCAACCGTGACTTACTGCAAAGCAGAAAATTCCTTGGACAATATTAAACCGGATTGGGTTCAAACTCGGTTTACCGGCGTTCTAGTGGGCGTTTTTGAGGATGTTACAGTTTTGAATGATCCGTTCACTTTATATAATTGTTTGAGCACCTGAAACATAGACGATTTTTAATTTTAGACACAAGAGAAAGCTTATTCATATGTTGCTAATGGCTTTTTTATATGGCTGTGACCCTAGTCTTTTTCGTGAGATTTTGCTCATCCGCACAGCACAGTAGACAAAAGTCCCACTCTGGAGTGAGACTGCCTATAATAAAAGTAAAAAATTCACACTTCACATTGAGAGGGGCTCAGACAGTCTGCTGGTGTCATTAACGTCGGTCCGGGCCCAAACTGCTGCTGACCTTCACATATGACAGGAGACCGAATTCGCCTTTTTCTTTGATTTGATCTACTTTTATTCCAGTTTTTCTTGCCTTTAATTTCCTATTCTTTTGGTCTGCCCATAGCCTTTCAGGTTTTTAAACTGCTCCATCTTTGCCAGGTCCGTACAGTTTCCTCACAACGATTTTGACAATTCCAGTTGTAGTCTCTTCATGGGCTTGTTTGGTTCAATTTGAATTACTCCACCTATTTGTGCCTTAGACATTTTTTTTTAACTTCCCCCCCTTTTTTCTCTTTACACGCACACCATGAGGTTTACTTGTTTGTAAAATAACACAAAATTCGAACAATTCACTAAGAATAAGGGCTTAGAGCAATATTCTTTTTATTTGTTGTACTTGTTTTATCTCATTTTCTGATATTCTATTCACACCAAGGATCCCGAAAGTTTTTACAGCCTCGACTTTCCAACTAAATTCTTACTAAATCTCTGCTTAGCTTCCACTTGAAAGTATTATAAATATCAGATAAACGGTGTATGTGAACTATTTAATTGTTTATTCTAGTTGTTTAGGCACGTGAAACAGAATTAAAAAGCAGATGTTTTTACAGTCGTAAAGATTTTTCAACTTATTTAGTAAGAGACAAACTGGATATTGAGTAACTAATTCCGCCTCCAAGCATCTTTAGAAATAAATGCCAAAGCACTAAGTATTTCTCCATTCACTGCTATTTTGATTTAGAGTATAACATCAAGGATGGTGTCCCAAAAGATATTTAACTCACACCCTTTATCTTCCTTTTGGGGCCCGTTTTCAAATAAGGCCAGAAAAGAGAAGCAGGAGGTGTGCACTGCTTCCTTTTTTCCAGGCACTCAAACTAAAGCACATTCCTCATCGTGTGTTGACTTTAGAATGATGGGAATTGGAGAAAGCACTTTTTCATGTTGAAAATTGTACTGTCTGATGCGCACCCCACATATTAATGCTTCAATCATTTTTCCAGAATATTATCTTAATCTTATTAGACTAAATATGCTCCTTTTATGATGTTTAGAAAAACGTACAACTACAGCTATAGCGTTGCAGTTTCAGTTGTCTATTTTAAATTCATCCCACCTTAAATTCTTATGTTGATATGATTGGCGGAATAAAGCACACTGGTGGAATAATGCATACAATTCCAGACAGTTTTTATCGCCGAAATGAAAAACGGTTTGACAGTAACAACGCGCACACAATCGTTTGGAATCTGCTCAAGTCAAACAGACTCGTGAGCAGAGACATTTACAGTTTCCTAATGTCTCCCTGCAGAGGACGGAGGCAATTCCCCGGGTTTGCTGTGCAAAAAGTGAATTTGGACTAAACCCCAAAATGGGCCCCGTAGCGGAGTTAGCGATGTGGCACACGTGTCCACTCACAGGGCAGCGATGACAAATGAAAATAGATCAGAGTGGAGGAAATCGACCGTGTCCAAAGGTTTATATTGGGCGTTGCAAAGACAGGAGCCCATTTGGCCTATTATTCATAGCTCATGAACGTCTGCCTGGACGTTAAACGCCTGCTTTGTTGTGGCCGTGTATATATCAGCTCATCATCCTCATATACACTCCACTCCGAGCACCTCTGACACTAATATTATTCCAGTGGTTTACTTTTACATGAAGTCAACTTCTCGCCTTCAGCGCCGTTGGTTGGTATACTTTTACGCACCAAAAGTAGCGTGAAAACCAACCCAGTTTTAAAAGTTAGGCTTGAGCTTATGTGCTTTATGCTTAAAAAAAATAGGGTTCCAAACAGCAACGGAGATAACCAAGCCTGTCTTTGGAGTACTTTGTCTTTTTTTGTTGTTTTTTGTACTGAAGCCCTGCAAAAGTGCGGCATGGCTCACATCGTTCCGCCGCTTAATCGGTCTAAATTTAGCCACGAGGAGCGATATTCTACTCAAAATGAGAGACGGTGATATCATACCAGCAAGTGCATCCGTGCCAAAAGATTTCCAAATGACTTAACGCACGAGCCTCACAGTTCAAGCAGCATTTGCTTCGTCGACATCAACAAGTTTTCTGTCACATTTTCGCTCTCGGATGCGTAACAGGTTTAGTATCGTGTCTGCAAATGGATCTTCGTCCTTAAACGCGTTTAGTCGTTCGCGCCGAGGTTAAGTTTAGGGTGAAGGTGAGGGTTAGGATTCCAAACCAATCTAAAGGTAAGGAATGGGCAGGTTAAGCAGCCTGGCGTGAAACTGGATGTAATTCCCCCTATCCTCACCATGAAATGCGTTAATCTGTAGGCTGAGAGCAGATAGAAACACCCAGCTCAAAGCTCCAACTAACAACAAAAACCTTTCTGTAAAGTAGAAAGCTGTAGGCATAGCTAGAACCTGTTTGTGCGAAATTCCTTTTTAAAGTATTTTTTTCCTCCTCCACATAGCCAGAGGTGGACTTTATAGCAAAGCTCTTTGACTCATATGGCCCACACGTTGAGGCGTAGGCTATCTGTCATATTGTGCCATGGTCACATGGCTTTGGCCCTCAGGAATGGATAGAGATGGATCCCCACGTCAGCTTGTACGTCTAAGGATTTCTGCCCCTCCACTCTCGCTCAAAGTGACTGGAGCGCAGCGTCGCGGCGGAGCAATGCGTGGATTATCATAGAAGATTTTCCAGCCGCAGAATATGGATTTTGATGAGCGGATTTCTGGCTCCAATATGTATTTACCGAGCTGCACTTACTACGTCTCCGGAGCCGACTTCACGGGTCTCCCTCATTACTTAACCCAGAGCCAGTCCTCCTGCCCCGTGACATACTCCTACCAGTCCTCAGCCCTGCCACAGGTCCCCTCCGTGAGAGATGTGGCTTTCAGAGACTACGGCATCGATACTTCAAGTAAATGGCACCACAGCAGGGGGAGCCTGTCACACTGCTATGCTGAGGACATCGTGCACAGAGACAGCTGGGCGAGCCCGGCCTCACGGGGGGGAGAGATCTCGGTGAAAGGCAGCTCCGGCGCGAGCCTGCCCACCTCCTCCTCCTCCAACCCGGCCCCGGGCTTCGGGGGCAGCGTCGGCAGGAACGGCGTGCTGCCGCAGGCGTTCGACCAGTTCTTCGACACCGCCTACGGGGGCGCGGAGGGGAGCGGCGCCCCCCCGGCGCACGCGGCCGCGGACACGGACACGGACAGACGAGCCCGGGCCAGCCCCGCGCCCGCGCAGCCCGGCTCGGACACGGCCGAGAGCTGCAGTCCCAAGTCGTCCTCCGGCCAGAGCGAGGAGAAACAGAGCAGGGGCAGCTGTGAGTAAACCTGCCTCCACGCGATGGGGGGAAAAAAAATCCAACGCGTTGCTCTTAAAGTCTTTTATATGCACTTTTATAAGGACGCAAGGTTTATGGAGGGCCTGCAGATTTACCCCTATAACAAAACTATCTTATAAACTACAAGATCACGTGCTTGGGAATGAAATTGGCCGTGAAGACTTTGGCGTTAAGTTTACATTCAAGCTTTTTCAATAGGATCTCCACTTTTCAGCACAACTTTGTATTCGTATTACAATTTATAATAACCTTGTAAAACATTTATAAGCCCAATAGATTTGATCGCCACCTACTTTTGAAATAGCAACATAAAAGCTGCATGCATTTTAAAAAGACACCCAGCACTTTCAGGTTTGTTTTTCTTTCAGTTAAGATTAATATTAGATTAATTATCTAGAGTTTGTTTAATTTTTTTCTGCCTAAAATGGATATTGGAGCTTATCAGACTGAGATACAACCCAACTTTTTCACCCTGCCTCTTGTAAACGTATTGATTCATTTTATGGATTTGCAAGCATTTAATTTATCAGCTGCTCCTTATGCTGATTTTGGGGCAGATGCAGAAAAAGCTGAAACAACATCAACATCTCTGTGCCACACTGAAATCACAAGCTGACGGTATAAAGGCGCAGCAAATATTTGAAACTCCCATTTCTGGTTTAGGCCCACGCCCTTACTCTCAAAAACATGCCAATCAGTTTGTTGTCGTCTTTTTCCTCATTTAATTGTTTATCTATTTCACAATGTTTTCACAAACTGCATGCAACGCTTCATGCCTAACGTGCTCGACCACCAAGCGCAATATTTGTTTACAAAAAGCGGTCACGCAGGCCTGAGAACGCGGAGACACTTGAACTCTACAGCTTATGGAGCCACTGGTGCAGAGCAGGAAATAGTGGCTCATTTCACGTTGCTGCGATGCGTCTGTAAAATGCTGCAAGGTGAACTTTGCCTCTTCCATTGTGTTCCAGGTGGCCAAAGGACGCGCAAGAAGAGATGTCCGTACTCCAAGTATCAGATCAGGGAGCTGGAGAGGGAGTTCTTTTTCAGCGTTTACATCAACAAAGAGAAGCGTCTGCAGCTCTCGCGGATGCTCAACCTGACTGATCGCCAGGTCAAAATTTGGTTTCAGAACAGAAGGATGAAGGAGAAGAAACTTAACAGAGACCGTTTACAGTACTACACCACAAACCCATTGCTGTAAAAACGGAACAAAGACTGCTGACAAGCACCCCCTTCATCCAGACTACATCTGTCTTTACCTGAATGAGGACATGTTTTATTTGTCAGAATGAAAGAATTTGACCATTCGTACACAATTAAATCCAATATTATTATTATTATTATTATTATTATTATTATTATTATTATTATTATTATTATTATTATTATTATTATTATAGACTGTAACAGTTAAGTGGTTACGTGTTTAGGTGCTCTACTCACAAAGGACCCCTTTCCTTTCTCGTATTTAATATAACACTCTCCTATTACTGTATTGCATTTTTAAAAGCTCAGATTTTCTCCTTAAAATTAAATCTTATTTCCCAATTTTACCCTCTTACAAGTATTTTCTTGTATTATCACAGGCGGTTATTTTCTGTCCTTTTTTACGCACGCACCCTCACTTTTCCTGGCCGGAGGTTTTGACATGAAACCAGTTTTTTGTTTCGTCCCCATACGTCCTTAAATGTTGCTAGTTTTCCAACTCTCTACATGTTTTCTCCAGGAGTCACAGCGAACGTCATCGTCACGTTGCTGGCGGCCATCAGCTGGTTACATATTTACAGAATGAGTTCGTTTCTAATCTGATACAAACGATCTCGTCTTGTGCACTTAAGGGAGACTTTTTACCGCCTGTGCTTGCTTTGCGCTTTACCCTCAGTGTGTATCTTTTGTTGAGTTCTGGGCCGTAAAATTGGATCCCTTTCCTAACTTCATCCAAAGTGGCAAACCTCTCATAAAAGGGCAGAATCTCCTAAATAAAACCTAATCCCATCTTTTGTATTACATGCCCTCTTGTGGGAGGTATCAGATTCATGGTGTGTAGGCTCTTTTTAAAGCCCCCCCCCCCCTCTCCATATCTGGAAATAAGATCCGTTGTACTTATCATTTGATACCCATTACAAAAGGGCCATTCATTTACAGGGGGGGAGCAGAAAAGATCATTCTAGACCCAACATGAATGTTAGGACTGAGAGAAACAATCGTTTTGCTTGATTTGATGCATTGAGATGCCACACACGTCTCTGATAAGACATTATTTAGTTGTGTTATCAATCCCTTCATCAAAAATAACTTTAGAGGTTCTCTTGTCACTATAAATGACTAAAAAAGTCGACATACCCGATTACAGTTTGATTACATGTCTTTGAACAGGAATATATTCATTTTAAGACCCCATTCTTTAGGCATAGACAGGAGACTGATTAAACATGTGATTTAATAAAATGATTGGTGAAAATTTGGGTTCAAGTGGCTTTAGATCGACCACCAGGCCTCTTGAAAACAACTTGAATGGCCTGTCATAAGCTAATAAGGGTCCTGCTGCCCTCCTTACTCTGTGCATCCTGTGAGGCTCCCAGGAATTCCGCTTTGATGGCTGCACATCCTCCCAGTTGCTCCAGTAACTTGGCCATAAAAGGCGGATTCGTCTGGAGCATTTGGAGTGCAGTGCAATAAAGCGTCTGAGACCAAGGTTATTAACTGTGACTTAAGGGGGGCTGCAAAACAGCGACTGAGAGCATCGAAAAGTGTGTTCGCGGACCTCTCCGTCGTCATTTGTTTCGGCATCGTACCGTGGTGGGAATGTACACTTCGTGTTGGGGGGCAGCTCGGGCCTGCTGACCGCCTCTTTCCACTGGGTGGCGCCCCTCAGATCAATGTCATTGCCGTGAATAGAGATATAAAAGAAGTTTAAACCAACTCTCATCTGCCATAGACTGTGTTTCCATCTCAAGGTTTCATTAAGGTAGGCACAGAAATATTATCATGCGCAATTTTATGACTCGATGAGTTTTTTGTGAGTGCGCGCGAGTGATTTAAGAGGATGTTTTTCCCAGACAATCTACATCTGAAAGTCACAAATCTGCAGGCGCTGTTTTTCATGTAGTGTTATGATCTAATGAAACATTACTGGAAGTCCTCCAGGAGAAATGTCTCCAAAGGGGTGTTTGTTTCTTTGGACGTCACGTTCAGGGCAGCTTCTCTGGTTGCACAGAAAAGAAAAGCGCAAAGGTCTGTCCTCCACACATTGTTTTATCATTGCTTCATAGTTTCAAACTGATATTTTATTGCTGACGGTGTTTTGATTTACGCTAAACAGGCGTCGAGAGAACTTAACAAAAATGAAAGATGGAGGCTTTAGATCGCCCAATAGGCCATTTGTTTTCTCCCGTGCGGCTTGCTTGCATCAATGTTTGTGCGCCTTGAGATATCTGTACATGAGAATTTGATTTTCCCTCCGATATTTCCTCCAAAAAATATGAATAAAAAACCGTTCCCCGTAAAATGTCATGTTTTATGTGGATCGTGATATAGGAGAATGATAATAAAAAAAACAGCCTGAAACATGACAGGGAATAATCCGCCGGGGTTAATGGGTATTTTCATTCATTGCTGCTAGACTTCTGCAGGTTTGACGCCATATAAAATGGATGTTCATAAACTGTGGCTCGCTCTGATTTCTAGACTTTATGGCTCCAGGCCTAAAGAGAGATAGACGTGACCGATGTTGTATTTCAAGCTAAACCCCCCATCTTCAGAGACATTTTTGGCTGACCTAAATCTGTAGGCCTGAGTTATAAACACCAACCCCACTGACACGGTTTCCTTTACAGGAGGCCAGCTTGTGTGTTTCTGCTTCTAATCTGCTTTTTTCCCCCTCAAACTCTTAAAAGAGGGACTATTTAACAGATCATCTGATTGTCTAACCAGAGAGAGACATTATCCTTGCATTGAGGAAATTATCCAAGACATAATATTTTCCCCTTGGAGTCGACGTTACAAGCAGCATTACGTTTTACGCAGTCTAAGCAAGAGTGGATTCCAGAAAATGAAAAACACACACACAATAAATATAAGATGAGCTTTATTTTCCAAAAATATATATATTTTTAGAATTAACATCTCCGAGACAAAACTAGACGATGGAGAACTTTAATTTCAGGCTTGAACAAGAATTGAAATAGACAGACGAAAGAGACATTTGCTCTCCTTGAGAGAGACTCAAAGTTGATAACTCTAAAAAAAAAAAAGATAATTAAAGAATATTGTATATATATATATGTATATTATATATTCTCAGCAGTTTGCGTCTTTGTACTTAATAAAACAAAAAAAAGAAAGTAAAACTCAGAAATCCCCGCTGCTCTTTTAAGAACACGAGATAAACAAGCTCACATTTATTTCCCTCTAATAAAATAACCCGGTCTCGCCTGTATTAACGCATTCATTAAGTAAATGTTGCTCCGGAGCATTGTTCAGCCGTGTCGCTTACACATATCGTCTCTCCACTTGCCCCTTTATAAATGCCCAGAGCCTTTGCAATAAAATTGGGCTTGACGCATTGGTGACATTTGCTCCCATAACATCCCCACAGCCAGATAAGCCCTGGCGCTGAGACCTGGCCCGGTCATGCCCACCTCTATGCGACAAACCCAAACACACCGTCTGCACCTTTTCGGGGGTCATACAGGAAGAGTTTTACTCATTCGTGTCAATAATGGCCCACAGAAGGCCACCGGAGAGGTCAGCCATCGTTCCATGTAAGAGCAACAGAGGATATTTTGAATGTTTGAGGCATCCTGAGTTTCTCAGAGGCACCTCTGCAACCCTTCATTTTTACAGTGCTGTAAAACTGGCCGTAAAGCAATGTATTGTTCATAACGGCCAGGGACAGCTTTCAACAACTGAGTTGTCAAACTGAGGCAGTTGTGGTCACATTTACAGAGGCAGCTCCGGGCTTGTAGGTGGTAATTCTGGGGGAATTTAATGGTTTTGCTGAAACTCCGAATACGCCACTTTTTCTCTCAGAGTTTTATCTTTACTAAAAACTAAATATATGACCCAGTGGAGTTGGCAGCTCGGGCTGGGAGGAGTCTGTGGTCGCCTGGTGTTTTAATTGGCTGCAGACTTCAGTGAGAAGCGTGAGTATCAGTAATTATTCAGCAATGTTTTGCACAAGAAATGTCAGCCAGAAAGGGCTATCTTCACCCGCCGTCAAATTACACCACAACGATGTCATGTTCCAACAACCAAGCAGGAAACTCGTTTTTTGTGGACTCTTTAATCAACGTGAGAACCGACGGCGGTTCGTATTACCAAAGTAACAGCCTGTATTTGCCACCGGCGTCGGAATATTCTTATGGACTCTCCGGTAGCTCTTGTTTCCCGGCGATCGGCAAGCGCAACGAGGCGTCCACCCAGAGCGCGCTCCCCTCCTCCGCTCCCTATGTCCAGGGGATGGAAACGTGGCTGGAGACGTCGAGACCCTGTCGGGTGGAGCAGCCCGGCGTGCCGCATTTGGCTCAGTGTTCATTCTCACCGAGTATAAAAGAGGAGAGCGCATGTTGCCTTTATGAGTCTGACAAATGTCCAAAAGGAGCGGCGGTGGATGACATATCTTACGCGGCCGGACCATGCCCCGTCACCGGCAGCACCGTGCCCATTCCCGGCTACTTCCGCCTGTCCCAGACCTACACGTCCGCGAGGCTTTTTCACGACGTCCAGCCCAACATGAATCACTTTGCCCTGCAGAGGGCTGCCCGCTCGGACGGGCAGCCCTCGCAGCCGGCCTCTGCGGACCCGGAGGACGGCGGGAGCCACGAGGAGGCGCCTGTCCCCGCGCCACGCGCCCCGGTCAGGGAGGAGGACAGCCGCCTCTCTTCGGAAAGGTCATCCTCCCCAGAACCCGCTGAGACGTGCAGGGCGGAGTGTCCAGAAAAGCCCGTAAAAGGTGAAGAGCTGAACACCGACTTACAGAATCAGAAGGCTCAGTGTGCACGCTTTTTCTGGTTGTTTGGAGCGGGCTGATCAGTGTTTAGGGATTTATTAGCACAACAAATGAAGAATATGGTCCATGTGTGTGTGTATATTTGGATTAGGCAAAATTGTCCACGACTTGGCTAGATCTGATCAAATTACATTGTGCTTGCCTCTTTTTAGAGACACATAATGAACAAACAAACCATTTAGGTTTTTAATAAAATTATAACATTATTAAATATTTCAGCATGAATAAAAAGGCCTAATTTGCTTTTTAACATAGTTAAAACAATATCACCAGTATCTGGCGATAGCAGTTATGTATAAATATGTTTTTTTTATCACCAGGGAATCCCAAGTTGAACCCCATGTACCACTTCAGAATTTCATTTGTATCATCCCTCATAAAAGGCCACAGGCCTCGTTATAATTTCACAAGACTGTTTAAGCTGTTTTAAGCCTGAAAAAAGGTTCAGCTGGCTGCAGCTGCTATAAACCTGGGCAAATAGTACCAGTGTCTGGTGTCACTCACATTTGTGCGTCAAACGGTCGTTAAACTCAGATCCAAAAAAGAAGAAAATCAGAGACTCCATCCGTCTCTATATTTCACATTTATGTAGCAGGTGTTGGCTCAAATATCAAGATATTCACACCAAACATGAAGCATCATGATAAATTGAAGATTGGACTGTTTTGGGAACATTTTGATAATTGATAAGAAGCAAAGCGTTTGTTTTGATGATCATTTCTTACACTTGTTGCCTTCATTAATAACTTGATTCATTCCCTTTGTAGGGGACGGGAAAATGGAAAGCACGGCCAACTGGCTCACAGCTAAGAGCGGCAGAAAGAAGCGATGCCCCTACACCAAGCACCAGACTCTGGAGCTGGAGAAGGAGTTCCTCTTCAACATGTACTTGACGCGGGAGCGTCGTCTGGAGATCAGCCGCAGCGTGCACCTCACCGACAGGCAAGTCAAAATCTGGTTCCAGAACAGGAGGATGAAACTGAAAAAAATGAGCCGGGAGAACCGGATCCGAGAGCTCTCCACCAACTTCAGTTTCTCGTGAGATTGCCCTCCTCCACCCGTGGACAGGACGCTGGTGCAGAGCCCCCCCACCCAGCTGTGAGCTTGTCCGTGGCAAACAGGACCCAGACTGCTAACTTATTGATCGTCCTCGTGCAGACGTTTTTGATTTCGCGTCTTTATTTGCTTGGGGACTTGTATTTATACACGATCACGGTAGTAAAGTTGATCCATTTGAAATGTCCATTGTGTGGCCACAATGTTTGACAGCTTCCGGCTTGTACATATTGTATTCAATCTGAGGGAGCCAATGGAATTTGCATGCTTGGCTCACCATTGGGACACTTGTGATACAGTTACACACAGACCTTATTTGTGACAGCTGAAGGACCCGCGAGGGCCTGTAAATATTTGCACATTTTGCTGGTCAAATGAATAAAGCCCTATAATCACACATGTCTTATTTCCCTCAAGAACACGGAGCTGTTTTTTTCCCTATACGCTTCACAATTGGAACAGAAACAAGTGCAGTTACCTCCATGTTTGCTCTTTGTGATGCAGTAAGTTATGGCGAAAAGTTACGCATATAGTTGGACTTTTCCTGTCCAAATGAAACACCTTCATTTACGCTCTTAATAGTGAAAATAGCAACTTGCAGGATTCACAATATTAATACTGAAATCAATACAGAATGGAATATAAAAACAGTACAATACAAATGTGTAAAAAAATACAAAATAAATTGCATTTGTAAGGAAATGCACTGCATGCTTTACGCAGTTCGGTGTTGTTGGGCTTCACGTGCTATTTTTCCAACACGAACTATCTTGATTGCTGCAGTTAAATTTACCAAATCGTGAAAATCGAATCAGGTTTAATCACACTTGTTAATAATTTGGCTGAGATTGCTTTAAGACTGCAATAACAATTCCAAATGGCGAAAGAAGGTGTTTTATTGTTGTGCATAATAGTAGTAAATGAGAGTTTTTCCCCCTCTCTTCCTTTTTCTTCTTTTTAAAATTAAGACACCAATTATGGTATTTAAGGCTTTTTAGTCATCTAAAAAAAAAAAGCTTGAGAAGATCTCAGCGAGGAATTTTCTAAGGAGAAGGAAGTAAAGGTGCAAGTTTGGGGGTGAAGAAAACCCTTTCCTTGAGGACAGACAAGGCCTCGGTTATGATCATTACAGTCTGCCAGTTGCTTCGAAACCGCCGGATGTGTCTGCTTGCGCCAAGAGAAAGGACACAAAGGCTGAGCTTTATTGGTGATATTTAGCTTGGACAGCCAGGTTGTAACCTTAAGAAAAACAACCCAATTGCCCGTGATAAAAAAGGACCGTTATATAGCACCCAAATAACTTCACCCTGCTTCCCGTTTTAGATTACTTTCAAAGTGGAGACACACTTGCAGACATGTAAAGTATCCCTGAGGTGCTGCAAAATCCAATAATCATTTCATCACGCTGTTGAATCATTTTGATAACAGAGAACCATATCTCGAATGTAGGATATCAACACTTTATTAAAGCCACATTTGTTTTGCCTCCAAATGGAAGACTATGCAGATGAATTTCATTAGATGAATATGAAGGTGACTAACTCCCTTCATGTGTGCGTAACTTTGAAAGGACGAAGTTGTTTGATCATTATCCAAATATATGTCACCAAAGTTATAATGCCCCTATCCTAACTTACAACAATCCCATGTTATGCTGAAATAAGATCTCATGAAAATCCAACGTTTATTGTTCATAAAGGGAAATATTTGCCAATAAAGGCGCGGGGATTTGCTATTAAAATATAGTGGGGAAAATGGTGGCCATTTAGCTGAGTAGTGTAGGCTGATTTATTATTTATTGTTCTGTCCCACGGTCACGTGTTTGGGGCGCCCTATCCAGTCTTGGACAAGGTTCAACTTACTGGACGCATAGAGCTTCTTGGTGGTGCACGAAAGCAGCACCTTACCATGCAATGAAACTGTTTCCCCCCCTGTTTTTTCCCCGTGACATTTTAGGACTGTAACTCGCCCTTTTTTTTGTGCTTTGCACTTTTTTTCCGCCTGCAATGTCGACGCTTGGAACAAGCTACTATGTGGACTCGCGCATTCTTCCTGACCAGGAAGATATGGTACCGAGGTACTCATCAGCTGCAGGGGTGGAGCAGGCGGCGGTCACCGAATATGGCGGACAGGAATCTTGCCCTTTGCAAGGGAAATCTTCTATTTTTGGCGGATCTTGGAGCACTATCTCGACGCACGCTCCGAACCCAGCCACACCGACCTACGTCCACCAGCACTACGCGGGCGCGGACAGCGATGGCATGTTCGCCCGCTCCTGGTCGCTGGACCCCGTGTCCGCGTCGCTGTGTTTGACCGGACTGCCGTCGACGGCCATGCACTACGAGATCAAACCCGAGCCTCTCATTGGGAGCGCCGAGTGTACCACTCTGGAGACTCACACGCCTCTTTTGTCAGACATTGAAAACGGAGCATCTCTCGCAGAGATTCCCTGCGAAAGCTCGTCCATGTCTAAGGTTGCTGAAGACAACAAGGCTCCAGAGGGGAAGACTGAGGCAGAGAGTAAGTCAGTGATGCAGTTGGTTCCTTTGAGTCTATTCGCTTTTATGGGCCAATTTAGAAGGAGTAAAATGTCTTGTAATTACTCAAGAATGTGGCAACATGTTGTGGATGTCACAAAGTAGCCATAGCGTGTATTTATTTCTCTTTTTGGAGGGATATATACAGCAGTGTTTGTCTTTGAATTCAGATTATTCTTGAAAGACACGATGACAAATTTCCAGGCACTAATTTGGTCTGAATCCTCAAAATGACTGCAGAGAAAGAATTTGGAACGAATAATTTCGAATACAGGGAATGACCTTGCCCCTATAAGAAATACAGCAAAATCAACACAGTTAGAGCATTTCTTTCTCAAATGATGTTTAGCAAGCCTTAACTATTCTAATCTCATGATTCCCCTTTCCAGATAACCCATCCACCAACTGGCTTCACGCAAAGCCCACCAGAAAAAAGCGTTGCCCCTACACTAAGCATCAAATCCTGGAGCTAGAAAAGGAGTTCCTCTATAACATGTACCTCCCTCGGGATCGTAGATACGAAGTAGCGAGACTGCTGAATTTGACCGAGAGACAGGTAAAAATCTGGTTTCAGAACCGCCGGATGAAGATGAAGAAAGAAAACAAAGACCGACGGGGGGACAGCTAACGCTGTATTTTTTTGGAGTCTGGTGGGGGAGGGGAGGGGGTTCCGGACTATCCGAACCTGTTACACACGTTGCTGTCAATTAATTGGTGTTGTTCAAATTTACGCTGGATGTGGTTGTGTTTTTTTCTATTTCCGGTGTATCCCGTTTGTGAGGACAAAGTGTCTCGTGGTAAATGGAATTGTCTTGTACTTTGCGCACACGGATCGTGAGCTGTAGGCCGTTTGTTACTTGCATGAAATTATTCTTGACTACCTGAATATTCCTCTGCTACCTATTTGCATTATTTAAGTTATTGTTTTTGCAGCCTCTTCGTGTTTTTTTTACGTGTTAACATTTTAAGCATTTGTGAAAACATTGCACACTCTTTAAATACCTCATTTTGCCTGTTTTAAATAGAAATAAAGTGAAGTTTGTATAGCACATAAGAACCGATATTTGGTATTGATTTGCTACTAATTATCGAAAGAGGACGTTTAAAAAGTACAATTATATTACAAATATTTAACGCTATTCTATGGCCTATTCTACACATTATTCGTTTTTTTTAATGTACTACTCTGTTCTTAAAATGTTAAAGAATTGTTTTGAGCCAGTAAATTCAAATGTGGGGGATATCCTACAGATGCAAAACCGACTTTTATTGCATCTTGTTTGTGTCTGTAGAGGTTTAGACCAGCTGCTTTAACGCTGACAACTAAAACGAGCAACAGAAAACTCCAAAAGGGTCTGCCAAATGCTGTTGTTTTTTTTCTTTTTCTTTTTTTGTCTGCAACTCCCTCACTCACTTTGATTTAAATCAGAAATAATTGTGTGAAGCTTCTGGCACGCAGAATATTTTTTTCAGTAATGTGTGTACCCAGTTTATGACAATAACACCTGTCAGTGGGGGGGTGACATGAATCGTAGACTGCCTAAAAACTGTTATTAAATGTATTTTGCTTACTTATTCACCTAAATTTGCAATGGATTTGGCAAAGAAAAAAACAATGTATAGTCAAATTTTTGCGAATTTATTCCTAAAATGTAGTTTGTGTAAAATGGAAATTAAATTAATGTGAACAAAAACTAAACAGAACAAGGTAACAGTCCATAAATTCTAAATAATACCTACAAATATTTTTCACAATCATATCAAAATGAGAGCAATTTGCAAAAACTTCGATGGAGGTTTTACATATATTTTCCTGTATAATTTGATGCATTGTTTAACGTTTTTTGGGGGGGGAAAGTTTGACTTTCAATCACCCCACAAACCAGATAGTTGCCCTGAGCAGTGATGCAGGGTCCAAACTTAAACTGTTTATAAGGTGCGAAAAGAGCAAAGCATGCGGAGCCTCGGTGGCAGCAGTCCAGCAATAGTTGTGATTATAGGCTTCAGCAGACGGTCAAATATGTCATATTACATATTACACACACACACACACACAGGAGGAATACAACAGCAGTGCAGATGGGTCTGTCTTAAAAAGTCTAATGACTTTACGACCGTCTAGCAACAATTAGACTGTCTCGGAGCAGAAACCCCAGTTTGCTGTCTTGCCTCAGCAGGGCTCTAAGGACTCTTCTCCTGACGCTGCTACAGCATGTTTCACACTCTCCGAGGCAACTTTCTCTCTCCACATCTGGAAAGTTAGACGCTTTAAAGAAGAAGAAATCGACGCTTTGGGAGAACTAAGATCCGGATAAATCAAACCAAGACAGAAACCCACACTGTCGTGGGGATGTAGTCAGATTTTCCCAGCTCCTCTGAGTGCTGCTGCGCCCTGATGGCCAGCAGGGGGCGCCAGCAGTGCGTGTCAGCAGGGTGGATGGTGCGTTCACTGCACACCCAGACCACTCCCTTTTCCCAATCCATAGGTCATTGTCTCCATGTATACATGTTAGCGTTTGCTTAATCCTATTTCTAGTTCGTTTTCTTCTCATCGTATCATCAGAACCTTGAGTTCAGACATTCATTCACCATAAATTCGTATCAAATAGTTTGGAATGCCATTCAGAGCAGCAGTGCTCGTATGGTATGGAAAATACAAACTTCACCGTAAAACACACAAGACGATTTAGCTCAAATGACCTAAACAAGTCGTGGAAACTGACATTTTATCAAGTTTATCTGTTCTCAAAAGCACCCCTTTTCTCGCTACCGTCCCCCTCGTTCCCACTAATCATGTTTGAGCGTCGACCCTGAGATTCTCAACGCGTGAATAGGTGCTCTGGACCCCTCCTGTCCTTCCTGTTCTCTCCAATCACCATCCTGTCCTCTCCCAGGCTCGCCCTTGCGCCCCCCTCTCTAACATGTGGTGCATGAATCCTCTCTGTCCTTTTGGGAAAAGCTGCAACGATATTTTGTGGAGGCCTGATATCCCTATGAGCCGAAACATTCTAATAAGACGGTGACATCATCAACAGCGCCTCTTCGGAGCACTGTGCCATTTCTGTGCCATTTTTCTGACTGATCCCCGTGAATGTTACGGGCTGTATCCTCAGCCAAACAGCTATGGGAGAAGCCAGGCGGCATAAAACGGAAAGTTGTGAGGAAGTTGTTTGCCGTGACCTTTTCTGACCCCAATACATCACACCTTCTGACACCGGCAGTGACACAGGGGGGCACTTTGCTGAAGAATTTCAGGGGAGGAAGGTCTATTTCATCCCTCAGTGCAGCAGTCAGTTGCTCTAAAGCTGCTGGGGAGCTTACAACACTTTTATCAGATGCTAGCATATTTATCTCATTTAGACCCTCATATCAAATAAGAGTTTTGGACCAACTTTATTATCCATTAAGGTTCTTCTTCTTACATTTATAGTTGCTATCATTATCAACATCCCATCTTTTTATTATATGATCTGTAAAGGTACAATGGCAAATATTCACGTCTTTTTTTCTAAAGGATTCTTTTGGACTTAATACCGTTACAAAGCAGGGGTTAAGACAGGCCAATGAGCTTTCATGGGACAAGTTCCTGCCATGATACAGAATGCTTCACGTGCAGCTACTTATGTGTATGTTTTTTTTGTTTTTTTATCACGCCATTGCTCTGTAAATGAACGACACGCTGCCATGAAATTTCATCCGACCTGAGCCAGTCATTATGACACCAGAAAAGCTCAACTTGCAAATGAACGGCACACACAATGTGAGAGAGGTGGGGCTGTCTCTGGCCCACGGCTGAGAGATATGGACGTTATTATACGCTCTTCCAACGTATACTTGATTTACTACCACAACTCCAATGAATCGACCACATATATAATGCATTTTTTTCCCCTTCTTTCTTTTTGTTTGCAATTTGTCTCAATATTTTCACACTGAACTGTTTGATTTGCAGGCCTGATATGCACCGCAGTGTTGGCCAAAATCATCCCATGAATCCTGGAGGCTTCATAAATAAAATCGTAATGTGAACATTTACTCTTGAACACCGCTTTGTTTTCAGGACACACACGCATGAACACACACACACACACGTGCAGACTGGACACTGAATGCGTTTTCCAGACGGCCATGAGCTTTACTTCTCAGTCCAATATTTTTTTCCTTCCGTGGGGAAGATTCGATAACATGATATATGTGATACGGCTTAAACGACAAAAACAAGATCTGATAAACGCTTTAATCCTCTTGCCAATTTCCAAATACCATATGACCTCTATTATACAGCACAGCCCAATACACAATTTGGTAATAAATGTTTCAAGGAAGTGTATATTTCATAACAAAAGAGACGTTTTACCAGCTCGAAATCACAGAGGTGCACTAGATGTTTTTTTGTTTTTGTTTTTTTGTGGTTATTTATTGTTTAGTCTGATTAAATGTTTTCATGTTACACTCAGAAAATGAGAACAACAGCTGCGGCTGCACTGGGTCGTTTCTCCTCAGATCCCCTGGCCTGTGGTGGTGGGTTTGCTGGCCTGCTGCCTCCCAGATGTCTGTCCCGGTTCTCAGAACAGACGGGGAACGTGGAGCTGCTGCTGGTCATCCAGACACCGTCCCCCGGCCTGCTTCCGTTCTCATTAAGCAGTTATTAGGCTCCTTGTCGTCTAAATTCTGCAAAAAAGGACACATAAACATTTAGTTAAGAACGTAAAATGTTAAAACCTGACGGTTTAGTGTTGTATATATATAGATATTTATTTTTTGGCAAGGCTCTTTGTTTCCTCATTGTTCTGTTCTCATACCTGAGTCGATCTTAATCCTCTGCTTTATGTCTACTCATCTTATATGAACCATGCATCTGAACTCCTGATGGATTATGTGATGATGATGTGGTGAGATCTGAATAATGTACAGAAGTAAAGAATAGTTTACTGGACTGCATGCCTCGAAAAAAACACGTCCCTGATAATTAAAAGGTTTCAGAAATATCAGAGAAATCAGGCACAGTAACACCATTTTCTCAATTTAATCATAACCTTTTATTGGAAGCTAAAATGTTCTTGTGTTGAGTATAATTATTTAATTACGCACGTTTGATATTCTGGATGTTTCCTTACAAACAATAATGACCAAATTATTTATGTATATATCTATATATGGATATATAGATATATCTAAATATAATTATATATATATATATATATAAATATACAGATATATCATACAAATCATATATATAGAAATACGATTAATCTCGATTATATTGAAAAAGCCTGTATTTTTTAAACCTCTTCGGGGTGTCAAACCGTGAGACTCGCGGCGATGAATGGGATCTCTGCTGAATGCCAACACCCACTCACCTCCAACTACTGATCCTCTGAAAAAGGCTCCTTTCGTTTCAGAAACATTAACAAGAGTCCAGTCTTCTCCTCTGCATTTTCCAGTCCACAATGTCCTTTTTTCAATCGACAAAAAAAAGCATTGTGTCTTCCCAAGGTGTCGTGAATGTCTAATTCACTGCTAAGTGATGCAGCAGTGTGTGCATTGTAGCTTTCATTCGTTCTGACTTAAAAAAAAATCCCGACATCTGTGGATAGAACACTCGGAGAGCACAGAGATCGTCCTGCTCCTGGCTACATATGATCTAAGGGAGTGTTGGATGGTTTAAACGAGTTCTTAGGGCAGGGAGCTGTCAGACCTTTTGGGTGGAAAGATTGATCGCACGCAGGCAACCAGGACTCTTTGTTTAGAGTCTGAGCAATAAACAGCCATCGGATCCCTACCTTTGCTTGAGCCTCACACTGCAGTGGCAAATCATTTCAGTAATGCTAGCACCAATAACACAGAAATGTCCAGACGGTAGCTCAGGTCAACATCACCTCAGAGGGGAAATAAGATATGTGAAACTGGTTTTAGGACCTGGAAATATGACCAGGAGCTACTGTGGTGACAAATGCTGTTGAATCTCACATCTGCCACCTCACGTTTGCACTAAATATTATTTTCTTTTTACGCACGATAACATAAAAATACTTATTTGATGGCTATCGTTTATCCATGGAGGGTGTCTTATAAACTGTGATTATCCCACATCAGGTTGTGCCAAAATGGAAAAAAAACACTCAGATATATCAGAAATAATATTGTGTTTCTGCCTGTGTTGGGGGAGGGGTGGTGTCTGCACGGTGCAGCTCTCCTCCCAGACCGAATCCTCAAGAAACCCTCAAGATGAACACCACGCGCACTGATAAGACCGCGTGTGTCGTTGCATATATTAGGCAGTTAGAGAAATTAGATATTCATCTCATATGAATTACACGCTAAAGATGGGTACACGCGCAAATGTTTTTGGCTCTGCGTCTTAGGGAGGGTGGGGGGGGGGGGTGGGGGAGGCTGGGGGATTTGGGGGGGGGAAATGGTGTTGAACAAACCCACAGAGGTGGGGGGAAAAGTGTAAATAAAGCAACCCCTGCCCAGGGAATGAGGCGTTACCCCTCAGACTTTCTCGATCAATCACAAGGGACAGTGGCTTCTTTTGATAAAAACCCCAAATTGTCATTGGGCAGATGCAATCATGTGACAAGCAGCACGGTCTAATTCCAACCATGTCCTCATGAAAGCAATACTTTATGGCATAGAGGTCTCCAAACGACTATAAGCGGTTAAGCAGTTTATGAAAATAAACTGCTTGTTATTTTTTATTTTTTTTTGGTTGATGATCTCTTTCCCTTCTGAATCCGCGAGACTTCGAGACAAGAAGGAGGAGATGAATTACGAATTTGGGCGAGAAAGTGGTTTCATCAACAGCCAGCCGTCGCTCGCCGAGTGCCTGACATCTTTCACAAACCCTGTCGGTGATGCATTTCAAAGTTCATCAATCAAGAGCTCAGCGCTTTCACGGTCGACACTGATTCCTCCTCCTTTTGAGCAGACCGTCCCCGGCCTCTGCCCCAGCGTCCACCCACGCCACGGCCGCGCAAAGCAGGCTGTGAAAGGCTGCAGCCCGCTCCGGGCTGCCTCCCTGCCCCCGGAGTACCCGTGGATGAAGGGGAAGAAAAGCATCAAGAGGACGCAGCCCGCTGCTCCTGCTCCTTCCTCTGCCTCCTCAACTGCTGCCGCCACAGCGACTGACGCCTCACCCCACTATTTCTCCCCCCAAGGCAAGACACGATGATTAATAACCTCCATGCAAAAGACTCCCCGTTGTCTGAGGATTCCCCCCTTCTGCAAGTATAGCTGCATCCCGGGCCCCGTGCAAGCGTGGGCGTCCCTCAAACCCACGATAGCTTTTGTTTTTGTTGTTGTCGTTTGTTTTATTTAAGGTTGCTTAATCTCATCATGTAGCCTTAACGCAGCGAATTGTGATGCAGTGTAAGAGCGTTAATGTTTGACAGTAATAGAGAGTGATAGATTATTCTTACACGGGCCAGCAGCTGGCATGTTCATTAATCTTCACTCTCCGTCCTGTCCTGTCCACGCAGACCCATCATATTCAGCCGGGGGCCCATAAATCTCCCCAGTCCTGGCGCTCGCTTGCCACAAGTTTCACCCCTCGGAGCTTGTTTTGCCCCTCACTCATCCGCGTTACTGTTTTTATTCCTGATCCCCAATCTTCCCGTGATTAAAAAGAACAATATTGACTTTATTTTCCTCAGGTTCTCCGGAGATTCCAGAGAGCACTGCTGGCGGCGTGCAGGGGGCATCCAGAAGGCTGAGAACCGCGTACACCAACACCCAACTTCTGGAACTGGAGAAAGAGTTCCACTTTAACAAATACCTCTGCAGACCCAGGCGAGTGGAAATAGCCGCCCTGCTGGATTTAACGGAGAAACAGGTGAAGGTCTGGTTTCAGAACAGGCGGATGAAGCACAAGAGACAGACCCACTGCAAGGAGAACCGGGACAGCGAGGGGAAGTACGCGTGCCTGGACGAGGGGCCGGAGGATGAGTTGGAGCAGGAGGAGGAAGGCTCGCTCCTGCAGAGGGAGAGGTATTTCCACCAGAATACCCTGACTTCACAGCAGTGTCAGAACGGACACAATGGGGACAACCAGAGCCCGACTGTTTCCATTTTAAGCAGCAATGAGAAAAATCTGAAACATTTTCCAAACCCCACACCCACTGTTCCGATGTGCCCGCCAACAATAGGCCCGGACAATGAGGGCTCCTCCGGCCTGGACGCGTCTTTGCAGGATTTCCACGTTTTCTCCCCGTCGCCGAGTTTCTCGCCGAGTTTCTCAGAGTCAATACAGAGCCCTCTGCCTTTATCCTCCGAAACTTTCGACCTTTTCTCAGAGACCCTCACGACAATGGACCTGCAGAACCTGAGCTACTGAAGTGTTTCATGTTTTAGTTGAATTCAGACAGTGGTGTTAGGTTTTTTTTGTCAGTTGTAGCGTGGGAGGAAAAGTGATAGATCTGACGATTAAGGTAAGTTAAAGTGTAAAAAATAAATCTACTATTTTGCCTTTATGGACTTTATTTCATTAGGCTTTAAGGGGACATCATAGGTTTATTTTTATATGGATTGAAACCACAGCTGAGAAAAGTATATATTTGTTGAATAAAACTCTCCATTATTTGGAATCAACTTTGCTTGGTTATATTTCACCATATGGGGATTTTGAGCATTTATCTATTTTAGATATAAAATAACCAGATGTAATCACAATTCCATTTAAATATACTTACCACAAAACAATATTCTTCGAAGAAATACATATTCTCGAGCATTAGAGTAAGAACGGTGTTCCCAATTTCTTTATTTAAATAATTTCTTTATTTACATAATTGTAGCTGGGAGTTTTTATTTATTTATTCCAACCTGACCGTAAAGTTGTTGCAGTTCCAATTTTTGTCAAAAATAAAAAAGCCAGAGAGACAGAGGCTCATTGCCTCTGCATGGAGAAGAAAAAGCAGTGAGAATTGCTTGTGAAGAATCCCAGGCCAAAAGCTGTGACTTCTCCTGGCTTTCTCATTAAATTTTATTGCCTATAAAACTCACAGGACTGAGGGTGCTTGTTTATAGCCATGAGCCGAGATGTAATTCTATCTGTTTGAATTAAGAATCGAGCATCGCGACGTCGTGGCAGTCAGAGCTTTATAATTTAAAGCTGTGGAGGTTTCGGACAAAGCAGCGGACTCGGTTTCCGAGCGGGCTCGAATTGGCGACATTTATAAAGTGAAGGGCTTTGTGGAACAAATTGACAGCAGAGGGTGGTAATACCGGCCACACAGCAAAATGGGGTTTGCTGAGAGTTTATTTGCTCCATTAAATTATGATGAATCACTATTTAACTGAGGTAAATGTGTTTTTTCTTTCTGGGTCAAACGGAGATAACACTTGTTTTTTATGGTATGCTGATGGTATTTTTCAAACCCTAATCCTGGACCCAGCATTAGAAACGCTTTGTGTGATGCATTATTCAAAGTTAAGGAGAAATGATGTGGTAAAGAAAATCAAAATAAAATAAAGCCAAATGATCCAGGAATTAGGAGAATAACAATAAGAACGACTAATCATTGTGAGCAGAATCTCCAGGCGGAGGGCCTCGTGTAGAAGGTCAGTATGTTTGCTCTCACGTTGTGTGGACTCTGGGCCTGAATGTGTCCACTCCACAGAAACAAAGTGTAACAAGTTGGCAGATCCCTCAGAAATCAATTAAGTGGATTGCACCACAACGTTAAAAGCCCCAGAGCAATAAAAAAAAGGAAAAAAAAGTTGTGAATTGAATTGAGATGATGAACCCTTCTCACACTGAAAATGGCTCTAAGTGTTGGTAATTGTGCATTAGCTTATTGAAGACAAGGCAGAATCACAGACAACCCATTATGTTGTTCAGACCGACATGGACAAGGACACACAGTCAGCATGGCAGTGTTTAACAGATTCATTCATTAAAGAGGGAAAGCTGCACACTGGCCGTTTATTACTCCACAACTATTTTCCACGGTTGGCCTCAGCCAGCAAATAACTCAGAGTGATTTCAGCTGCATTATTAATAGGCTACATTTTCTAAACAGCGCCAGGTTTTATTGTTTAAATAACTTTTCTGGGTCTGAGTAACGCATCCTGATCTTCGCGTTTTAATTGGAAAGCAATCTCATAAAGATGCGCACCCAGAAGTAGAGGGACACTATCAAACAGGTTTTGAGATGTCGGAGAGTTGATGAAGCTTTATGGGAAACCAGATACAACGCTGGGCCAGTGATTCCCTCCCTCCACACACACACACACACACACACACACACACACACACACACACACACACACACTCAGGGCAACGCATAGAGGTCAGAGGTCAAGCTGGTTCTCCTCTCCTCTCCGAGATGGGAGGAACTATTGGCAGGTCAGAAGGGGGTCAGGTTTTAAATGACCACACGGCTCATAAAGAATGGATCGGCAGCTAAACAGGAAGTGACAACAGAAAGTGTTTGGAGTAATAACTACAAAAGAGCAGACTATGATGGGAGGTTTGGAATCAGAATTGATTCTTCTTTGTAAATAGCCTGACGGCAGGTTTTAAGAGTGGTTATGGATGCACGTGTTCAGTGTCAGCGCTTCAAACAAAGTGATAGATATACACACCTGTTACTCATCTTCTTCATCAGATGTTGTCCTCTCTGCAGTGAATATAAGGTGTGTGTGTGTGTGTTAGTTAGTTAGCAGCTGCACGAACACTATCCGACACCTGCAGCCACAGTCCAAGCTGAAACTCTTCACAAAACTGCTCTGAGCCTTTTTGTGTCATTTCTCTAAAAACAACCAGCTTTACAGTTGAAAGGTTCAGCCTTTCAACCTGGATTGGGTTCTACTGCCTGTCATAGGATGACTAATGAATGACTGGCATCTTTATAAACAGTTTGACAAAAGGGTATTTTCCTCTCAAATACACCAGGAGGCTCAGCCTTCATCCATGAAAGGATAGGGGTTTTGTTGGCTCATCTACAGTGGCCCAATTAGATTAGATTACTTCTGTTTATCAAAATGAGATGCAAATAATTTAACAAATATTCAGCAGACCTTCTTTAAACTTCTTGGCAGTGGCATAAAGAGTGATAGAGCTGGCATTGACACAGAAAAGTGTTGCAGTCATTGACTTTTCAGCCAGTAATGAGCCCTGTCTAGATTTACAGGGTCATATAAATGGACCCAAAGAGCTAGCAGTGTTGAAAGATTTCTTTTTTTTTTACTGAAAGACCTTGTAATGTGTCCAGCCAGTCAAAAGCCAAAGAAGTATTATCCTGAATCAATCAAAAATATGATCATGGCATTGTATTTGGTCCTCATTGCTCCGTAAAGACCCTGGGCTCCATTAAAGCGTCAGCTCCCTGTCTCCTGAGGTAGTCAAACGCAGGCAGAGAGCCGTAAACGTCAGCCCGGGTCCTGAGCGTCTGTCTCGCTGCGGAACTGTGTGGTGGTCACTGACAAACAATTAGCAGATTGACTTCCGTATGTCTGAGCCTGGGCTATACTTCCGTATCGCTTCGAGCGTCTTTTATCAGACGATCCGTCGCTTTAGGGGAAAAGACATTTGTCACAATGCGCGCGATTCCCGAGGAGTTAACTACGCTCATCGCAGGTAACTTTTGTACTGTGTTGTTTTCTGTCTGTATGTTTGCGCGTCGTCCGCTGTCCGCGTTCTTTCTCTAAAATTGGATTTCGAGAGAGAGTTTTATTAAAAGAGGAAGAGGCATTCACTCAGTACGGGTGAAGTTTTAGTCGGTTCCACTCCAGTGCGCAGGGAGCGAGTGGACATCGCCCCTCTGTTTGGGTTTCATTCAGAGACGGTGCTCCCACCTGCTGCAGGAGGAGAATCACGGAGCAGTCTGACACCCGACCTGCAGGCTGCTTTCCTCCCACAACTGTTGTGCCCTCAGATGACCACACCACCTTCAGTGTGCATGACTGCTTTACTTGGTACTTTGTCTAGATTTGGAGTGTTTCCTCAGTGATGGGCTGAAAGGAGAAACTTTAAGCAAAAAGGCAAAAGAAAAGAGGGAAACCTTCATCAAACGTATCAAAGATGTCAAACTAAGGTAGGACTACGTGCACCAAAAAAAGCATATATTTCCTTCTTCTAAGTTTTACAGTGCATGGATCAGCTATGCATCAAGTCCTCTTTGCAGAGGCAGTATTTCAGTGCTTTTAGCCCCTTTTTTGTCTTCCAAACAGCTTCCCACAAGAATTTAAAGACAAAAGTAAGTGTTAATCTTTTCTTTTGTTTACATACAACATGTTAAGGCACTACAGACCAGTGTGTTACACTTATAGCTTTACAGTACTTCACAGCCTGTTATTTTGGTCCACCAGATGGAGAGGACTCTGATGACTCAGAGGAAGTTGACAGCAACAATGATGGAGGGTCACTGCAGTCAGAGCGCACAGACAAGGATGAGGACGCCTACGAAGGTAAGCCCCCGAAATATTCATCCAGAGATGATCTGCTAAAAGCACACACGATGCGGAAAATGTACAAACCTGGGTCTTCTCCATGGAGGAAGTGACTTTGAGTGGCACAATGAGGGAGACATTCCATCTGTAACTTGGCAACATACTAAGAGAAGCGATTCGGGGGCAAAACTGCCACCCCGCTGCAGCCCCCTCCCCCCGCCCTCTGACAGCATATTTTACTGCTCTCAGCTGAAGTCTGGGGACTGACAATTACAGCAGGGGCCAAAGTTTGTGAGACACAAAACCCTTCCCTAATGCAGATAATTTTTAATCCAGGTCGCATTGTTCTATCAGTTTATACAAAATGTCATGTTTACTTTGACTTTTTTCTTTTTTCTTTTAATGGACTGTCAGGGATATCTTTGCAAAATGGCGATTAGGCGGCTAGAGTTTATGGGCTGTGAGCAGCTGCCAGTTTTATGGCTGCTCCTTTACACAAAGAAACTTTGACACAGTATTTGGACATTTGCATTGAGGTTGCACTCTGCAAGTGGAAACCTCCTCCACTGAGAAGTAAAACATTGCTGAGTGGAGTCTCTGTGGATTTTGCTGTTAATAATTAGCAGATAAATAAATAAACGATGGTAAGGTTTGACACAAAACCCATCTGTGCATGTTTAACTTTTTTTTCTATAAGGAACAAGTCTCCTTTTCAGTGTGACACACGGCGAACATGATGATGATGGGTTTAGGTGGATTTATGGATTTGGATTTTTTTAACTCCTTTTCCAGGTGCTCAGCAGTCCCCACCTGTGGCGTTCCAGGACCTCACTTCTGTCTTTAAAGCAGGATATCTTGAGAAACGTAGAAAGGGTTCGTGCTCTGCTGTTTCAATCTACATTTAAATGTTTTAGAGATGAGACATGCTGCTTTTTCACATTTAACTTTAACTTATAACTGCAATGCTTTAACATTATCACCTCAAGTCAAAATAGCATCCAAATGGAAATCCTTAGCTGAGTAGAACAGACAATGTTGTTTAACTTTTTTTCCCCCAAACTTTTATTTGTTGTTTGGTGTGCACAGATCACAGCTTCTTTGGAAATGAGTGGCAGAAAAGATGGTGTGCTCTGAGCCAGCACATCTTTTATTACTATGGCAACGAGAAAGGTATTTTGGTTTTTCTCGTTTCCTCACATTCAGTCGTACATTGCGTGCTGTTTGATTAAAAAGGGAACTTAGGAGAATGGAAGAGGAAGGTTTGCCTTTCTTTTAACTGCACATTAAAGTTTATGTATTTGCTTCTTGTAACCAGACAAGCAGCAGAAGGGGGAGTTTAGTATTGAAGGGTACACCGTCAAAATGAACAACACCTTGCGGAAAGACTCAAAAAAAGACTGGTGCTTTGAAATTTCAGCCCCTGACAAGCGCCTCTATCAGGTGTGTTTATCCCACACGTGTTTTTTCTTTGCTAAATGTTTTTCTCCATACTATAACAACATGGCCTTACCGTGTCACACGTTTCAAACTTGTTTCCACTGCTGATCCTTTTTTACATTTTTTTAAACGATCATTCATTTCACACCCACGTCTAAATGAGTGTGTCTAATATTCAGGCTCCTTCATGTGGAACACTTTGCTATGCATAAATGCAGTATTATTTGTTTATGTTAATTAATACAAGTAGAACTGAATATTGCACTGACTGCAGTTTTCATTTCTTTCCCCTTTCATAACAGTTCTGTGCGTCATCAGCGAAAGAGGCGGAGGAATGGGTGAAACAGATAGACTTTGTTTTGAGAGGTATGAACTTTTCCAGCCGTTGAATTACTTTATTTTATTTTTGGCAGAAGTGCTAACTTTAAGTTCCTCCTATTCAAACAATTAAAAAAGAGCAGAATTCTCTCTGTTATTATCTCTAAATGTTGTGAGGGTGAGTACTGGTGCACAATTTCTTTTTAAGAATGCTGAAATGATGTTCCGCTCTTTGTAGATATGACTGGCATCATCCCAGAAGAAGATGAAGACGACCAGGAAATGTATGATGATGTCGGTTGTCTGGGTGAAGATATTTATGAAGAACTTCCAGGTTTGATTACATTTTGTGTTTACTGGCTTAATTTCTGACTATTTGCAGTAATAGAACACATTCACTAATACATCTGCTTCTTCTTTCTCCAGAGGAAGACCTGCCCACTCCGGCAAAGCCTCCTCCAAGTGTCCCACCAAGCAAACCGGCTCCTCCTGCTACAGGTAATCAGCCTGGCACTGACATTTCTGTCCGCCTTTAAAAATACACAACTTTCTTTTGTTTGATAAACTGAAACTAGCATTAAAGATAAAGGGGATCAACACCAGCCAACGATTCTTCTTGAGTCTGATTAAAACGCTGTGCTCACACTTCAGAAGAAGTGACTTTTACAGGGGAAGTTCTGAACAACTGAAAGTTAACACAAGGCTGGAAATAACCTTACCCAAGCTGGCCAACTTCCTTTTACAAAATGAGTGAGTTGTAGTTCTTTGCGACAAAAATATCTGCGTGTCACTCAACTGCACCGAGGGTCAGCTCCAAACCTCGGCTGTGGCTTAGACAAATAAATAGATGCATAAACAGCAGCTGCTGAGACTCCGGGATCAAAAATATCAAATGAAAATAATTTCTCCGGGTACGTTGTAAAGAAAAAAAAAAGTCAGAAGTGGAACCCGTACAACATGTGTAGTATTAGTGGCTTATCAAGCATGGAAGTGGGACAAAGTTACTGTGTTGTCTGTGATACATGAAGCCAATAAATCCTGCTCAGGGCTCAACGCTGCCTCCTGTTGGGTCTCCCTTGCTAACACCTCAGATCTTAAAATCTAATATGATAATTCCTTTTTCTTCACCCAGTCGATAAAAGCACAGACTACCAAAACTACTACCAGGGCTTATGGGACTGTACAGGGGACCGTCCGGATGAGCTGTCCTTCAAAAGGGGAGACGCTATCTACATCCTCAGCAAGGTATGTGCTGTCAAATCCACTCCTGGGTTTGTATTTCACTGCGCTGCTACTATAACAGTCTGATTAGTGACAGCAAGTTTTGTGGGAGATTTCTCTTCAAAGGACAGTGTCTTAATCGGTCAGTTGACTGGAAATAAGTTTTTAGATCAATCTTTTCTGTGGCTGACTTGGCAAAGTGGCCAAAAACACTTTCTCTTGATAGATTTACTACATTAAATAAAAGACTATCTCTAACATTCATAGTATGGTAATTGCATTGTTCTTACAATGTTGGTTGTTGCTGATTACATCCAGCCTACCTTAGAGTTTTCATGAAGCAAAGTGAATACAGGTTCATCACTAATTAATTTCAATTGAAAAGGTTTTAGATAAGGTTTGCTGTCACGATGCTGTTGGTCAGGGACCACCTGAACTTTGTTATTTCAAGGCCCTCAGTTACTGGCAGCACTTGGCTCACTGCCTGAGGTGGATGACTGATGGTAAGCGGCAGACCAGGCAAGATTCTTCCTCTCTCCTCTGATGGGGATTAGTTGTGTCACAACGGAAACTGTTTTAGTGCTGTTGGCGGAGGTTGAACTTAGTTGGCACACTGCTCCATTCCATCACTTCCATCTGGACTGTTTCAGCACTCAGTCACTGCTGCCATGCCAGGCGCTGAGCAGCCCTGAGCCCACACACCTCTCAGACATCCCTCTCACCTCGCCAAATAGGAATGTGTGTTCTCAGGAAACCCAGGCTTAGAATTCAGAGCAGGTGAGGACGTGTGGTGGACGCACAATTTCCGAGCCTTGTCAGCCGGGCGTGTTTTTGATAGCTAAGGGGCAGTTCTTTACCTTTATTATGTCACTACACAGACGTTCTTTTGTACTGAACTGGTTCATGTGAACACCAGGATGTATTTTTTAAAACATATATTCAAGATGGTGTTTTTGAACGCTGGTATGAAAATAAATGGAGGGAATTTCGGTCATACATGTCTGAACCTGTGGTTTCTGTGAAGACAAAGTGGGAAATTTGCTCCATCAAGACAGGCTATATTTCCTGTCTGCTTGGACTCTATGGAGCATGGAATCAACTGAGACACAGCTCTGCCAGCTGACCAGATCCCTTTCAAAATTCAAGTCTGCCATCTAGTGGCTGTGAACAATCAAACGGGGCTCTTTTACTAATAGCTGGTTGAAAGGAAAACACAAGGAAAATACTCATCTCTTTATTTGCTCAATTATGACATGAAATATTAACACTGTGGTTTCACGGGCATAAGAAGTGGTCTACAACTGTGAGTAAAATGGATGCTAGATTTGTTGGTGATGTAAAATACGAGGACATACTAAAACTCCTCACAGAGTTGTTAGGAGGGTGCAGTGTTTTTCTCGATTGAAAACATCATATATTCATATTAAAGAGGATACAGTCTGCAGGTTTTGGGTTATTAATTGCATTGTAGTAAATGAATCATCTGAAGTCTTGATTTTCTGTTCGCCAATTGGTTGATAATTACTTCAGGACTAATGGAACCCGCATAAAGCAGAGAAACCCATCAATGGACATTGACCAAATGCCTGTTTATGGCTCTTTCTTGGTGTGTGGAAAAAGGACCAAGAATCAAGTTGCCCTTTCACTCAGACTGAGAGTGCCATTAGCTGGAACCTTGGTATTGGGGGTTGTGGCCTGCTGCGAGGGCAATGATCGTAAAACCTGTCTGGGCTGCTGCAGCCAGCTGCAGCTAAAGACATAGCCGTCTCCTTCCCTCCTCCATTATTCTCCTTTCTCCCTCTTACATGGATCCCTCCCCCATTCCACACCCCAAAAAAAAAGGTGTGGTGTTACAACTGCGGACCCCCCAGTCAGGACCAGGGTGCTGATTATAAGCCCTGACTGAGGGAGAGCGTGTCGTCCGGATATGCTGCATGCCACATCGTTACACACGTGCAATACCCCCTGCTGATTGTTGAAAAACTATCAGGAAATACACAATCTCAAGGCACATTATTTCTCCCATATTTGGGATGCAGATTGCTTTCCCATAATACGTCTTCAGACCAATGTAACAGGAGCTTTCCATGTGGTACAAGTCATTAAATTACAAAAATGTGCTTTCAGCCAGCTTAGGTGTTTTCGTTAATGTGTATGTGTTGTCACAGTGTGCAGTGTCATTAGTCATCCAAAGCTCCATATATATATGTTCTCATGTTGTGTCCAGCACTCACTAAAGCGTAACTTATTTGTCAGTCAGCCAACTCCACAATGAGGTGTTGCCACTTTCAAAGGCTAGTGGCAGGAAGTCATAATGCACTCGCTCTCTCTTTCTATCTCTTTCTCTCTCTCTCTCACTCTCTCTCACACACACACACAGAGATCCCTCTGTAGGGCCCTGAAATTCCAATTTTATAATGTGTGAGACATTGATAAAAATGATAAGACATTTTCCTGGTCTCTTTTATAGTATAGTAGTTTTATGTTAACACGTTTAATGATATAGTATTACCCTTAATTGTTTTTGTCATTGTTTTTACTGGCCATTATCATCATATCATTATGACCATGCGGCTATGACACTGAGAGTCAGCCACGTTCCTCCTTGTCTAACACAGTGATTGGTCCATTGTTTGTCAGTAGTTTGCCTGTGCTGCAGCTGGTGGTTTCTATGTGTGGGCTCCAAATGTTGCTCAGAACCATATTCTATCAGCCTTCTCAGAACAGGATTTTCAGCTTTAATCCATTTCTTGGGAGGACTTTGATGTGAGGTCAGACCTTTTCCTAAGAGAGAAAAGGGTGATTCTCTTAGTCTTAGATCTCTCCTCACACTATCCTCCCCTCATCTCAGCATGCTCACCACTATCTGGAGCTATTGCTTGTCAAGCTCAGACAGATTTATATGCATTCTACACAATAGACTTTGGCACACAGATCTTTCTGTGAAATCATAAAAATAACAGGTAGGGAATATATAGAAAACAGGAAGTGTAAAGTTGTTGGTATCCCATCAACGACTTTAGCTACAGACTTCAAAACTGAACAGAGCAAAAGGGCACACAGATTGTAAAGGTATGAAATACCAGAATAGTTCATGAAATGACAAAAGGTTAATTCTAACTTAGAAAATGACCAAAACATGAGCTTGCCAAACTGATAGGAAACAGCCAAACGAAAAGAAAGAACAAATAAAAACAAAAATGAAAAGCATGCAAAATAACTACAAAGAGATCCAAACAAAAGTGACTTTCAAAAGTTCCAAAATCAGAAATAAAGCAAAGAACCAAATAAACATATCTTGTCCTCAGCGACAACTAAGATATATAAAATATGCAAGATGGAGACAATGTGGGACCAATAAATGGTACAGAATTGTGTAAAAGATCCACAGATGGGGACAAACAGATCAACTATATGGTTTGTTTCAGGCCTCTCTTAGTCAGATTGTTAAACTCATCTGTTGGACCAATCCTTTTGATATGTCTGTACCCACTGCGCATTGAGCCTGTGGCTTTATAGTCGTTGCATGAAGATGGTGACTGTACAGAGATTTCTACATGTCCCTCCTTCTGCCATTTTATGATATCTGCTTCTGGATGAGAGCCCAGGCTGATTAGTCCTTCCATGTGTTTGCTTCTTTTTCTTCCAGGAATACAACAGCTTTGGCTGGTGGGTCGGAGAGAAGAATGGAGCTATTGGTATTGTTCCCAAAAACTATCTGTTGGAGCTTTATGTTCTGTAAATTACGCCAATGTGAGTTGTTAGACTTCATGACAGTTCTGCTTGTTCCACTTGCTCACTGTTCATCACAATGCATCGCTGGAATAAATGCAATTTTTGTTATGCATCCGTGCTATCCATTGTAAGATATTGGTGATGAAGACTAAAGAATTTAATTAGACTAATATATTTGAGTATTTTTCTAGCACTTTGCCACACTTGTTTGTGCCACATATCTGTAACAGTTATTTTCTACACCATTTTCATGTGAGGCTGTTGGCCATTTTGATTATTTCAGGTGACCCGGTCAATAAAAAGTTCAACACTTTATTGTAGCAGAGTATTTTTTCTGATAGTTGAATATTCAGCGTAAACCACAAGGTGGCAATGTCGTCCCTTCAGTGGTGATACATGACCTCTGCAACAGAGGACAGAAATTGTGATATTTACAAACCACACGAGCAGTGGCAGCTATCATAAGATTAACAGCATAAATTGATCAGAAGAGTCAGTCTGGATCAGGGTAATCCATAATATTTCTTGTGTTTGCCTGCTGTAATGCTGTGCAATGAAGCCAATATTAACAATATTAAGCGTACGGTATGCATACGCTAAATGTTCAGTGAGCAGAACTTCCTGGTTGAATGGCTTAATTGTATTTATTTTAAAAGCTGAGTTTATTCATCCAGTCAGCACTTTTGTCCCAAGCTTCAAAGGGACCTTTTTTATGGCACCTGAGAGACTTTGCCGGGCAGAGGATCACAGCGTGGCAGATGGTTGGTTGTGCTGCATGCCTGAGTAAAATGGCTGAGGTGCACTAATAAGGCAGCCACCCACACAGATAGCAGAGAGGCTTATCGCCCTCTGAGGGGCTGTTTGACAGCAGGCGAGGTGGAAGGAGCTGAACATCTTCTCCTGAGGTTACATGCATACTGTACATATTTTTTCTCAGACCCCTCACTGAGATACCAAAGTTGTACAACAGCTTTGTACATCGGGATAATGTGCTCATTTTCAGCTGGATATACAGACTATGTGGCCTTGTCAAAGCTTTTCAAGGTTGGGAAGAAAATGGGAAGAAAATGCATTCATTAGCCAATAACTCATTGTTTCTACTTTTTTTTCTTGCTCCTGTCTCTCTGCTTTGTTCCCGTTGAGTGATGAGCTATAGTCCTCTGTCCTCTGGGTGACATTCAAAGCCAACATAAATCTAGCTCTTTATGGTATACTGCAGACAAAAACCTTCCCTACTAATTGGAGATGTAATGAATTACTATAATTACTTATTGAACATACTATCCAAGAAATATGGATGCATTTCTTTGTTTTAAGGCAGGGAAAGATCAAAATCAAATTCCACTGCAGGGATGATGAATGACATGATGGTGCTTTTACTCTACCCATTATGACTATGAAAAAATGAACTGTTGATTTTGATAGATAAACAAAAAACATCTTACCCCTGACATAGTATCCACAGTGAAGAAGGAGCTCAAAGGATGTTGCCTTTTAATATTTGGCCATGGGTCAGGTTGTCAAAGGCAAGCAAGGCTAAATGCTGCCTCTCATTTTTATGTGCCAATAAAGGATTTCCTTAATGGATGTCAACTTCACCCCCATATCCTGTTAGATATCCTCGGAATATACAGGTGCTTTTATTGCAATTTAACATCAAGATATAATGTTTCAAAGATAAATGCTGACATGCCATTAATCTCCTGAGCACTAAATTAAACTAATGATACTAGAATATCACTAATTAATACTTCCAACCATAAAAAGACACTGTCCCCAGCCAAAGTACATAGATTGAGCTGCTGTGTAATGATGAACACGTTCTGATTTGCTGAGAAAGATGATGGAAATGTAAAACAAATTTAACCCCCGCTAGAGAAAAAACCCACTTGTTTTATACTAATGGCTTACCATTCAAATAAGGTATTACTGCTAAATCTATCACATATATTTTCAAGACATTTATTCTTTGTTAATTTACGATGTCTACTTTGATAAATACTGTCACCGTTCTTAGCCAGCACCCTCAGCTTATTGAGGGGGCTAAAAGCTCCGGCTCTTACACTTTAGAAGTATAATCCTGATCAGGCTGTCAGCTGTTTTTTCTGCTTTTCAACCGGGTCACTCAGCAATAGGTCACAGCTCAGCTTGATAGAGAGTTTCTGTCAGGAATTCCTCAACCTTATTTATGTGCTATCCCCAGGCGTTTTGCAGGAAATGTATCACCTCTCTGACGGGCCCTATGTCAGCATTCCATTAAAGCTCTTTCCCACCCAGTCTAAGTCTTAAAATCAAAAATAGACATTTTTTAAATGTAAATCACTCTTAATTGAGGTCACTGTTAACTGTTAACATAACTCATGGTGGCCGATGAATTAAAGTTTTATCAGGTCGCTTGTGACATTATTAGAAGAGACAGCATATTTAAAGTAAAAGCTAACAGCAGTCATGACGGTATGGGTTTGTCTTTACTTTAGTGATTTTTTTTTCTGTGGGTAATATGAGGTAGAGACTAAGGTTGGTGGCAAGCCAGTAAATATGGATCTAGACCGGCCATTTGCTACAGGCCCCACACCCACTTTTCTCACCTGTGTTTGCTCTTTCCTGTAGCTAGTCTTCTGGGAGGTGTAGACCGGTGTCTGAGGAGGAGCTACCAGTGTCTGCTGCACAACTCACAAGTGGCCCTTGGGTCTAAGAGTCAGTTTTCCTGGCTTCAAAAACAAGCTCAACACCTCAGAACTGCCTTCCTGTACCTTATATGTCATACTAATGAAGCCATTACTGCTTTGAAGGAGCTCATCATCCCTCTTACATACTGTGTGCATCACTGTTACAAACAGGGCTCGGGTTCCAGAGTGTGAGGTTGGCAGTCCAGGCTGTCAGGAAGGGTAGAGCTATGTGCTGACATGTCAGTCAAGATAAATCAGGCTTATCAAGTTGACAGGTGTTTGTCCACCTGCTATAAACATCTCCCACACCTCACTCCTTCACCATCTCCTCACAGATTATTTATAAGGCTGCCGGCTTCGTAATCTGCCCCTGTTTACTCTCTTGGTGTAGCTCTGATATCAGGTCAGCCATCCACAGCTGATTTACAATGCTAGTTAGAGAGGTGAGTAATGACTCTGGATGTTCGGGGAGGATAGCTTGTAATCAGCGGAGGTCAGAGATGCGTGTGATACTCTAACTGTAATTACAGCCCTCTGTAGGCCTCACACCTGTCTACGCTGCAGCCACACGTCTGCCAGTTATGAGCAAACTGATCGCCCCTGTTCGCTCTTCTCTTTTTTGCTGCCCAAAGTTCAATGCCACTGGTTGCAACAAGCCCACGGTCAGGTTGAGGTCCCATTTCAATGTCAGCTCTTTATATAGCAGCTCTTTGTAAGAGAGCCCCCTGGCAGAGGAAGTAAAGGTATGGGGGTTGAGTTACTTGATCTCGTTGAGCTAAATGAGTCACTGGACAGCAGATAGTTGCCATCACTCCCATTTAGTGTCACTTTTGGTATGCATCCAAGTGAAGGTCCTGCCAAGCTAACAGGAGCTAATTTAGTGTTCAGGCTACACATGGAGCTGCTCATCATCACATAGAGGCAGCACAACAACATCATGTGGAGCATGTCACAGAGGACACAGTGGTAGCAGTGTTCACATTGGTTTGACTACTACATTTTGCTGTTTAATGTTGGTGTAGTGTATCTCAACTCCATCACCTTCATTTCAGTGTAGATGCCATTTGTGGTTTCTGTTCTGAATACGTCTTTAACTTAAAAAACAAAAAAATTACTTAGCTATCTTTTGCTGCTTCTCATCTGCCCTAAAACCTCAGTTATTCATATCTTGCCTCTGATTGTCTCTCCACCCATCCCCCCTCACCTCACCTGCAACCCCTTCCAGCAAACACCTCTCCCATTGTATGCATTTATTCTCAATTCCTTGTCACGCCCTTCCTCACCCTGGCATTGTCTCTGTTCCCAGCTTTACAGTTTTTGGATTTTTCTGTATTTGCAATGCATTTGGTCTTGGGTAAAGAAGATATACATTGAATTTACATTTTGACATAGACTCTACCTTTAGACTAAACTTTCCTAAAGTACTGTTTTCCTCCAATTACTTCTATTTCTCAGTACAGTGCTTGTTTTATCTTCTTATTGATGAAGAATATGTGCCCTTGCTCATACTATCATTATCTGAAACCCTGGGCATAAAGATTTTAATAAATTCCTCAGTTTAGAAAATTGTTAAGCATCTACACTGTCAGTACTTCAGACTTCCTGATACTGTAGACCTTATCATTTATCTGCATATTAATTAACCCAGCATAGACCCATTAGCATCCCATGAATAATCATCATGCAAATTTAGAAATTTCATTACATTTGTATTACAAGAGTAGCAGGTGGGGTAATTTCAGTCATTTCTGCCTGTATGCAGACATCGAGATGATGGACTGTGTCTGAGAAAGACAAGCTGAGCCGGTCAGTGGATCTACCACACAGTAAGGAAAATTTAGGCTCATCATAAAAGATTTCTCCCTTCCTCTTATTTCACTTGGACACTTTTATGTTTTTTTTATTTTCTACCTCATTGCCGCTGTGAGCTGCCTGCTGATTTACACACACTGGCAGTGAAGCTCAGAGGCCCCTGGAGATGGTGCCCTCTACCCTTCCATTTTTTCCCCCCTTTGTTTCTCAGGGCTCTGTTGTCTTCCCTGTGCCACTGCTGGCAGCGTCTCCATTCTGGGTCTGACCAAAGAGCTCCCCCTCTACTCGTTCCTCATCCCTAACAAGACATGAGTCTGCAGGGACTGGATCTTGTGACACAGAGAGGGCAATGCTCCCCTGTGCCAAGTCACAAATTCATATAACGATGTGAAAATGTACATCATGTCTGTATCTATATCCGTCTTCTGCCATGTTTACATAGTAATAAACCAACCAATGGACACATACAGTAAGGTATCGCTCAGCGCTTAAAGTTTATGGCAAATGTGTTACTTACTTATGAGAACAGACAAAGAGGGAAAAACACAAGCATTTTGCTCCTTCATATGAAAAACCGCAGTGGACTATGGATTTAGAAGCATTTTGATAAATGAATATAAAGTATTATTATACAGAGTGAACACAAACATGTCTTCTTAATGCTTTGCCCTTCCTTCCCAACTAATCATTTCCACCTGCACACTCAAAAAACATCTGAACACACAGTATTATTTTAGGATTATTATGATCTTAACTTTCTTTTTCCCCCCCAAGGCCCTTGTGTTAGAGGCAGAGGAGCTGGTTTCACGCTGATCGGTTCTGATTGCAGGGGATAGGAAGCTGTTGCTCGCCTTGGTACAGTGATCACGTCCCTTTCCAGTAATTGCTACATCTACACACCAAAAGGCGACAGCATGAGGGGAGGGTGGGGTAGCATAGCTATGAATAACTGAGGACATGTAAGCCTGCTGTGTTTGATAAATAACTGACAGCTTATGTGAGCTCATTTAAATTTGTGACATTTGAGAGACATAGAAAGCTGTTCATTTATTTACTTTCACCGTGTTTAGGAAGATAATTTATTGGTTTTTGAGTTGTTAAGACACAGAAACAAAGCTGGAACATGCAGCTACAAGACGTTGAAGATTCTTTTGTCCAAGGTTAATCAGTGCTGAGGATTGGCATGAACTGTCAAAGAGTTTATATTTAACACATTAGATGTTGGTAGACCTCAGTGTGGCTCCTGGAGAGAATGTGATTCCCTTGTTGCGTAATAAGCTGTCTGCCATTGTCATATCACTACTGCCATGTACAACTCTGGCTTCATTTCTTTAGGATACATTCTCTATCTTTCACAATGACAGTCAAGTTTATCTGATATCGACTCATCCTGGTTCCTCAGAGTTGCAGTCACAGAGATTTAATATCTCAAATGGTGCTGAGCTGCTATTGCTACTAATGGATTCTGTATAATGTGGCACTTAAAATGCATGAGCAACCTCTGATTTATCTGTAATTTGCCTCCACTGGAGCATATCTCCTTCAATGACTCCATTTGTTTTTCAGCTCTCAAGACGAAACCAGATTGGGATTTTATATTGTTACATGTCTGACAATCTGCCTCTATCCAACACCAAAATGAACACTTTTTGTGATGACTATGGGTGAATCCAACAAAAAAACATGACTCTAAATGAGTCCCAAGGTCGGGGTCTGTTCGAGCTGTTCAGGCAGACTCAGTTTTTTGGTCTGACGCACTCCAAGCTTTATCAAAAATAAGATATTTCTTCATTTGATTAACTGCTATCAATCATATTAAGTATGGCCAAAATATCTATAGACATTATGAAAAATTGGCTTTATTGCGCACTTTTATGTTTTACCACCTTTTTACGCCATTGTATTTAAGAACAAAGTGGTTTTCATCAACACATATATTTCTTTTATTTCTTTTACTCTCTTTCACCTCTTTGTGCGTCATCCAGCACCAAGCAGAGAGCCGTTAGCCCTTAGATTGGTCTAATAGATTCCATGTTGTCAGTGCTGTCATGACAGCAGAGCTGAGCAGACGGGAAAGCCTACAACTGCTCAAGGTTAACAGCCATTGGACCAGAGTCACAGACCATTAACAAAAGAGTCAATATCCCTGGATAGGTCCAATTTAAGCCAGCAGTGTTTAAATGTTTCAATCCATTGAACAGCAGGAAACAAACAAAGCTTCAGCATCACAAAGACCTGTTAACAATGCCAAGTTATAGGAGAGGAACAAATACGTATGTGATTCACTATGTATTTAATGTTAGCCTTAAACCATACAATGGATATTTTTAATCTATCATAGAAGAGCAATTTTTCTAAAGTCTCTAGCTGAGATACGAGTGAACATTAACCCCTAAATCTTTCTGAACTTTTTGACACCTCAATAAAATGTTGCTCCTGCCAAACCAAATGTTGTTTTCCTTTTAGTCATTCTGTAACTAGGTGCCAGAATCTTATCATTTTTAGATGTTTTTTCTTTCCTTTGTCTTTGCACAGCAGAAGTGACTGTACACAGCACCCTTCCCTTTCACCTACTTTGGCTGCCATGTGCCTAGCCTCGGTTCAGTAAGTGCACCTCTATTGGGGCAGAGGACCATTCAGCTAAAGATATCGATATTACCCAATAGGATGTTAAATGTTCACCTTTAGGGGGGAAGTGGAAGAAGAGCCTGACAACAAAATGTTCCCCACAGATTAACAATACCTGATCTCACTGTGCACCCATCTATAAATATTTGGACTGAATGCAAGTCGATTTGATTCAAACTGCTTCTTTGCCATGACCTGCTACTTAACTGATCAACCACATTTTAGTGAAACTTACTTTGGAAGGTGAAAAGTTGCACAAGATTTGCTCATTTCTAAAAACATAAAGATGAGTTAACCAGAAAATGACTGTGAGTGAGCTATAAAGATGGCATGGCTTCTGTGGCCAAAAAGAGCTCTCACTTCGACCTCCTGGATTTTCTGGCTGCATTAAAGACATTAATGTCCATATAAAGCAAATCGGACACTGCTGCAAAAGTGAATGTGAAAAACTGCTTTATTAATAAGCATATGCAAATACATATAAACCCACATCTGTGCTCACACATCTTCAAGAAGGACAGGCCATTCTAGAATCCAGACTGTTCTGCTGCTCAGAGGTGACGTCACCTTTCTGCTCTCCTTAACAGAAGTCTATTGTCTGTTCCCGAACTGAATTCCTAATGAGCTACTCTGCCGCTGCAAAGAGGAGCAGCTAATCTAATTAGCTGCCCAGATGTGTCAGCTCGCTTTCTTTCTGTTTAGTGGTCATCACCTCTGCGTAAGCAAGGTGGCGCTCACATTGGGACGCGCACACTTGTGACAGACACACTAAAACACACACCTGGGCAGACACCGTCATGGACATGAATGTCGGGAACGAGCTTTTACTAACACAAAGTAAGGGAGACAGATAAAAAGGGTGGCTTGTCAGCTCAGATGGCACTTTGTTCAGCGGGGAGCAACGTAGCCTGTCTACATGGTGGACCTCTCAGACAGGTAAGGGGTCCTATGAGATCCCAATGGACCGGATCCTGTCACACACCTGACAGGGGGGCTGGTTGAAACTCTGCAGAGACCCTATTATACATTTCATACTGCTAAGCACTGCAGTGGCCACCACATGACAAACGTCCGACAGCCTACACCTCATTTGGAGCTACCTGCTTAAAGACACGTTCGCTTGTCAGTGCTTGAGATATTCCACTTCTGCTTGGACATATTCTGGGGTGTTTCATAGTATGAATGACCAAAATTCGTGATGGTTCCATAAAGTGTGTTTATGAAGCAAACTGAGACTGTTCCAGCATATGTTGTTGAGAAATAGCAATGCACAAACTGTGACAACACTGCCACCTTCAGGCTAAATGTTGCCACAACCTTCTTTAGTCAGCTCAAATAATATTGAAACATCACAGAACACTACAAAAAGAGGCATGAATTAATTTACCTTACTGGTTGGAGGGGGTGGGGGATAGTTTTCAGGAAAACTAATGTACTGTAGTAAATAGTAATTGATTAGTCTGATTGCACATAAGACATTCATAATAATGTAACTTAAAAATGAACAGTTGGTAGCCTTTCATCCAGCTGTGTCAATCGATGTTTTCATGCTGAACCAGATGAGCTGCCGAGCATCTTGTCCTGGGTGGTACTCGCGATATCAAGTGAAGCTGTCCTCTTGGATTTGTCTGCGGACAAACCTTTAATGCCTTTCTCTGGATTTCTACACTCTGAGCTGAAGCAACACAAGCAAAAACAGAGTTTAAGGTGAGGAGGAGAACTCACTATTCATCAGTCCATACAAATCCAACCACAGGTTTCTTAAAGAGCTGATTTTTCATGTGGAATTTGGGCTTGTTTTAAACACAGAGTTAAAATACCTATCTGAGTCAGAGTCACAGGACATGCAGAGGTCCTTCTGTAGGTCCTCTTCTGAGTGGAATCTCCTCAGACCACTGCGCCGAACCGCCTGGACCACAGAGAAGGGGGTTCTTCCAGCAACACAGGCCTCTATGTTGGACACGCTGAGCTGTGACTGCAGGAAAAGGTGCAGGCAGCTGTCGGACATCAGAAAAGGGCTCTGAAGGATTCTGAGAAATCAGAACATTGAATGAATAAGGGTTGCTGATTTCGTTATATCATCTTACCAACAAAGGCTAAAAAAACAACAGTCCCCAGCCAGGAGGAGGTAGAAACCAACTTGTGATGTGGGATGTCAAAGTTCATAAACGTATTGATCTCTGAGGTCTTTCTTACTTTTCTAAAAACTTCTGGAGTCCTTTCATCCGCTCAGTAATCTGCTGGGCGTTGTTCAGACTGAAGAAAGGGTTTTTGGGAGGCAGCTCCGGTAACTGTACCCTGAGAAATATGAATGAGCGAAGAATCATTTAGCAAACTCAAAGGAAAATGAATCTGAGGTATTCGCATGGATTGTTCATTTAAATCAGGGGCTATACTCACATGAGTAGGGAATGTTCCTGCAGTTTCTGTCTGAGCCACACAAACTCACTGTATCGCCTTCTGACACTCGAGGTCTTCTTGGTGAAATACACACTGTTGGTCTAAAAACAGGACGCACAGGTTCACACAAACATTACAAATACAAGCAGGGATGGGAGAAACTATCGTTTTTACGTCTTTGTACTTACATGTAAACAAACTTCATAGTCCATGTAGGCATGCCAGAAGTCATTCTTTTGTATCCTTGGGTCCCGCACCCAGACACTGATGACCTGCTGCATGGAGAAGGGAGACCAGACTCTATACTGAGTGCAGCAGTGTGAAAAAGAGGAAGGTTTTTATTGCAAAATTGAGGAAGCGCAATTCCAACCATCATAAATACCAGAATAGGAAAATCCCACAAAATGGCCACTCTTGCTCAGAACAAGATTACTTAAAGTTGTATCAACGCTTAAAAAGAAATGTTAAAGACATTTCAAATAAACCCACCTGATTCACATTTATTTCTACTTCTTCTTTCAGAATAAAAATGCTTGCAGACAGAATTCCAGTGACGTACAATCGGACACACTTTGCACTGCAGTAAGCTTATGCCTCCTCTTTACTGTAAAGGAGCAAAGGTTTCAAAACAAAGTCACAAGACTGACAGATGCTCCTCCCTATTCTGTCAAATGAATCAGACAGAAGCCTGTGTACTGTAGAATTAACTGTTTTAGGCTTTATTGTATAAAATATGCTGAAGATCTGGAGCGTACTTGTTTTTATGCTAAAATCAGCCTTTTGCTCAGTTGGTTTTGATAATGTTTGTGCAATCAAAATGAATGGAAAAGTGTCACAAAGTGTTAAGTTTATTCACAGACTTCACAGATCCATGGTCAACAGTTACAGTAGCTCAGTAGTAGGTGTGTTTAAAGAGGTTAAAGGTTCAGCTGAGTGTCCCATAACAGTCATGGGTGATATGTAAAGTCAGGACAGTGCCATCGGGATAAAATGATCAAGTACACAGAGATGTATAATTACAGTCAGTGACAACACCCCGAGCAAATGGGCCGCCTCATAACTAAAGTGCTACACTTAACAACTGTACTCCTCAATAGTTGTATTTCTCAGTACATTTACTTTAGAATTGAGACATTTTGAATGGCTCTACAAGGATTTCACTTTGGGTAAAAAGCACCAGGCAATTGGATTAGTTTTTTTCAAAAGTTAGAACTAATAAAGAGGAAAAGAAATATGTGATAAATGTGATAAACACAGCTCATTTAAAATGAGAAACTTAGGTTGGAATTTTTGTTTGCTTGTTTTCAACACTTTACATAAATCACAAGGGTCAAACAGAGAAACAGGGAAAGTTGTGGCGATAACCACCACGCATAATAAAAGTCCGAACAACAGGTCAATTCTCTTCAGCTCGAGATGAGGGCTGCAGGGAAGCAGCACCAACGCAGAGCTAAAACCCAAGAGACCAGGCTCACGCTGAACAAACAACCCCCCCGGTGTGGGATACCGGTTACAACACAGGACTGGAAAATTCATGACCATTTAAAACCAAAGCACATCCACAGTGATTTGAGTCTGCTACACAATGACACCAGGGGGAAAAAAAGTCCACAACAGGTTAGTCTGACTTCAGATCAGCAGCTTAGCGCTAAAGTTGGTTTCAGCCTCCATCGCTGTGTCCTCGGTAGAGCGAGGTGGGGGGGGGATCTCACAGTGCGCGCCTCTCGTGTCGGCTGACGGAGGACCCCTGACGGAGGTTAAACTAAGCCTTAGGAGAGAGCGCGGCCGTCGGTCAGTCCTCCCCCACACAGCCCACACAGTGTTCTCACTGCTCCTCCTCCCCACAGTGCCAGGTCAGCTTCTGCTCGTAGAAGTCGATGACCACCTGCGGACATCGGGCGCTCGCTTCGTGGGCCGGGAGCAGGGCAACATCATCCGAGTTCTTCCTGCCGGGGGAGGGGAGAAGCATGAAACGGTGACACGGCCTTCATGCACCAGCACAGATTCAGACAGCAAAACAGGGAGTTGCTATAATCCGGCACAGCCACCCTGTTCTGATATCAACAAAGCACAGAAACAGATGTTTTTAATTTTCAGTTTATGCATAAAAAACTCCCGAAAACCTGGAGACTGAGGAGTGCTTAAAGGCCTGCACTTGTTCACGTTTTCCATTTTAGCTTTTGAGCCAAAAAGATAACGCCTGTGTCGTCGAGTCATCAGAGCAGGAGCGCTTAAAATCTTCCAGAATTTCTTGGAAGTGAACACTCATTTCTCAGAGAACCCAGACCCAGCGAGTTAGGACACATTGGGAAGTTGAGGGCTTTACTGAAGGTTACACCACTTTCTGTGGTCACTGCCAGTTCTGCATGTCTCTTCTGTTTCCTTCTTTGTCACTTTTTCAAATCTTGTAACGACATTTATTGTAACATGAACGGGTACAGGCACCAGTACTACTTTGTTTTCATGGTTTGGTATAAGACTGTAAGGGAAAATCTCCACCACGGTGTAACTGTGTGATGCAGTGTGGAAAGCTACCCATTTCTTAGATTAAAAACATCAACATCTTTCACATCTGAGGTTCTTTTATTCTATTTTAGCCTGAAAAGTGAAAGTAATTTTGTTAGTTTTTTCTTTAAAATCAAGATTTTGCCATTATATGCACCAATTTTGGATCAACTTAATCTTAAACATGACCCCCAGCAGTGTCACATCAATAAAGCATAATGAGAGTTGTGTATTTTATTCCTCAGAGAGACGCAGTTCAGACCAACGCAGTTAACTGTGAGCTCAGCGACAGATACATTTTTAAAAGAGTCCTCACAGGTTGAGGAGCTGGAAGGAGGGAGATCTGGTTAAAATCCAATTCCTTCCCACAGATTTGACTGCAGCAGCACATGATGGATCTTTGCAGCTACGCAGGTTAAACACACTCTGAATAAATGCATTACAACTTTAAATGTGCACTATTCTGCAACCATGCAGCCATTTAGCAAGAAACGCTGGATTTTGCTCAGGGCTAGTGTAAAGAGGAAGCTGCAGGGTTACCATTTGACGAGGAACATGAGCTCTCCCTTCCTGTCTGTGGAGCCGATGATGCATTCGGGTTCGAGGTAAGTGCTGAGGTTGGTGGTGGCGTCGGACTGGTCGCCCTCTGAGTGGAGGACGGTGAAGTCGCTCTGCAGAGCCTCCGCCTGCTGCTGAGGCTGCACACAGGACTGTGGTGCGGAACAAAGACAAACCAAGACAACAACCGTGTCACACACCGTCTACATGTGGCAGAGTTTACTACACATGACCATTACAAAAAAACCTGCACTAATACTGGCTTTCGCTTTCAAAAGCTTTGCAAGTCTAACCACTCTCACACAATTTAGTTTCATGTCCAGTTTTAAACTAAACAAAAAGGATTAGAGCATATGACTGGACGTAGGAAACTGGTAAGAGGAGAAAAAAAACTTCCTGATTTTTTTATATTTCTTTTTTTTATTTAAGCGATGTCCTTCCCCTAAAATAAGCTGGAGTTCTGCTTTGTTTCCCCCCTTTACACATATTTAGAAGCATAACCTCTATAAATAACTTGGAAACACAGACATTTCCACCAAGCCTTTGCTGGCATACTCACAATTTCCGTCTCTTGCTCAGTCATTTCTTCTTTGGGAATTAACTCTTGCTGGCTTTGCTCCTCTTCATTCCCTTCAGAGAGATGGGCGTTTCTCAAGAACTCTTCAATGAGTTCAGGACAGTCCAGATTGTCCTCGGGCTCCCACGTGTTCTCTGCACTGTGAGCGTATGAAGAGGGAGGGGAGAGTGCGTTCCACTGTCATGAACAAACAAAATGTCACAACACCCAAACACTGGCTGAGCAACACCCCACTCACTCCGTGAAGCCTTTCCACTTCAGGAAGTACTCTACTCTTCCGTTAGAGACTCTGCGAAGAATGATTTTCTCCACCACAAACTCTTGGACAACAGCAGTCTCCTCGGTCTTCCTCTGTTTGGCGGTCTGCTTCTTTCTCATTCTGTCAGGGAATACGCAAACACACAGACGCAAGTGAACGACGACATAGATGCGCACTGACAGGAAGTGAGGGCTGTTCACTGAGATCAGACAACAACAACAACAACAAAAAAACAACACTTTGGTGCCGAGGACACACTTTGTGTGCACGACAACACGGCAGTGCCTCTGCGTGCACGGATCCGTCCACTTATTATAGCGCTCCACCTGCCCTTTTGGCTGGGGGAGCCCAACGGAACCGAGTCGCCACGTAACGCAACACGTTAGTTCCAACATACGTTTAGTTACGCGCGTCATCTAAAAAGCCCACGAACGACACAATGGAACCGTCTGCACGTACGCTGTCGGTACTGAATCTCGGCGGACAGTCTGCTGCAGTGCTGCTCTGCTCCGTGCTCGTAGCCGCAAACTCCCCGCACACAGCGCCGGCCACGCTGCTCCGTGCGCAAACGAGTCGGTCGGCGAGGTTTTTTTATTTTTTCTTTAAGGAGAGAAACAACTTTTCATGAATGAGTCGAATTTAAAGATGGCCGTGGATGCTCGGAGGGAGGAAGTGGTTGCCAAGGGAAAAGGTCATGCCAGGAAAACCGGGAGGAGACGACGGGGACGCGCACGCCGCCGACCAATCAGCGAGCAGTCCGCTCCACCGTCCCCGTCCAGCAGTCCGGAAGTGCCCTGCCACCCATGGGTGCCAGCCGGGTATAGCAGGGGACTGCGCGACAGATGTGATGTGCTCACGTCGATCGTTGTCACTTTGTGTGTTTGAAATCAAGACACACGTACACAAATCTTCGCCAAAACAAGATATGGTGAAATACAATGGAGTGAAATAAAGTTATAATAAACGATACTACAATATAACCCTCAATATATTGTATTAAATTCCAACATATCATGTCGTATTGTATTACACTGTATTGTGTTACATTAAATCGATAAGTAAAGGTTTCTTTACATTGATATTTTACTTATTTTTCAGAGGTGGATCAACTTCAAGATCTTCAATATTTCTACAGTAGACTCTTGATAAATTGCATTTATAAATCCCCATTCAGATGCTGGTTGTTTTGCTGGTTGGTTTGCAGTAAGTATTTTTCAATAAAAAAAAAGATGATGTCAACTTTGACTTGTGCATCATTATGTTTTTTATTTTTTATTAAATAGTCCAGTACTGAAAAAGTTCATAGCAATTTTCATTATTCATGCATAAATGGAAATTTTAATTCAAATAAGAATGTTTTTGTTGTTGTCCATATTTTCTCTACAAGCGCTTTTTAGAATTTGATTTGTTTTTCAATTTACCCTTAAGAGTGAGTGTGCGTTGTTGTTCGTCTTTGTGTGTCTCTGTGGCCCAGCGATGGCCCTGCGATGGCCTGGCTCAAAACTCCTTTGAGACTTTTCCTTCTAGGTAAATTTGCCTTAGTAGAGTCGCTGTTTACATCCTGAAAATCCAGGCAGTTTTCTTTGAGGAGGTCTGTATTCTTCCAGTTCGTAAATGACAATGAGAGACCATAGGCAAAAAGGACTTCAGGAGAAGTGATTGGCACCTCCCTTTTAGCCAATAAGAGCTCCCAAAGCTGCCGATTGGAGAAATGTGCACCCACAGCAGCCTCAGGCTTATCCCTTTTCTCTATAGTGTTGTAAAAGTTCCACTGGGGGACGCTGCCTACCTGGGCTGGGTGTTTTGGGCAAGAATGTCATGCTTCTCTACTCCTCTGGAGCACATGGATTTATGCTCAGAGCAAAAGGCAACAGAACAAAAGCTTTTGGAGGTGGACTCACACTAGAGCTGCTTCTGATGCACTGCTGTTACTGATATTGTTTTATCCTGAAGGTAGGATTATGTAACATTGGTTGCATTTACTCAGCAAATGTACTTATGCAAGCATTACAGAACAACAAGACCAAAAGAATGTGCAGAGAAGCAATCCTGTGAGTTGATACCTCTGTTTCTCAATGAGAAACCACTGGGCAGGCCTGTGGGATGTGATTAAAATTGGTTTTATTTTTAAAAATTCAGGGAAATGTCTGTAGGGATGGCAGTATGGAAGATTAATGTGTGGTATACATTGTTTGTAGAGAAGAGGGCTTATTGATTAAGGTCTCAGGAGAACAGGAAAAGGGTCTTGTGCAAGTTGCAAATCAATATGCGGTTATTTGGTCCAGGCCCCTCTGTCACATCTAACTCCCATGTGTAGAAGGCAAACTACTGTGATCCCCAGGAACTGCAGGGTCTGACAAAGCTATCATGGAAAGCAACTTTTTTATTGTGAATAATGACAAAGTTTTATGTTGAAGAGGGTTTAAGCAACTTAACTGCAATGAATGTATTCAGTTTTCTCCCAGCTACTGTAGTCTTGCAGTGAATGGGCATCTCTGTAAAAATCAAAGTTTTAACTCAATAGAGACATTGCATTCTTTTGTTCTGTGTGAACTTTACACAAAACAATGTACATCTCAGGAATCTGTAAGTATGGTTGTCTTTTGTAAAATGCACAATTCAATGATAATCTAAATTATTTTTACACAATACACAATATTTGATAATACATATTGAGGTAACTCAGCCTTTAGGAATGACTTTTGGACTTCCAAGTTGTCAGAAAGCTTTTTGGCTGATGGTTAAATTTGGAATCCTTAAAGTTTGCACCCAGCATGTGCAGCACATGAATGATTTCTATTTGTTTGTGGATATGAGCCATTGCAGGAATCGCTGCTAGGCACATATTGGTTATCAGCCAAATGACCTGCTTTTGCCCTCTAATCTTGCCCTGTCTAATCTTGAAGGGTTTTACCACAAGTTGCCATAGTAACCTTAGGGCCAATACTGTTGAGCTGCCGCTGCAGGTGCAGGAATGGCAGTAATGCATGCAGAGAGGTCCTTTTTGGATTTACGGCTCGGCAACAGGGTCAACTACTTTGGGATGTCTGCACCAAACACAATAAAGTTTTTTTTTTTTTAAAACATAGTTTGAAACACATTTCAGATCTCAAAGGCAGTATTAAAGAGACAACTTTTTAAAAAAAAGTGATATTATATTACAAGCAGTTCCTTGTTATGTGTCTTAACAACAATGCCGATTAAAAAATTCTTTGGACACTGAAACAATACAACAACAACAAAAAAACAGTTTTTAGATGTTAAGAAAATAATTCATTACCTGGATTTCAGTAGTTTATTAGTTTATTAGCTTATTATTATTTATGAAGGTGTCTTATGTACACATTTCATCCCTTGCATGTATTTGTAACCTAAATAATTCACTAATAGGCAATCATTTAGTGATTTGAGGCTTTTTCGTGTCTAAAACCAAACAGATTGAACCTAAAAATGACCCCAGCACTAAAAATGAAATACAGATGTTGATGAAATGACACACTCTGGTGTACAGGGGTAGAAAGATATATCGCATGATGCCGTCATCCCTTAAATCTACTACTTTCCACCCCAGACAGGCACATTCCTCCTGCCCATTATAAATGCAGGCCCTGTGCAGATGGGCCTTGAGAGCCACCATTCCAAAGCAGAAAAGAATCCAGATGGCTAGGTCCTGCTGTGAGGGGCGATGGATGTATGGAGAAGCGTTTTTTTGTGCCTCAGAAAAAGCCTTACTGGATGCGTTTCACATGGTGGGCCCCCAGCATTCCCTCTGTTCCACCAACGCTCTCAGATTACAGATATGGTGGGGAATTCACACTGCTCCCATTGTTATCATCAAGCATTAATCTGGGTATCTAAGGGTGAACAGCAAAATATTGTTGTAGGCTGAACTAGTAAGAAAGTGAAATGAAAACTGCCTTTTTGATCGACCAAATTTCCGCATGTTTTCACACTATTTTATTGAATAGTTTGCAACCTTGATCCTTATACTTGCATATGGTGTAAAAACACACACAAAGGAAAAGATCAGCAGTGTGAAAAATCAAATCCTTTACTGTCATCAACACTTTCAGAACTGGAGGAGCCTTGATCATGATCATTTACACAAACTGTCTCCAGATGGTGCTCAGTTTTATACTAAATCAATCGGGGTCCTGACTTGCAAGCGTCAGAGCGATCTATTTTCTTTGCAAAAGTGTCATAGAGACAGGGGATGTCATTTTATATCCAACGACTTAAGACAGGACAAGATTTTCCACCGGATGTCTGTCTCCTGTTTCAGAACATTTATTGTTGCCCCCACACACTTTTATCTGAGTCATCCTATACCTGGAAGGACTGGAGGGGTGTAATTATTAATAATCTTTGAGCCCACACTAATTACTGGGAATTGATCCATCTTCAGAGCATCTGGTTCACCAAAGGTTTTGGTGGAGCAAGAAGATATCAGCTTTCCAGAGATATAATATATTGCTTTGGCCCTCTGTTTGGGATTTTAATTTGGCAAATGTTTCCCGAAATTTGGTTTCAATTCTGGATGTTGTGGTTGGGAAAACTATGAATGACTTCATGACTCAGGCAGAAAATTGTCAAATATGTTCCTTTTGGCTCTAGGTTTTTGCTCAGCAATGTGGAGCCCATCAGATATTATAACACTGTGATTGGCAGGTGAATGGCATCAGTGACAAGCAAGTCCCATTCCCCCACAGGCTAGTGGGGCACTAGAAAGGAGAAAGAGAGCCTTTGAAGCTTGAAGGACTGAGTTACCCCTTGTGTTACTTCTTTTTTTTTCTCAGTGTTGCTTTCTGCACATTTTCTTTTGTGGCTGTTGTTTTCTTGGGATTTTTGCAGTTAATGGGCCAATAGACCCAAGGCAGAGGAAAGTGAGTGAGGCCCTTTCAAATGGACATTGAGCAATGTGTCATTCAGGTTGTGCAACTGACTTTGTCCTGAGAGTTTAAAAAAACATGGTAAAGCTATTCAGCCCGGACAAATAGTGTTGATTGATTTCTCTGGTTTCTTGTAACTGAATTTAGTCTAACTTCTTTTCATGCCGGGTAAAATGAACCCGTTTAGTTTTGGGGATGTGAACGAGAGCTACTTTATCTATCTATCTATATCTATCATTTATTTATTTAGAAAATGCAACTCAAAGCTAAATCTAAAATGTGTTAATTCATTGATGTGCTTAAAAGCACAATTGGGAAACTAATTGAAGCGCACTCACAGATCACGTGAACAGATCTAGAATTTGATGACACCAGTCTGTGTACCCAGACAGCTTGAATAGTGCTGTGTGTCTCAAAAAACATGACATAATTTACCTTTGTGTCGATTTTACCTTCACATGGTGCACTGTAGATGTTGACAGGACCAAGTTCCTAGCAGTTTTGTTTTGAGAAACGAAGATCATTGTTGACTGCCGGAAGAATATTCCCAAATACACATCTTAGTCAACAGCATGGAGGTGGAAGTGGTTGGCAGCAACAGGTTCCTGGGGCTGGGCTTTCCACACAATCACACTGGCAAACAAAACACAAGAGCACTGGCAGAACAGTGAGGTTCTGT